TTCTTCGTTTTCTCTTAATTTCGTAAGAACAACTTTAAGTGTTGGGGCTTTGTTTTAAAAAAAAAAAAAAAGAATGTACATTTCTTCGAATGATTTGTTTTTGGTTATCGTCCAATTTCAACAATTTTCGACCACGGGTATGCGTTTTAGGGGCTTCTAAGGAACATTTTTTTGTCTTTTCGCGTACAATACGTTCAATTGTTGAAACAGATACTCCAGTTAAAAAAGAACTGCGGTTTACAGCTTCATTTGTAGGAAGTGTCTGTTTCAGCCCATCATACACTTTCCATATAATGTTCTTTTCATCCTTTGATAAGGGCTTTCGCCGACGTAATTGGGTTTCACTTGGACCCGCCTCTGAATCCATTACTATTTTAACAATATAAATCTACTATTAAATTGTTTTTATTAAATTTATAAAGACACCAATATTTTACTATTTAATAAACTTTTAAAGTACCTATCTAATATACTACACAATAAATATAACTCGAATATGCACTACCACTACCAAATTGTAAGGCACAAACATGAACGCCTCACTCTTATATCAAAAAAGTGTTTATAAAATATAAAATAATTATCGTAAATAGTTAAAGCGATACAAATCTAACTTCGTCGAAAGTTAGTTTTCAACTGTCTTTGTGCCTGTGCTGACAATATTCAATCTGTAACCCGTCTGTCGTTTATTTACTTGAAACACATTTTAAAACCATTAGACACAGATAACGAAGTCATTTAGGGAATAAATATATTCATTTCTTGAAAACTATCAAAAACGTATATTTAACGCATCATCTTTATTTAAATAAAGATGTTGACCAACAAATTTAATAAAGTTTACGAACAAATACCTAATAAATAATAAATAATTATTTGGTATTTGATACGCAGCCTATGCTAACTCTATCGGAATTTTCATTCATAGACAACAGTGTTGATCATGCATATGACTCACCTTCTCCAATATTTTGTCCGAGTCTAGGAGAATTTAATTTTGTATCTCTGATAAATAAATATACACGAGAAAAGGGACCCTCAAAAAGTTGTTTATATCACATTTTTTTATAGTTGCAATGCACCTACCTTAGACAATTATACGGCGGCAATTTTTGATACACAAATAAGAGACCATAAAGCTACTATTGCATATTTTTCTCTAAAAGTTGATGTGTGTCAAAAAACGTCATTTATTAAAAAAATTAATTACGATAAATTAAAACTAGTATTTGGTAATCAAAATTGGGAAACTTATTACTCTATAGAAAATGTAAATGAAAAAGTTTAACAGAAATTCACTTTTAGAAAACAATACAAAATTAATAAAACAAAAAGACCACCATAAAAAAAGAAAACAATGGATAGCAGAAGGAATTATAAAGTCAATAAAAGAAAGAAACCGTTTATACAGTATTCACAAAAAGGATTTTGAGAATGTTGAAAAAAAATGCGATATTTAAAATATAGAACACTTACAGATAAATTAATTAAACAAGTTAAAAAAGATTTTTACACCAAACAAATAAATGAAAATAAAAATAGTTCGAAAAGGTTATGGGACACTTTAAAACAAATACAAGGAGATAGTAGAAGTAATAGAGAAATACGTGAAATAACTATAGATGAAGGAAAAAATATTACAGGCGCAAAAGATATAGCAGAAAGATTTAATCAATTTGATGATGACCCAAACTCACCACCTCCGGTCAGAAATATTCACAAAAACTCTTTTGCGCTACTACCAGTAACTGAAACAGAAATAAATAATATCATTAATTCACTTTTGAACAAAAAATCACCTGGAATAGATAATATTTCCTCAGAATTAGTAAAAGAAAATTCTGATACATTAGCACCACTTTTGATGGATCTAATTAATAAAATGTTTGATAAAGTTCCCAGCCGAATTAAAAAAATCTTTAGTAGTACCAGTCTTTAAGGAAAAAAGAGTATGTTTACAAACTACAGACCTATTAGCTTAATAACAACTTATACAAAAATAGCAGAAAAAGCCTTAAATTTACGTTTCAAAGTTTTCCTCAATAAATATAAGATCATCTCAAACAATTCGGGTTTCGAGGTGGACTCTCAACAACAGATGCGATCTGTGAGTTGTTAAAAAAAATGTATAGTTCTGTTGACTGCAAAAAACCATGTCTAGCAGTTTTGCTGGATTTTGCCAAGGCCTTCGACACTGTAGATCATAGACAGTTGTTAGAGACATTGGAAGATATAGGGATACGTAGGAAAACTTGACCTTTTTAATAGTTATCTGAACAATAGATTTCAAAGATTTAAAATCGTTAATGAAATCAGTGACGAGAGGCCAATAGAGAGCGGTGTTCCTCAAGGAACTATATTAGGTCCCACTTTATTTACATTGTATGTAAACAGACCACAGGAGAAATAGTAAGTTTTGCGATTTTTTATGAAGCAGAAACTTGGGACGATCTAAAACGGAAAACTGAAAGAGATTTAAAGAAAATAATAGACTGGTGTTCCCATAAAAAAATAACCATAAACTACAACAAATCTTTCTTTTTACCATTTGTCAGCTACTCTAATAATCTACCTCAATTTAGTGACATTAGCTTAACTTATAATAAAAAGAAAATAACATTGGACAAAAAATGAGAAATACGTGTGGCACTCGGGGACTGCCGCGGTAAAGCTATTGCATAGCATTTTTTATCAACTTATGCAATTATAATTATTTATTTATTTTATTTATGCAGTATTTTTTTTTCTCCGATATTAATTCAAGTTTTTTCTTTGATATTAATTAAGTTACACTTTTTGAGCGTGGTGACCGATAAGAAAACAATTTTTTTTCTTTTATTGAATAAATGAGAAGTTATTTTTTTTTTGTGTCATCGGCTTCAACTGCTAAGGTTATTTCGCCTCGTGTTCTGTGTAGGCTTTGTTACTGTTTCCCAGCGCCACTTTAGGAACAGCACTGTTAATTAGAACCCAACAGTGAATGGTCGAGTGGGGAATCCTACCAAGGCATCATAATTAATTTTAATTAATTAAATTAATTAAAAAAATCCCGGCCAACGGTGGGATTCGAACCTGGGACCCTTGGATTTAAAATATTTTTATTATCTTACAATACATGTAGGTTATTCAGGAATATTTATCATTGAAACTATAGGTTTATGGTAACTGAAATAAGAAACATAAAATTGAGACTTGATATCCTCTAAATATCTGGAAAATACCGCGTCAATGGTGGTCCCATATTTTGTTGTGGATTCTTGTGGATCATTATTCATTTTCAAATTCAATTTTTCCGAAATTGTGTTTAAAAGAGATAGAATCAGTTATGAGCAGTTAGCAGCTAGTTTACACGCATACGTCTAGTCGCACGCACACAAACACCGTGCCGAAGTCTGCCGAACCGCTGTGCCGGTCGGAGTGGGGGGTGTTAGGTTTATTTTTGTTACGGAATTTCTTGATTCGCTCGCCTCGCTCAAAGCCCGCGATAGAAGCTATGCAATAGCTTAATAAAATATTTAGGAGTTACCCTAGATTGTCATTTACGTTGGGGCGCATATATAAATAACTTAACAAATACCTTGACTTCTTTTATTTGAATTTAAATACCTCAAAAATATTTTACAAGTTACTCATCTAAGAACTATTTATTATGCTTTAGTCCAAAGTTGTGTACAATACGCAATCGTCTGTTGGGGTGCTAGGTACAACCAAAAATCACATATTCAAACTTGAAATATTACAAAAGAGAATTCTAAAAATAATACACAACAAAAAAAGTTAGATACTCAAGAGATGCATTGTTCGAGGAAGTAAAAATAATTGATATACGACAATTATACATATACTCAGTTATAATTCTAATCTACAAAAATAAACAATTATTAAACAAAATTACCCATAACTATGATACAAGAAGCAAGGATAAAGGAAAAGTTGGTACCCACCTTGTAAATAAAACAATAGCACAACGTTTTTATATTTATTTAAGGTCAAAAATCTTTAATTATCTTCCGGATATGTACAAGGCATATTTACAAATCATAAATTCCGTTGAACTCTTTAAATCTATCATCAAAAAATTTCTTATCAATTCATATAGAAAAATCCAAAGAGGAATAATTGATTAAATATACAAGTATTCGAACTTATATATTATAATTTAGTTGTAATTGTATACTTTTTACTTGATATTTTTATTTTGTACATCTTTATTATTTATATTTCATATGTATTTTAAATTATGTTTTTTAGATAATTTTATATTGTTATTGTTCAGTAATTATAATTTAATATGTATTCTTTAATTAATTTAATTAGATTTTTAATTACATTTTATACAAGTCAAACTTTAATAATGTATTTAAAAAAATTGTTAAAAAAAATGGTTTTAAAAAAAAAGTTAGTAATTCGGCAGCCCATGCGCAACCACATGGTCATAAATGGACAGCAAATACTTTTAATGAATAAGGTACATGTCAATTACTCTATTAATTTAAAATTATTTAAATGTACCTACAACTATGATGTAACCAAAAAACAAAAATGCTGAATAAAGATTATTATTATTATTATTATTATTATTATTATTATTATTATTTATTATTATTATTATTATTATTATTATTATTATTATTATTATTATTATTATTATTATTATTAAAATACGTAAATTTCTTTTGATCGGAAAATATAGCAAAGTTTTTCCTTTCGACTTAGTTTTCCTAAATGGAGATTGAAATCTTACTGTAAAAAAATAAAAAGTTTATACAAAATGGATTTCTCACGACATTATAACCACAAATCCAGACTATATTTACGGAATTAGAATGTGACAAATCACGTTGACTCCAAACTAATGATCAATTATGATTTTTTATTATAATAAGTCAAATTGTCTACGTCGATAATTATATATAAAGTAACTTTACAAGTAAAAAATCAAGGTTAAATTATGATGAAATAAAAAGTATTTTTTTTGTTCATATTTATTTCTTCTTTAGAACGGGTGTGCGATGTTTGGGCTCTGTGGTGCCCGAATTAAAAATCAGCGACTTCGATGTGAAAAATGAACCCGTCTTTGAATACCTTAAGGGATCTAAAGAAAGAACTGAGCTGGAAAAAGCACTGAAAGAAGCTGCATCCACTACTGAAGACGTTCCTATTGTTATCGGTGATCAGGAAATCAAAACTAAAGATGTTAGGTACCAGGTAAGAAAATATCCATTGGGATAAAAATCTATAAATAATTAAAAATTAAAGAATCGATGCAAAATATAGGTGTTTCAATTGGAAAAACCCTTTGATACATTTTTATCTAGTACAGATCGACAGGAATAGCAAAAGCCGCGACATGTGCCAACTTGAGACTCGACGGAGAGAAAGATTCATGTTACTTTGCCAATAGTCTAAGAGCCAGTGGATGGCTACCTGTATATATTTGACCAGATCTGAGTTTTTGTACACTGAGGCCCCTGGGATGGTGACGTTTCGCCCCTGCCGTTTTGTCCCCGCCGTTTCGCCCCGGCCGTTTCCTCCCCGGCGCCGATTGGCCCCCGACCGGTTCGCCCACTTAATTATTTAAGCATGCCAAAATAAAAATTATCCTAATAATCCCTCAGGTAATAAATGTTGTTATGTTATAATTTTAGTTTAATATTGTATGAATTGTTTAATGTTCGAACACTTCAGATATAGTGGTATAAATACAGATGGGGGCTCCAATACTGAATATTATCAGTCGTTACTATTTTTTGAGTGAGTTAGTTAATAAATTCAAACACAACAGATAATGGCAACTGATTTAGAAAATGTTCACGCAAATATATCAACGTTGCTTCCTAAAAAGGATTCTCTTAGAAAAGTTGGAAATATGCCGCCTATGTCGCATACGTGTCGAAACCTATTCGGGGGCAATTTTTTTGTCAGAATTCTTTAAAACGATGTCAAATAGTATATAAATGGACTCATTTTTATATACTAAAATTCTTGGGGGCGAAACGTCCAAAGGCGAAACGATGGGGGCAAAACAGTGTGGGCCAAACGGCGGGGGCGAAACGTAATACATCCGAGGCCCCTATACCTACCATACCTGAGATGGGTAGTCACTAAACCCAAAGTGGTGGACGCGGCGGGCGCTCAGGTAAGACAGGTATCGATTTTTGGCAAATTTTAAATGCATTTGACCACGTCTGCCGTTTTGAAATTTGAAAATATATTATTATTATTATCAGAAAATAACAATGGCAGACCATTATCGCGTGTTTAACATTGTGGCAGACAGTTTTGAAAGTGCTGAAAATAATAAAATTTTGAAAGTAATTGACCAGATCTGCCATTAATATATTTTATTTATTAGGGTCTTAAAAACTTATATTCATCACGGCAGACGTCTTCATTGAGTACACACGTCAGCAGACAACAAAACCTTAGCTACCATCCGGTCAGATGTATGTGTATTACGTTCCTTGTTTCACATCAATATGATTTACGTTATTAATTTATTTCTATGAATTAATATTTAATTTAGCAGCGTGCTAAGTTGTGTATCAATCAAAGTCATGCTGTGAAAAAGGTCCATCCGATATCAAAGGCACCGACAGCTACTGTCGCTTCTCCTTGATCGGTATTCTCGGGTATCTGTATGAAGGTTCATAAATACAGTATGGTTCAAATGAAAGGAATAAATTCATTATAATAGAAGTAGTTGGTTTTTCGAAAAAATGCTCGGACAGGTCAATTTTGTTTATTTAAAGCGCAATTTTTTAAATAAAATTCAATTTTCCCCTACTTCCCATTTTTGGGCAGTGACGTCATTGACAATTTTTTTAAATAGCAACCCCAATTTTTTTTTCTTGATTTTGATAGATCTTGCAATTTCCTACTCGGAAACATAATATTTTAAATATCTGACATAACAATTTTTTTTGAAAAAAAGTCATTTAAAGATCAGATACATAAATTTTATGTTATTTTGAAACACAATAAATTCATAAAAGATAATTATTTGTAATTAAGTGCTTATTCTAAAAAAAAAAAATAATAAAAAGAATTTAATGACAATTTCACAAATTTTTTTTATTATTATTTTGTTAGATTAAGCATTTAATTACAAATAATTATCTTTTATTCATTTATTGTGTTCTCAAAATAAAATAAAAATTATGTGTCTGATCTATAAATGTCTTCTATTAAAAAAAAATTGTTATGTAAGATATTTCAAATATTATGTTTCCGAGTAGGAAATTGCAAGATCTATCAAAATCAAGAAAAAAAAATTGAGATTACCATTTAAAAAAATTGTCAATGACGTCACTGCCCAAAAATGGGAAGTGGGGGAAAATTGAATTCTATTTAAAAAATTGCGCTTTGAGTAAACAAAATTGACCTGTCCGAGCATTTTTTCGAAAAACCAGCTGCTTCCATTATAATGAATTTATTCCTTTCATTTGAACCATACTGTATATTGAAAATATCTGGCACTAACCGTTATGGTGGGGAGATATCTGGCCCCTCTCAGGTATAAAATCTGAATTCTTAGAATACTAGTAACAATAAAAGAAAATGCTATAGGCTAGAATGAGTAAAATAGTAATCCATAGGGAAAAAAGAAAGATAGCATACACCTGGCCGGATAGTAGCTAAGATTTTGTTGTCTGCTAATAACATATTTTCAAATTTCAAAACGACAGACGTGGTCACATAAAATTTGACAAAAATCGATACCTGTCTTACCTGAGCGCCCGCCGCGTCCACCACTTTGGGCTTAGTGACTCCCCATCTCAAGTATGGTAGGTATAGGGACCTCAGTGTACAAAAACTCAGGTCTGGTCAAATACATACAAAATAAATACAAATTTATTAGTATTATGTTGTACTGATTACGTAAAATATCGAAATAGTTTCGTTATACGAGTATTATGTGTGTTCTAACCATATTGAAGCCGTAGAGGCTAGCCGCGAGCTTAGTGGGCATCCACATATTTGCAACAGTTAAGCCGTAATCTCTCCGGTCACGTCGTGGATGGGTTACCAGTGGGAGTTTCCACCGTGGACCGTGTAACCATGGAACTCGTCCGACTAGCGGTTAACCATCGACAATGTGGAATGAATGAGGGAGTGAATTGGTGAATGGAACAGTAGTAGTACATCAAATGGTACAATAAGCTGTAGGCTACAGACGGATTTAGGGTGTAGCACGGAAGGTCCGAAGGGTGTAAAATTTAAAAAAAAAACAACTGTTGTACTTTAAAATTCTTTTTTTTTTAATAGTAATTTTTATTTTCAAAAACAAACTATTTTCAACTGAACAGTATAAAATCTAGCAACAGTCTGAACTAATAAATAAAAGAAATATTATTATTTAATAATATAAAGTGGATAATAAGATAAAATGTATAGATCATGGGTTGGCAACATTTTTTGTTTGCTGTTCAAAATCTACCAAAATGTAACTATTAAGTAGAATGGGTATTTTCATTTTAAAACCGCGAATAAGTAATCTTATAAATTTTATTCAGGAAACTTATAATTTACTAAACAAAAAAATTATAATTATTGTAAAAATATATATAATCAAATTTTCCTTCGTTGTCAATGACTCCCCTGATGCTGAATTTCAATTTCGTTAAATATGCTTCATACTTAGTCAACTTAAACATCTGAATTTTCACTTGTTAATCTGTTCCTGTTCTTACTTAAAATAATTTGTAATATTTGCTCACATTTATTAATAGACAGGCGACAAAATTCCAAAAGCAATTTTTTCAAACTTAAAAAGTTTCTAGGGGAAATAATTACCAACAGAACCAACACGATATTACCAAGAGAAGATGTTTATCTTCCGTGTTTTCTTAATATTGCCGCAGTTCTTGAACTCTTCATTGAACTTTTAAAATCAATCATTTCAAACCGAAAATTGTAAATTTTAAAATTTTTAAAATACTGCAAATCTAAAACATATTTGTCTATTTTATCGAGGTTCATTCTAAATGCGATGTGGCCAGACGTTGGGTAAAGATATTAGGGCAAAAATTTGTGGAATTCAAATGGGTCACTTGAAATTATCAAACGGGTAATAAATGGCAAGTTTAGCAAATTCAGTATTTTTCTATTTAGGGCTATATAAGGAAGTCGACAAAATTAGTAAAATTCTTATTCAGTTTAAATTAGCAGTGGGCAATTCTGCCATACCTGTCAACGCAGCTACTTGTTCACTTGTTCTTATACTTTATAAAATATGATAAGAGCTTTATTTCCATCTGTTTCGTTTTTTTTACATTCAGAGAATGCTGTCTTTCAAAACAGAAACTGTTGACAAAAGCGTAAATAAATATTCTCGAATATACAAATATTATAAGTTATTCTTGATGTTCGCTGTAGCAATAGAATAAATAAATAGCCCTCGCCTAGTATTAAAATTTGTATCGTTTTATTTGTGAATGATCTTTTCCTATTACAAATCTAATTGGCAACATCTCAAAATGCACAACTTCGAGTGTTATGTATTAAGATCCAAGTGATCACCTGGTAAAACCGAAACGAACTGATTTCCGCGCTTCTATTCACTGCGTATTTAATCCAAGCTGCTTCAGCTATATCTGTCGTACTTTGTGTACAAGTAATACAGCTTTAAGTTCTGTTCTTGATGATAATAATTTCTTATTTCATTGATTTGTAAATTTATTTTAGTTTATAGTTTAACTTTTTTTATATTTGTACCCTAATTAATTACATCAGTAATTGCTCCTCATGATCTGCTTGATTCTAATATAAATATTTTTTTTTAGGTTATGCCACATAATCACAAAAAGAAAATAGCAAAATTCTATTATGCAGACAAAAATCTTGTACAAAAGGCCATTGACACAGCCTGCGAAGCACAAAAAAAATGGGATGCTGTACCGATTCCAGAACGGTAAGAAACATTGATTTATAAACCCTATAATCAGTAGATATTTCTACAACTGTTGATTTAAATATTATTTTACCTTTACCTAAACTACTTTATTAGATATTCAACACGTGTTTAACTAACAATTTTTGCACTATTGCCATTACTGTTACTATTGCCATTACTATTACCATTAACATTACTGTTACTATTGCCATTACTATTAACATTACTGTTACTATTACCATTATTATTACTATTACCATTACTATTACCATTACTGTTACCATTAATATTATCATTACTATTACCATTACTATTACCATTACTATTACCATTACTATTACCATTACTATTACCATTACTATTACCATTACTATTACCATTACTATTGTCATTACTCAAGCGTTACTGATTAGCTCTAGCTGGTTAGTTCAGAAATCAGAACCTGTAAAATACCTGGGTCTAATGTTGGACACACCTAAACTGACAACCTCATGTGAATTAATTATGCTCTAAATTAGCGTCTCAAATCTTTGCACTTCGACAGTTAATACCGGTCCTATCAAATCAAGTGCTTAGGATGGTATATTTTGCAACAATACACTCTCACCTAAATTACGGCCTGATTATCTGGAAAAATTCTCCAGCTGCTGATAGGGCATTTAAGGCACAAAAATCGGCTTTAAGGGTCATTGATAATGCTCAATGGGATGCACCATGTAAACTGTTGTTTGAGAAATATTCCATCTTACCACTGCCTTGTATGTATATTTTTGAGGTAGTAACCTTTATTCATCAAAACTCAAACAAGTTTGTCTCACATTCTGACGTACATATATTATTCAACGAGAAATGCCAGTAATATGGTTGTTCAATTCTCAAGACTTCAAGCTACAAAACTAAATAAAATTGACTTAAATATCTACAACAAAATCGTCTCCCTACTAAAAGATGACAACCTCAGAAATATATTTACAAATTTATTTCGGAAAAGAGTAAAACAGTTTTTGCTAAATAATTGTTTCTATTCTATAGATGAATTTTTGCAATATAAATAGACATTTATTTTATAATGTGATAATTTTAAAAAGTATTCATATTTTATTTACTTTCAATATTTTTTTTAATATATACTTTAATTACCATTGATGATTCTTACTATATTTTATGAATTATATATTATTTTTTAAGATATTGTGACCTCAAACGTATTGTTCATATGTATATTTGGTTAATAAATGGTATGGTATTACTATTACCATTATTATTACTATTAACATTACTATTACCATTACTTATACTATTATCATTATTTTCACCATTACTATTATTATAAAATAGTGGTTTTCATTTAATCAAATGAAACTGCTTTGATGCAATTGTAACTAAAAAATTAATAGGATGGCCTTAGCTAGATTACCATCAATAAATACAGTGTCATACGATTTCTTGATAGATCCTTACATTCACTTATGCATCATTAGAATCATTACATATTTTCTGTAATTAATGGAATATTCGATTATTTTTTAGGTTAAGGATTTGGGAAAAAGCTGCATCTTTGATGGCGAACGAATATCGAGCAAAACTAAACGCTGCTACAATGTTAGGGCAAGCCAAAACTATGATACAAGCCGAGATTGATTCTGCTGCTGAACTAATTGACTTTTTTAGGTAACTAAAAATAATTCTATAAACCGTGAAAAAATTAAAAAATACCTTATATTTTTATGATATTAAATGTTTATAACGTGACAACAAACTATGTGAACATTTAAAATGTTTTTAGTGTATTTTTCAAATTATTCTTAAATATTAGAAACAACTTTAAAAATAAATTTTAATGTTTTTTTTACAGACTCAATGCTTATTTTCTTAAGGAAGCCACAAAATATCAACCCATATCAGAAAACCCCAAGGTTACCAAAAATTCAATGAGGTATAGAGGAATTGACGGCTTCATAGCTGCGGTCTCTCCATTTAATTTTACAGCTATTGGTGGTAATTTGGCATACACACCTGCTTTGATGGTAAGTAAAAATATTTTTCTGTAAGTTATGATTGAAATGCAAACATATCTTTTTTTGTTGGGGTTCAGCAAGGCAGTTGGTGATAATGGATTGGAATTTTAATTGAATTTAATTTAATTTTGGAGGTTGACTAATGTAGGAAGGAACCACTTTCTTATTACAAACTTTCTTATGAATTGACATTCCATTTTTATGCTTTAACGTTATTAAAATGTCAAATCTACATGTTTTTGTCTTGTTGCTGAAGTTTAATTGGCATTATTGACATCTCAATTTTCTATAAATCTGATATCAGAAACTGTGAGATTTTCTATACTTTGGGTACATTTAACTAATTAAAATGTGTTTTATTCAATAATTTTGATTTTTAGGTTTCAATGCTAATCATAAAAATGCTTGAAAATATAAAATCGACAATTTGTATCATTGTAGCCTCACCACTGGTAAAATAAAGTTAACCTTTTATTTAGTTCATATGATTGTGATATAACAACGTCAAAAAAGGTGAAAAGCACCATAAATTGTGTGCAATTAAATATTTTAACTGTAACTCCACTTAACTTCTTCACAAAAAAAGTTGTAGAAAAAACTAAATCTTATTAATTAATATAAAAAAAATATGTACAGTTTAAGTTTTTTATTTTTAGTTCATAATCAGTTCTTAATGGTCTAAAATCTAAAATGAAACAATCAAATCTCGAAATTTATCAATCATCTACGGGGTTTGTAAATAAATATGAATTTGCTACAAGAGTAAAGTATTTTTATCTTGGACAATATCGAAAATTATAATTATGATAAATTGTTCAGTATTAAAAAAATCACTATCAAATATGCATAATATCCATTTATATTAAAATAAAAGTTTTTTTACTTATTTAAAATTTTCTCTGCAATAACATTGACATTTTAACTGTACACATTAATTACATTTAATTTACAATGAACGTCAAGACAAGTTTATAATTATTGTCAAAAGTAAAAGTACTTTTCTCTGCACCCACATGGATATTAGCTTATCTGCGCAGACTACAAAACGAAAAAAATATGCTATTGCGTTCAACTGAATAAATATATTTTATATCCAGTCTACGTAGTGAGAACACTGCAAAAAAATGAATTCCACCAATCACAGTTCATATTTTGGACACCCAACTGCTACTATTTTTAAAATTTTAAATGTTACAATTCTGTCAAACTAATTGTTAGTACATTTTTTAGTTATTGAGATTAAATATACATTAAAATGAGCTATTTTTATGTAGAATCGATAAATAATAGAATTTTTATTTGTTCCTCCTTTGAAAAAAAAAAAAATTTTAATCAAACCATATGATTATATATAATTACGAGTATTAAAACTAAAATTCTAAAAGCGGCTGTGGATCTGTGGACAGAACTTCTGCGTTCCACGCGAAAAGTGTGGGATTGGATCCTGGCTGGGGAATAATTAAATTAATGGTTTTTTTTTTCATCTCTATTTTATTTTATAAAGTATTTAAATTCATAAATTATTTTTAAATTAGTTATTTTGTCTTAATAGCCTAAAATATTTTTTTAAATTTATAGATTTTCGTTAGTGGGTCGTAGAAAAAATAAACTGTACAACTCGAGTGGATTGTCCATATCGCACTCACACGATTTGATCATCGTCTTCGTGAGATATGACCATCATATCCACTCTTGTTGCACAAACTACTATACTCTTGTACCAAAATCATATTTATTGACAAACGCTGTATATTATGATAGATACATTTTGAGGTTTGATTGTTTAATTATAGGTTTTAGACCAGCGTTCAGAACTTTTTATAAACATTAACTTTTTTTTTATAAAACTAAAAAGTTTTTACGTGTCTCCAACGTATACAGGATGTTTCAAAAAGCATGTGCCATCGCTTGTGGGGTGATTCCTTACCCAAAAGTAAGACAAATAGTTCCTATCAGTATGGGTTTGCAGATGCTTTGTTTCAAAAAATACAGAGTATTACATTTTTTCTTCTAAACTAAAATGAAATTTAAAAAAATATATTAAAAGATGCTTTTTATAAGTTGTTTGAAATGTATGGTCGGTCCTTATATTAAATTCACAGTGAATGGCCTTTCTAGTTCATTTATTAAAAGAGCTGTAATTATAATGTTTCTTAGTCAAGTGATGTTATATGACTAAACTCTACTGGCTGTTACTGGTACAATCGAACTTAAAAATACACATATACAGGGTGTCCCATTAGTACGTAATTTCTCATTATTTCAATGATACGCAAACAAGTTTAAAAAAAAAAAAAATTTAAATGGATATAAAAAATACGTGTTTTAAAAATATTTATGGATATACAGGGTGTTGCAGTTTTGCCTGGCAAATAAAAATGTATATTTTTTAAATATTTCATCCAGATCCGTTCAGCCGTTCTGACGTGATTGAACAACATCCATACATCCAAACTTTCGCATTTATACATTAGTAGGATTTAAAAAGAACCACTTCTATTTTTTTTATTAAAAAATACACCCCTTTTTAAAAGTCTTTCAATGAAATTAATTTTAGAATAATTTGAAATTTTTTCCGAATTTTCAAATGTTTCTACAACTTATTTTCAGATAATTCTGATCTTTCGGATTTCGATTTGCAACCTACGATATATTAAATTAACAATTTTCAAAATTAGTTTTGTTTTAATATTTGCTAGTTTTTTTTTTTTTTTTTTTTTTCTTATAATAATAATGTATAAAACTTTTAAAAGTGGCCATATGTAGCAGTTCTTTGGTCTCTCAATATTTTTTTTTAATTCTAGGGTAACGCTGTTCTATGGAAACCCAGTGACACTGCGGTACTATCAAACTGGGTCATTTTCAAAATTTGCCGGGAAGCCGGTGTGCCACCAGGCGTTGTAAACTTTGTACCTGCCGATGGACCAGTCTTTGGTGACACCATCACTGCCTCACCACATTTGGCGGGTATCAACTTCACTGGAAGTGTTCCGTAAGTAAAATGCTTACTATGTATATAAAAATAATATTTGTTGGCAGATCTAAGGATATGAAAACGCACCTACTCTCTATTCAACTTAAACGCAAGTAACGCAAAACACAACTAACCCATGACCACAGCATGATACGCACAAGCCCGACTGCTATTGGCCAGCCTACTGATCCACTTTTGAATATTTTCCTTCCCTCTAGCTCAATGTACTGTGGTCATGGAGCTAGCTGTGTTAACGGGTTACTTGCGTTTAAGTTGAATATATAATTTAGATTAAATAATTGGACATTTTTTAGTTGAAATAATTAGTTTTATTGTTTATTAATTTTGTGCACTCGCCTAATCTTGTTAGGACATTGAGGAATGGTTGTTATCCTTTTTTATACATCACACATGTTAGACTTTTAAATTTTACCCTGTCCGCCGCTTCTATGTGTGTATTCCTAGATCTTTATCAATTATTTATTCACATTTTTTTTATACGAATATGAAATATAGTGAGCTGGTACAAATTTTTAGTGGTTACTTATTTTACTTTTAGGGAAATCATTATTTAGAGCACTGTGTCCCCTATTTTTTAGTAGACTCAAACTAGAAGGTAGCTCTCCTGCTTAGTTGCAATTATTTTTTCTTGTCAAACTGTAAGCAATCTCAGTCATGATAGACCTTCGCAGTAGCCCAATAAGTACTGCAGTTTCCTCCTCTTCTTGGCACAATCGGTAGATTACTATATGGATACTATCAATCCTTTTTACTATTTTCTACTTCGAGAGCTACCTCGGTGACATGTTAGTATTTTTCACTAATGACAAGAACTATTAAATTATAAAAAGCAAAAAAAAAATGATTAATAAAATTAATGAATTTAGAAATATATGGCGCATTTATCGAATCAGAAACAAGATACTTCTTTTTTATCTATATAAAACATTAGAAACACCTATGATTTACAGTGTTGTCGTCTGTAAAAATACACAATTTATCGGAATAATAATCATTAATAAATTAAGAAATATATGGCGCATATTTCCAATCAGAAACAAAATACTTCATTTTTTTAAGTCTGTATAAAACAAAACATTACAGAGTTGTCAGCTGTAAAATATGAAATTTATCGGATCTGTGTCATTTTATAGTGAAACAAGTTAGTGTCGGGACACATTATGGTAAGACAAATTAGCGTATTACAATTCCACATAGCTAAAAACTACAACGAGAAATTCGCATTGCGCCATCATCAAAAAAAAAATTAACTAGTGCGGCCTGGCGACATCGCGGGTAGCGTCGAATTAAAAATTGTACATAAAATGAGAAAAATTAAAAATGAAACTTAACTTATATATTAACCTATGCGACCTGGAGTCATCGCGGTTTGCTTAAAAAAAAAAAACAAAATGAGAAAAATAAAAAAAATTACACAGTCAAGGTAAATTAGAGTTTTTAATTTTAATTGAAATACTGTACTATTTTGTCACGCGCTAATTTGTCTCATAGCTGACTTGTGTCACATGTTTGTCTCGGCGCGAATCATATTTTTGTCGATCAAACGAAGCTGCTCACGGTGGCGTAATGTTATATTCTCGATGTGATCTCATGTCCATTATAAGAAGTGACATAAATGCTCTGTCAAAAGAGTATATTTTTGAATGTTGTGCTGTTGAATTTGTATTGAACTATCGGTAATATGTATTATGTATCGTTTACAAGCCCCCTACAACTAGCTTAGATATTTTCCTAAATTCATTGGACCAAATGTTGGAAATTGCCTCACAAGGAAATAACTACATGCTGGTTGCAGGAGACTTTAATATAGATATGCTAAGTAAATCGAATTTAAAACACCAAACCATGTTAAAAACATGCTATACATTTATGATATGAACGTTAGTATTTGGGAACCAACCAGAGTTACACCGACATCATCTACTTGTATTGATAACATTTATATATCTCAAACTTTAGAATACAGTGCGAATGTCATAAATACAAATCTTTCAGATCATAAAGGTCAGCGGTTATGTGTATTGACTGAGAAACGAAAGCCAGAGAATGTAACTGAGGTAAAGCGTTTTTTCATTAAACAAAATTATGATAAATTGTATGAGTTACTACAAAAAGAAACTTGGCTATGTGTGTATGAAGTAATCAATGTAGATATAATGTATAAGTATTTTATTAAAACTTTCCTCCAACACTTCAACGAGGCCTTCCCATTGAAGAGGGTAACGCATCAAAAACATAAAAATAGTAAATGGCTGTCTAATTCCATTCGCGAGGCAAAAAATACTTTAAATTTATTTTCAGAATTGTACATAGTAAAGAAGATTTTAACGCATATAAAAGGTATTACTCTAAACTGCTGCTATCTGAGAAAAAACATCTTTACAACAACAAAATCAATGAATCAGATAATAAAATAAAGGCTATTTGGAACGTTATTAATACGGAACTGGGCAGGTCTAATAAAAACTTGGCTACTTTCAAAGGAATTAAAGTTGAAGACCAAATTGTAACTTCTCCTAAACAAGCCTGCAATAAATTTAATAATTACTTCAAAACAGCTGCTTCGCAAATTCTAGGAGACCTTGATATGGACAATGTAGATATAAATAGAATAAAACAACCTAATCCACAATCTATATATCTAGCAGATGTGACAATAGAAGAGCTATCGGAAATAATAAAAAATTTAAAAAAGATGATATTCATAATGTGCTTATTAAAAATGTTGCTTGAGCCTTTATGTTACATAATAAATAATTCCTTTCAGAAAGGTGATTTCCCATCAAAACTAAAATCTGCAGTGGTGAGACCTATTCTAAAAAAAGGAGATCCATTCCTTATGGAAAACTATAGACCTATAAGTTTGCTAACCAGCTTCTCAAAAATTTTTGAAATTGCAATGAGTAAACGCCTTACTAAGTTTCTTGCTACGAATGGAATTATTACCTCTACTCAACATGGATTCCAAAGAGGAAAATCTACAACTACAGCAATTTTTTCCTTTGTAGAACGCATTCTACATCACCTAGATAATGGCTGTATTGTGCATGGTGTATTTCTAGACTTGTCAAAAGCCTTTGATTGTGTAAACCACCAATTACTATTAAAAAAATTATACGTTATCGGCGTACGTGGAATTGCATATGATTGGTTTAAATCATATCTGAATGCAAGGTCTCAAAAAGTCTGTCTGAAAACAAATAGTGGACTCTTTTTCTCAGAACAAGAATCGATACATATGGGTGTACCACAAGGAAGTATCTTAGGTCCTTTGCTATTCCTCCTCTACATTAATGACCTATCAAATGTGATAGACTTGTCTTCTGTAACACTAACAAATTATGCAGATGATACTAACATTTTAATAGCCAGTACCGATTATGAAAGTCTGAAACAAGATACCATGCACATATCAATAACGGCAGAGTGGTTTCTAAAAAATTTCTTAGTATTAAATATGTCCAAAACAAATTGTATCCTGTTTAAACACAGCAGAAATAAGAACGATTATGAAAATGCTATAAATCTAAACAACACAGAAATTAATTATGTGAACTCTGCAAAATTTCTTGGTGTGATAGTAGATGAGAATTTGGGATGGTCTTGTCATGTGGACAATCTCTGTGCTAGGCTTAGTAAGAGTTGCTTAGCTAAACTTGTAAACCAAAACACTTTGAGATCTGCCTATTTCGGACGCTTTTATTTCATTATGTGTTACGGAATCATCTTCTGGGGTGGTTCTCACAATTACTTGGTCTTTGTGATACAAAAAAGAGTATTGAGGATATTAACTGGGTTGAACTTTAGAGAGTCCTGTTGAGGGTTTTTTCGACAATCAAATCTGATGACGGTGGTTGGGGCATATGTATATTTTTGTGTAAATTTTGTAATTGAAAATCAGGTTTACTTCAGAGAACATATTTTTGGTCATACACATAATACACGCGGAGTAGATAGTTTTGTAGTACCAACGCATAAAAAAACCACACTATTTGAAAAAGGATGCTAAATGCATACAATTTTATGTTTCCACGGTATATAAAAAATATTAAAAATGTAGGCAGATTTAAGTCAACCATTATAAATATCTTAATTGATATGGACCCCTACTCACTAGATGATGTTACAATCTTAAATATTTCAAATTCATGTAATAAGTTAGGATTAGAAATAAGATAGGATCGTTTTTAGCTGTTTAGTAGTTTAGTTTTTTTCTTCTTTTTATACCTATCAGTATTAATTTTCTGTGGTGGTCAGTATGATTGATGTAATCACCAATTGCAAGTTATGGCACTATGGGTTTTGCTAGGTTTTCCTCTAGTCTTGGTAAATACGCCATTCTTACTCGGTAAGTCGACCTAGCTCGCACATTAATAATTAATTATTAATAACAATACTACATCTTACAGTTGGTATTTTTCCATCATCTATTTTAATTTTTAGCTTTATCTTTATGTAATATTTAGTTATGGATATTGACGTGTACAACACAATACACTTTGTATATTGTCCCTAGTACAAATAAAAGAATTTGAATATTGTTGTAAGGGTTAAAACAGAATACGAATTTGAACGACCGAATTGTTATAACTTAATAGGGCTAACCTATGGTTACTGTAGCAAGGTTAAACAGAATTGACCCGATTATGTGTTTTCATAACTAGATGCCTTCCTTACTTCATAGTTCAATTTGGTCCTTCAACAACCTTTATTTTTTATAGAACATTTACCAGATTGTGGAAGCAAGTAGGAGAAAACATAAACAAGTACAAAAATTTCCCTAGACTTATTGGAGAATGCGGTGGTAAGAATTACCACTTCGTTCACCCTACGGCAGATGTAGACTCAGTCGTAAATGGAACCATACGAAGCGCTTTTGAATTCTGCGGGCAGAAATGCAGCGCTTGTTCCAGGATGTATGTACCAGAGTCTCTTTGGCCAAAGGTAAAGTAAATTTATCACTATCACATCTAATTATTATTAATCAATATCGTTCATATCGTAGAAACATAAATTTACTTTTTGAATGACAAGATATGACTGTCATTTATGTGTTATTTACCTCGCGCCGCTGCTATTGAAAATAATCGATAATCTTATTTTAATCAATGATTCCGATTACATCTTTTGAGTGAATACCATGAATGGGATTAATAAACAAAACCTCAAAAATGACACAAGCATCATCGAGATGAGTATTTTCTAAATTAAGAAGTGTTGATTGTAGGGTTGTTTACCAATCTTATTCAAGGTATTAACTCAAAAGATGTGAGTTTTTAGTCGTCACTTTTGAAGAGGGGGTGGTACAGTTTATTTCAAATATTTAATTGTATTCAATGTTTTTTTTTTGTTGAAGTATTTATCTGATGAAGACTTTGATGATGGCTTTTTACACTGAAAGCTCTCACCTAATTTTAATAAAATCATTCTGCAACCCATATTTTAATATCTCTGTAATTTTGTTCATTACTAAGTGGTTTTCAAAAAACAGTATACAACTCTGTCCAAAATTGAATATTTCACACTCTTGTGAAATGTTCAGTTTTCTGCACAATTTGTACAGTATACTATTAAACTTAGAAATGGTGAGCTTTTCCAAAAATTTATCAATATGTGTGTAAATTTCCCTTGCTATTAATAAATACTTATTTTAGATTAAGGAAGGTCTATTGGCAAAGAGAAGTCAATTAAAAATCGGCGATCCAACCGATCCTACGAGCTTTACATCTGCCGTCATTGACGATAAAGCATTTAAAAGAATCAAAGGCTACATTGACCATGCCAAGAGTTCACCAAATTTGGAAGTAATCGGTGGAGGAAAATGTGATGATAGGTATGTTTTAAATTTTTTCCTGTGATTACTAGAAACACTACTTCTGCAGCTCTTGTTTTAAAATGTCAACTTCAAATGTAAAAGTAGTACTTAATTGTATATTTTTTATTATTTGTTAGTTAATTATACATTTGAACAACATTTCTTCATTCAAATTTGTTAGCCTGAATATACAGATGCAAATTTCTATAATTAATATCATCATTATTACAATATTTAATAAGTAAAATCATCACCTTTCAAATTAAAGTCATTTACATAACTAGCTTTTAAGAAATTAGCACGGCTTAAAATGACATTCTTAATGGAAGAATGTAATTTTAGGCTTGGCTTATTTCTTAACGATGCAATAATGTTTTTATATTTTAGCGTGGGTTACTTTATCGAACCTACCATCATCCAAACCAAAGATCCCAAAGAAAAAATTATGGTTGAAGAAATTTTCGGCCCTGTTCTGACCATTTACGTCTACAAAGATGACAAAGTGAAGGAGACAGTAGATCTGATCGGAACATCAACTTCTTTCGCATTGACTGGTGCCATATTTGCTCAAGACGAGTAAGTTATTAAAAATAATATTTATTACTTTTTCAAATATTGTAAATCGTGTGCAAAACAATTTTTGAGTATACCTTTTTTCTGACTTGCTATGCATACTTTGCGGATATAGTTTTATATAATTAAGATCTTAACTAATTAGAAATAATTCTATCTATGCACTTTTGCTACTTTTAGTAGCTAAAACAGTTTTATCAATTAGCTATGATAATGAATTGTAAAAAAAACAATAAAGGTCTTTAGTTTCATAATAACACCTTAATGTATTTATTTAATTAAGCATTTAGAAGCAAATCGCTAATAAAAAAGTATTATTGTTTGAAACCAAAAAAATGAAACGACAACAAAGATAGAGCCAATCCCTTTGATTTGGCATTTAACAAGCTAACATTCTATAACAGGTTTCGCCCTCTATGGGACCCACCAGGCAGAAGTAATCGTCTAATGTTCAGTTAAGCATATAACCCTGGAAGTAGTTGTAAGTAGTTGTTTATAAGGCGACTGGACAATTCCCGACTAAAAATCGGGACTAAAGGTGTGGTGTCAGTAACTGTATTTCTGTACTATTGTTTATTATTTGCGCTCATGAGCAATAAAATAGAATATTATTGCAAATGGTTACAATGTTGCCAAATATTATCAGTTAAAAACAATACACTTCTTTTATTCGTAAGTTTACCTATAACAGTCGCAGGGTGCAGGGTAACATTGCTCTATACTCTATAATTATTTGTCTTGAATAACTGGGTTTTAGCCAACAGGGAGGGTCTGCACCACGGTATGGTGCTAACTTTTCAATTTGAAATACCTTGAGTTTACTTCCCGCTGACAACTGAATTCAGTAGATCAGGACGTTGTAGGGGTCTTCCCAGTTCCGTTGCAGTTTCTGACAAATTCCTTTTCTGCGCTTGGGATTGTACAGCCATACTGGGTTGCTTATCTTAAAATATGTCCCTGTGGCATGCATATCGATTCTATCTTTTGATTTATCGCTCTTTAAGTTTTGTATGTACGTTCTAAAAAGAAGATCATGAGGAAGCTTCATCTTCTTTTCAGTAATCATCATAGATGGGTCATAACTGGGTCGATTCATGTTCAGAACTTCGGTAAGCTAGCAGAAATAGAGGAAATAAAGTGTTCCGGACCTTCTGGTTTTCAGAGACGAACATTGAAAGATACTGGCAAATGGTTCTATAGTATCTTTCTACCATTCCGTCGGACTGGTGAGAAGGCGTAGTGCGTGTTTTCCTGATTCCTAACATTTTCATCAATTATTGCCATAATTCGGATTCAACATTTCTTACTTGGTCAGAGTACAATTCGCTATGACGTTCGTCATGAATGCTTCTGCTACTGTCATCGATTCCTGATTAGGAATAGGCGCTATTTCGGGCCACTTTGAAAAATAGTCCATAACAACTATCAAGTATTTATTTCCCATCTCCGACGATATCTATGGCGATTTATTCAAAAGGCTCTCCGGGAAGGTACTGTGCCATTTTACCTCGGCTTCTTGTTTTATGCCCTTTTCTGCCTTTGCATAAATCGCATTTCTTGCACCAATCCTCTATAACCCAGTAAATTATTTTTCCTGAACTCGTGTCAGAGTGCTTTTAGTATCAAAATGTCCTCCTGAGCTGCTGCTATTAAAGCTGACATCTGACATGTGATTTTGGCAGTACCAATTGGCGGACTATATGTACTCTATCGGGGCTCTCCCACTTCCGATGCTATCGTGAAGATGCAAGGAATCCCAGTACCCTTTTATAGTTCCACTATATTTAACTATCTCTTGCCAAGTAGGTCTAACCCCATTTTTGAACCATTCTCAGGCAACCTTCGTCATTGTCTTTCTTTTGAGTCTTTCAAGGGTGATTTCGTCTTTGTTATCCTCTGGCTTGATAGTGCTTGCCTGAAGACTAATTCCTTCAACCGGCTCCTCTCGTTCTTTGAGCCTTTTACAGTACTGGCATTGTCGTTCTAAACAGGGTTGCCTAGAAAGAATGTCTGCGTTGCTATGGAGACAGCCTCTTCTGTGCACTATCTTGAAGTTATATTGTTGCAGTATTTGTATCCATCTAGCAACTTATTCTTCATCAGCCTCTGCAAGATCACTTGGGATGGTAAAATTTATGTTTGAAGGTAAAATTTATGTTTGAATGTAAATATGGAAGTGTTCAAGAGCTTTGACAAAAGCTAAACATTATTTCCTAGTGACGCAATAATTCTTCTCAGCTTTCTCCAAGGTCTTACCAAAACATGCAATTACGTTCTCTTCACCTTCCTGTTATTGTGATAGCACGAAGCCCACACCGTGTTGGGATGCGTCGCAGTCCAAAATGAATTTTCCTTTTTCCCGAGGGTAGACTAGAATGAGTGCCGTGGTCAATCGCTTTTTCTACTCGGTGAAGGCATTTTGGCAATTGGACGTCCAGCAAAGTAAGACTACTATTTTCAGTAAGTCGGTGAAGGAGTTTAGCAATTCGCCAAATTCTTTGACGAATTTTCGGTAATATGAGCCCAGTTCAAGAAAACTCCTAATTTCCCTTTTATCTCTTGATTTCGGCCTATTTCTAATAGTTGCAATTTTCTCCGGGTCAGTTTTGATTCCTTCTGCGGAAACGATGCGTCTTAAATAATAGGCTTCCGATTGGAACAGTGAATATTTATTGTGATTTAGCTTTAGAATGCCATTTCGTATTCTGTCGAGTACTTTACTCTTTATCATAGGTCTGTTCCAACAACGATCAGAAACCAATCACTGACTCTAGGATTCTGCGCAGTTGATTATTTCGACCGCCAAATTATATACAGCGCGGAATCCTGGTGTCAGTGACTGGTTTCTGATTGTTGTTGGATGTTTATCAAAAGTTTTCGACATTACAAGTTTTTCAGATTAATCCTTTCAAAACCATTTCCATTAGTGGTTCAAAGGTAGATGGGGCATTACAGAAACCAAACAGGAGAACCTGGAATCGGTATAATCAGATTTTAGTTGAAAAATATGTTTTGTCTCGATCGTCAGAGTGCGAACTTCCACTTAACACCACCTATATTCACTTAGATTATTTTTAAACTGATTCATACTGCAGATACAAGTAAACACAATGCTGAGTGAAGATGAAGATGCGTTTTTCCATTCACCAGACATTTCTCGTTTAGTAAGATATAAGTAATCACATTATACATTTTTAGAGGAAACAGAATTAAGAAATATTTTACGTGGTCTTATCTAAAAGATGAAGCGAAATTTTCGGTAAATTTTCATGGATATAAGTCATATTTGGTAAAAAGTGTAGATACGAGGTGTAATTTCTTCAACGACAATATATATATTAATAATTTTTATTGTAGGTTGCTAATTATTTATTTAAAATTCATATCAACAACCACAAAAATTAAAAAATATATTATCAGGAAAATAAAAGTAGGCATTGGACAATTTAAATTATCCGGACCTCTGAGTTTATTGGTACACGTCAGGAGGCACAAACATTTTAAATAAGAATGATTCTTTGGCCCTCTTTGACAAAATTTTGTACTTTGTAAATTAAAAAGGTTCCTATGGACTATTTAAAAGGTATAACTGCTATATTGCTCCTCTAAATATAAAAGCGTATCTGCATTTTAGGGTACATTGGAGGTACTATCTTACTAAATGCATATGAATTATGAATCATAGATATTAATTTATTATATTTTGAGAACAGTTCTTTGGCGTCTATTCTGTAACGTTTTAGTTAATTGTAACCACCAGGTTAGAGGTTATTTATGTGGTCTATTCTGTAACGTTTTAGTTCATTTTAACTGCCAGGTTAAAAGTTATTTATAACTTTGACGTTTAAATTTTAACCCAAATTTCTATTCAATTTCCATCAATTTAATTTTGTGTTTTTAGCTATTTTATAACCAATCCCAGTTAAAATAGACATGACAACGATGTAATATACCTAAAATTGAATTGAAATTAAGCCCAGCGCAGCATTAAAAATAATAAATATTTGATTGTAATCATTATTAGATTTATTACTGACATATAATTTTAAGCAAATAATACAGAATACAAAATTCAAAATAACATCCGGTTATTTTTATCACCTAGGGTTAATTTTAACCAAAATCTGTTTAATTTGCATTATTTTTTTTTTTTTTTTCTAGGAAATTCTTGAAGAGTGCTTTCGAAGAATTGAAAATGACTGCTGGTAATTTTTATGTCAATGATAAATCTACTGGTAGTGTAGTGGGACAGCAACCATTTGGTGGTGCCAGATTATCAGGTAATGTTTCAATTTTAAGTCGTTAATTAAATTTTGATTGCATTGTTTCTTTTATTGTGATCAGTGTTCATTTTGATACCTATTCCTTGAGATATTTAGTTAATACAGTGCTCTTGGCTGGCACAATTTATTTCACAGTTTTCTATTTTTATGACTTTAGAGGATTCCATGTTCTTTCAACTATCTTTCAAATTGGATTTAAAACTTATAAAATTTTAGCTTTATTTAAAATCCCTCTGGAAAATAATAATAAAAAAAAATGTAAAAACAAAAAAGTAGATATTTAATAACAGGTATTTCCACCTTTTGCCGTTATAAAGCTCTTAAATCTTCTTCTCATGCTTATGGGGTTTCTGATCTCAACTTACTCAATTTAACCAGTGTTTCAGTGACAGCTCATTTATATTTGCGTGGTGGTTGTAGGGTAATTATATGATTACTCAGACGTGTGTGACTTTTAAAGTTCTTGTGGGACAATATACGATATAATTTGAATGGTCTTCCAATAATAACCTGTAAATACGGCAACCAGTAAGTCTCTAATGTATGTTATGGGGTGTCGGATACTGTGTAATGTATCTGGCAGCTGTTAAACCCCCTCCCTGGACCATCACTAACTTTGTAAGAGCCTTTAAGTTGATGCATTTATACCATATTTTGGATGCTTCCTATTTTTTTTTTTTTTTTTTTTTTTTTTTGTATATTTATATTGATGATAGATATATTCCTCATTAGTTGTTACGTTTTGTATCCATTTTTGTCTGTAGGTAATTATAAGGTTGTTTAATGTAAAATTCCAAAGATATAGTGTACTTATTTAACAGGCGCGGCTCGAGGCCTAGTCTTCGAGGAGGCTACGGAGGCTTCTTTTGAAAGGTACACCCTATATACACTGCTCAACAATTGAAGTGGATATTTTAAAATTTTGTTTTTTTTCTGTCAATAAAATAAAATAAAAAAATCATGTAACATAGAAAACATTTTATTGATTATATGTATAACTGAAAAGAAAAACCATTTAATTGAAAATTACAGGAAAATTAAAAATTTGAAAAAGTAACAACAAAAAAATCCTGCATTGCGCACTTTACAAAATTAATATCTTGTTGGACCTCCCCTTGCTCGTCTTAGTGCTGTTACTCTATTTGGCATGCTCGCTATTAAATTATTGATAAATTGTTGAGGTATGGTTTCCCAAATTGTCTGCAACTCATTACCCAACTGTTCTAAGGTTTGGGGAGGCTGTTGACTTCGGTTTAATCGCCTAGACATTTCAGCCCAAACATGCTCGATACAATTCATATCTGGTGAACAGGGTGGCCAATCCATTCTTGTAATTCCATGATGTTCTATGCGATCGTTTACAATTCTCGCATGATGAGAACGAGCATTATCGTCAATAAAAACAAATCGTTCACCTATTGCACCAAAAAATGGTACAGTTATCGGCTCTATAACCCTGTCCCGATATCGTATGGCAGTCATTGTCTCATTAGTTAAGACCACTAAATCATTGCGACCATTGATAACATATGCCTCTCCAGATGCAAACTGATTCACCACCAAAAAGAGTTGTTGGGACCATTAAATTTTCATTGTATCGCTGTCCTCTTTCTCGTCATACCAATATTCGGCTATCACACGTATACAAACGAAATCTGGACTCGTAGGTAAAGAGGCAGTGCCTCCAATTTTGAAAAATCCAAAAACTGTGTTCTTCCGCCCACCGATATCGGTATGCACGCTGCTCCGCCGTCAGTCTTGGGTGTGTTGTGCGACGTCTAGCTCTTAAGTTACATGCATGCAACCTTCTTCTGATAGTTTGACCAGAAATTACTCGTCCAGTAGCTTGTCTAAAGAAGGTGTTAATTCTTGTAGCCGTAAATGTTCGGTTTGTTCTCGCAGTCAGGACTATAAAGCGGTCTTGAGCACGAGTTGTAGCTCGTTCTCGTCCTCCCCCATATGTGTACGCTGCAGACCCAGTTGCTTGATACCGATTCCAAGCACACTCTGAGGCACATTTAGCCGCGTGCCGACTTCTTCTTGGGACAAACCTTCCTCTATCCAACGCACTAATTGCTGCAGTTGCACTGTCTTTAATCGTCGTAGCGGCATATTCTTTACTCGAATACACAAAATTATTGATAAAAGTAACAGAACAAAGTAAGAACAAGCTCTTCTGCACAACTGATACTTTACGATTTTTTAACAACCTTCCTGCAATTTTCGTGAAAGAGGTAAGAGCATTGACAACGAACAATAAACATGCAAAAAATAATCGCTGTGAATACATGCAAATTTTTTTTTTTTTTTTAAATATGTTTACATATAAATTTCAGAATTTTACCAATTATCCAGTTCAATTGTTGAGCAGTGTATTTAATACAAATATATATTTCTATTGGAATACAAAAAGCACAAATATTAAATTATATTCTAATTGAAAAATATATTTTTCAAAAGTAGCCCCCTCGTAGGCCAAGAGCGCGCCTGCTGTTTAATTGTATGCAGTTCGTAAACTATTGACCACATATTTATGGTTAATCAAAAGATTTATTTTTTAGCTGTTAATTCAACACTGCTATATTTACAATTATTTTAGCATTGCTTTATGCATGTTTTTTTTTAGGTACCAATGACAAAGCTGGTGGTCCTCATTATGTCCTAAGATGGGGAAATCCTCAATCTGTCAAAGAAACCTTCGTACCACTGACCGAAATTGATTATCCTTACATGAAGCAGTAGGTTAACATTTACATTTAAGTTTCAAACTTTTAGCATAATGCTTTTATTGTGAAACCGGAAGTCAAAAATGGAATAAATTTTTACTTTTTTTTTTTGGAATCATTTTTAGTTTCTTGTTTTTTTTTATAATATTACAAGATCTGTATTACTGTCAAACGTTTGCCTAAATAATTCAAATACAAAAACACCGATTTTTGTCACTTCCGGTAGAACTGCCATTGTTGTTAGCTAGAGTTACCAACTCAGGATGTGTAGAATGTTTCAGTACATGTTGAATATCACAGAAGTCTATTTGACAAAATTTCACTGTTAAATTTAAGTTGTTTGACAACTAGGTGTCAACTAACCGTCTCATAGAGTCTAGAGAATGATAAGATTTGAAATATGTTTAAATTTTCAAATATCTGAATAGCCAAGCTACCTATCATCAACTAAAAGTAGCTTTACACTAAATAACGGTTAGTTGTGTTTTGATGGAAATGTTATATCTAAACACTACCAGTATTATAAGTGACTGGAAAAAATCACTCCATACAAAGATATTTTAAATCGTATTTTCATTGGATTATACCAAAATAAGTATTATGGCATGAATTATGGATTTACTTTATAGAAGAAAAAAAAGTCAATAATGTTATATTGAATTATCAAAGGATTTAATTTATTTTTTTTTAAAGATGTTTAGAAAAGTAAAATAATTAGGAGTAAAATCCGTTACGACAATATTAAATACTAAATAGATAAATGTAAATGAATTTGTGTATACTTGAAATATTTTTTTTTGTCAATTATTTGTATAATGTGTACATTTATTTATTTATGCATGTTGTATATTTCAGGTGTTTTATTTATCTCAAAATATGTAATATTGTAAATTTCACCGATTATTATGAAGTATTAAGAAATAAAAGTAGCAATAAATATTTCAGTTGTCAATTTATTTTTCATCCTTTATGAACTCATTTGAACTGACCAGAAATATAAGAACAAAATTTGTCAAATACAAATTCTGGAAAAATTTTGTAGAATCACTATCTAAAACAACTAAAAAACAACACCAGGGAATGATGGAGTTCATGGGAAAGCTCTAAAAGCAGTAAGTGATATCATATCCACTTTCACACATAATTAATGTCTTTTTGTATGGTCATCTATCCGAATGAACAGAAAATATCAAAAGTCAATACCCATATTTAAGAATAGAGTCCGTAAACGAGGTTAGCAACTACAGAAATATTAGTCTACAGTCGCAATTTGCTAAAATCATTGACTATAGCTACAATATGATATTAACCAACTTTTTAGAACAGAAGGGACTAATACCCAACTGGCAACATGGCTTTTAGACAAAAAAGGTCAACAGAAACTGCAACAAGTGAACTCTGCAATAATGCCTATAATCACCTAAATGATAAAAAATATCCACTAGCTCTTTATTTCGATCTTAGTAGAGCATTTGACACTGTAGATCATGATCTTCTCTTAGAAAAGCTGTATCGCATAGGCGTTTGAGGTGTCACGAATGACTGGGCTGCATCCTATCTGCGGGGAAGATCTCAGATTGTAGCTATAGAAGATGCTAAATCCGCTCCCGGGCTAATAGCAGAAGGTGTTCCCCAGGGCTCAGTTTTAGCCCCACTATTTTTCATCTTGTTTATGAGCGACTTAGAATACTCATGTCTAACACCTAGAGTAACTACCGTTGGTTATACTGATGACACTAATCAACTTATTGCTGAAAACAATCTGTCTGATACAGTTTCTGCCTCAAATATTAGCGCAAATGAATTCCAACATTGGTGCTCAAATAATGGCCTATTACTTAATTCTAATAAAACAGTATTTATGCTTTTCCAACCAAAAAATTCAAGCCTCGACGAAAGTCAATTAATAAAAATTGAACATAAATTTCTTCACCAGGTAAGGGGTCAAGTTTTTAGGTCTAACAATCGATCACAAGCTCACATGGGAAAGCCACATAGATAATCTTTCATCTAATCCACAGTTTATAGCTTAAAAGAATCAGTTCGCTTACTCGGACCAATTGGATGTTCCAAATTAATATCCACTCCAGGGATGCAAATTCAGGATTCGCAGAAGAATGCTGTTTGAATATAGGCGGTTGTCATATATTGTATTGGTTATGAATTGATTCTGTATGCGCCAGGGATACAAATCTGAGTTGCGCAGTGTATAAACTGGACCATTGAGATCAAAAGTGCCGACGCAGAGTGAGCGAACTGATTCTTTAGCTATAAACTGTGTCTAAGCAATGTAGCATTTGCTTTGTCATCAGACAACTTAAACCAACTGTGAATTTGGATGTACTAAAACTAACCTACTACGGACTAGTGCATTCGGTACTTTCACATAGCTTGATTTTCTGGAGAAATTCGGCCCATATGAATAAAGTCTTTCTCTTGCAAACAAGAATTATTAGATGCATGATAGCCTATCCTTCGGAACATTGTCAGCAACATTTTATCAAGTTATCAATATTAACTCTTCCATGCTTGTTTATTTATCTATCGGTGTTATATATTAAAAAAAATCTTTCAAATCAAACAAATAATAATATGATACACCTCTGTCCTACTTGAAGAGGTGGCGAACTTCGTACACCCTTCTCAAGATTAACAGTGGGTCAAAACTCTCCGTATTATCAAGGAACCATCTTTTTAACCATTCTGTTAGAATTTTAGGCAATAGAAAACTTTAAAAAATTCAAATTTATGCTGTTTCAGTTTCTTGCAGGTAAGGCCTTTTACTTTGTTGATGAACTTTTAGCAACTTAAAATATATTTTACCTAATGTTAATTTTAACTGTCTTTTGTGTTAATTTTCTGTATATTATCTGTTATCTTAGTTCTAGAATTTTAAACTTGTATGAATTGTGAATGGTGTTTTTGTTTTTTCTGCTTTTTGTATGGACGTACTGTGTATGAGCTGACTAGTCTGATAAAAATTTTTTAAACATTGTAAAAATGTAAAAAAAAATACTTTATTGGCGAATAAATTCTTTTCTATTCATCATAATCGATCTATCGAGGGAAAATATTGTTTTCATTAAAATTCGGATTTCAGACACCCTAGCACATATCTTAAGATATGCTTTACACGGGTCTGTATTTTGTAGGTTAATCCAGTACTTTGACAGTTGAATTGCATGAGGCTTCTTATATTTGTATAGTTAGATCAATTCGAGATTGAATCGGGTATAACATTCATCAGTTCTTAGTATGCCCAGTCATGGACTAATTTGTTTAGTTTCAGTTCCATTTAATCAGGCCTGACCCTCCTTAATTTTTAGTTACCGACATTAGTTAGTTTTTAGCAAATCAGTTCGTGGAGTTGGAAAATAAGTTCGAAAATTCAAGAATTTAAATATCCTCTCTCCGATTTCTCGGCTACGCTGTACAGCCTGAGGCTATATTGCAGGTTACCCTTCAACTTTTGTTTAAAACATCATCTGGCTTCAACCTCGGCTATGCCGTTTGGCCTAAACACCTACATGTTTTATTTTATGTATTTTTTTACATTTTGTACTTTTTCCTTTCCAATTTTGAATTTTTGGAGTTAAACTTTTTACTTTCAAACTTTCTATTTCGAAATTTTCCATTTCAAATTTTTTTGTTTCTGTTTTGTCAGTTAAACTTGGTATTTTAAAAATTTTGTAATTCAAATTTTTATAGTTCAAACTATTGTTTTCGAAATTTTTATTTGATTTTATTTCACCAACTAAATTAGTGGACTTTTCCCATTGAATCAGGCCTAACCCTCAATTTTTAGTAGGTTATTTTTTTAGTTTCAGCTACCATTGAATCAGGGGCCTATTTCATAAAACTACTTTGCAACTGTTCACTTTAATAATCTGCAAAGATATTTTATGAAATACAAGTATTTTGCACTCGTATATTTGCAAAGTGAAATCTAAGAGTTTTATTAAATAGGCCGCAGGTCTGAATTTCGTAAGTTTTTAGAAGGCCAATTCGGGGATCAATTATTTAGTTTCATCAAGCCTCTCATATTTATATGTAGGTTTTTAATAGACCAATGCCTGCACCAAATCAAGTTTCATCATGATTCTAACCAAACTTTTTAAAATATTTGACTTCACTGATCACCCCCGACAACACGGCTATTGTTTGCATCTCTCTTTAACAGTTACAGTAGGCGTTGGCAATTGAAGTTCGAGATTAACGCGCATCCCCTCTTCAGACAAATTAGGTTGCGATGCCTGTACATACCTTTAAACTATTTTTTACGACCTGTGAACAATATATAAAAGAATAAAACGTATTAAGTGGATGATAATATTTTCTTGAATTTGTGTAGCGTGTACAATTTGAGTTATATTTTATTTTTGTTTGTAGTGTTTTCTTTTGAGTAGTGACTTACTTGTATTAAAATGCCGAAACATTTAAGTAGTCAAGCAAAGGAAATAATATTTCATCTATTCGAATATTTTTTGAAAAAAAATGTTCTTCGGCAACAAATAGTTTTGAAAAAAAAAACAACGATGATATTGAAACTTATAGACAATGTGTTGTGAACGATGATCCCAAAATTCTCACTGAAATTAAAGAACACGTTGCTGAAGCTACAGTATACTCGGTAAAAACAATTGAACGAATAATTATAGAAGGTGAGATATCACAAGGTGAAAAGTCTACGTCGACCATACTTAAACAATTGTTTAAAAGTCCAAAAAAGCGCAAAAGAACATCAAGTGTAATAGATATTCCATCCTACAATATTGGAACAATCAGAAATATAGTTCATATATTTCACGAAACAGAAAGTATGCGCGTAATAGTCAACTCTTAGTGAAAAATTAAAAAAGGAAATTGAGTGGAAAGGGAGCTACACATCATTAAGAACTATTTAAAAAAAATTGGGTTCAAGTGACGAAAAACGCGAAACAGACAGGTTCTAATAGAACGGCTTGACATCAGGGAAAAAAGAATAGATTATATTAAAAAAATTAGATATTTTCGTTCTCAGACCGTCCCATTGTATATATTGATGAAACTTATATACATAGTAGCCATACATCATCACATAGGGTGATAATAATGCAAAAGGTTTGTTTTCCACCATTTCGAAAGGAAAGAGACCTATTATAGTTTATGATGGTGGTAACATGGGCTTTATTCCTAACAGTTTATTAATGTTTGTGTCTGGGGCCAAATCTGGTGATTATCATAATGATATAAATCAAGAAAATTATGAAAAGTAGCTAAGAGAACTGTTAATACCAAATTTACCACCAAATTCTATTGTAGTTGTGGATAATCCACCGTATCACAATGTTATAGAAAATCCTGCTCCGAATTCAAATTCAAGAAAAGCTGAAATGATAAACTGGTTGACGTCCAACAATATTGAATTTCAACCTTCCTTATTAAGACCACAGCTGTACACATTAATCAAACAGAATAAAAATAGATTCAAGCAATACAAATTTGATAGATTATTCTCCGAACACGGTCATACAGTTTTGAGATTGCCACCAAACCACCCAGACTTAAATCCAATAGAAATGATCTGGGCTGTAGTAAAAAATAATGTAGCTATAAAGAATATTCATTTTAAATTAGTACATGTAGCTGAAATTGAATTTAAATCAGTAACCCAAGAAGACTAGAAAAAAAGATGTGCACATGTAATAGCTGTCGAAGATAAATATTTAGATCGCGAAATTATAATGGATGACGTTGTAATTCCTACAGTTATTATTAATTTAATGAAGACAGCAGTGATAGTTCTAGTGATGATTTTGATGACGATTTTTTAGAACTCTCTTAATTTGTTTATGTTTATTTTGTTTGATAGTAGTTATAGCAACAAGGAATAGAGGTTAGTATAAATTCAGTATTTGTTGACCTATAACATATTTTTAAAAAATCCTCGTTGTCTTATTTTAATATTTGCTGATGACATTCACCACTTCTACTTCACCCTCACATTTTGTTAAAATATTAAAGATATCAAGTGCAAAATCATCATTTTTTTTTACCCAATTTTTTTTTTAATAATACCATCAAATGATAGCCATTCTTAGAAACGAGGGCGGACTCGATTTGACCGTTATTAAGGAATAAAATGTTATGTAATTTTCTTAAAATTTTGTGATTAATCTGACCGTGATCATTTTAAAAATCCTATATAAGCAAAAGTAGTATACGCTACTGAGCTTTAATAGTCCAGTAAGATCGTTTGAAGGTGTGTCAGCAGTGGGCAAACTTTACCCCACTACTGACAAATTAGGATGCGATCCTGTAATTGGTTAATAAATGATTATATACTTGAGGCATGTTATCTACTTACTCTAGAAATAAATTTAGAAAAGTTCAAAAAAATATTAGGTAACAAAAGGCACTCAAAAAAAATACTGTCACTGTAATTGTCAGTGCAACCAAAATTATGTCATCACTAATTTAGCGTATTTGTTCCCATTGAATACTAAATCGAAATCAAAGCACAAAAAATCACAAATATAAGCAAGATAACAAAAAATTGACGCCAATAAAGCTTACAACAGCCACAACATGAACATAATCGCTGAACAAAGCCAAGCCTGGAATTTGTTTACAGTGCTTTAGGGCAACCTCTCCTTGTCATTTATGTGTGGAAGGTTGAATCATGCATAATTTCTACACTTGTGATGAGTGCGCAGACTTCTTTGTTCAGGCCTGACATTTGTCAGAATTGGTAAAAAATTTTATATGGGACCACCCTTGAGGTACCCCCTTTCTATATAAAAAATCATAGAAATCTGCCATAGTAAATAATTATCACTGAGCATACATAAAAAAAAAATTTTCCGACGAATTGAGAACCTCTTTTAAGTCGCTTAAAAACTGACAATATCCAGGCCTAATTCAATAGATTCCTTCACGTTAAGATTGATTTAGAAAAATCTCCAACACTTTAAATGCAAATGTCTCGAAACTAGTAAGAGAAAATATTAATTTTAGAATCTGCTTAAAACAATAGGAGTAAATATGCACAAAAATGTATCAAATTTCAAAAAGTAGATGAGCTAGACGGCTTCTCAGGCAGTGTAGCATGATGGCCCAACATAAACACAAAAAAAAACTAAAATATATTAAAAAATACTTTATTTTTAATATCAATGGCTGATGTTTAATAGTACTATACAATTAATTTACAAAAAATAACATTTATATTTACAATAAATAACTTCATTAATTTGTACTTTCAACAATCGAAAAGACAAACGAAACACACCCAAATCGTAACAGCGAACCGTGATTCAAAATCGCGGATCCTTCCCAACCTTTTTTTAGTTCTTCCGAATTGTTCACGCAACAGCACTCTAACCTACAAAAACAAATTAAATGTATCAGAGTTATAACAAGTAGTAAACAAAGTATACCCATTAATATGGAGTGATCCACAAAAAATGTTTCTAAAGTAGAGTGACAAAAATCCGATTTGACATTTTATTTAATGTTTAAAAAAGTTCCCGTTGCAATTAATATTAGAAGTGTTGCAAGAAAATTGTGAATATCTTGAAAATCAAATGATCAGCGCACAATGTGCACAAAAGGACCTAAATAAGGTCCGTATTTATAAACAGAACTCAGCTGAGTCGAACTTGGGTAAGTTGTCCTTGAACGAAAATCGAAGTTCGGTTATATCGCGTGAATTTAGAGATGGGTAGTAACAAATCCGTAAATGTACATAACAGTTACAGTTAATCTGAATCAGAAAAGACCAGTGAAAATAAAATACATAGTGTCATTTCACCTATTTTCAATGTTTTATCAGTATCTAGTTATTCTTTTGTTGAAAACATTGGACTGTTAAAAAAAATAACTTCTAAAAGTAAATAATGATAGTGCATGGGACGAAATTACTTATAGACATACGAAAAAGTGACAATATATCGTTGGTACTGGCACTGAGAGTGTTGCGACACTATAAAAAGTATGCCAAAATGTTACTTGTTTATAGAATAAATACTAGTACTAATGTAACAATTATGGAAAATTTGCTGAAGCCTCATTTTCCTGAAGTATTGTGTGAAAATTTCAAATCTTGCTATCCAGGATCACAGGCATCTTTGAAAGTGCGAATTTATCAAGAAAATTTCGGGTAAGCAATAGATTCATCAGTTTGGCCAACAAAATACCTGTTAATAATTTTTATCTCCAGAAAAATGTCCAGTCCCAGAGAAGATTTTTAATCCAAAGTTATTGCTACTAAATGTGCAAATCATAAATGAGAACGAAATATGTAAAATTAATAATTTTAATAATGTTCACATCCTCTGTTTAAGTTGTGGGAACACAATGAATCTATAAATCAAATTCATCTAAAAAAAATTTGATGTGGTAAGCAGTTACTCTCAAAGTACATTTTTAAGGAGAGGTGGAGTAGGAATATTGGTTAGGAATGGTGTAAGTGTAAAATAGATATCAAACAATTTTGTATCGATATAAGGATTCAGAAATTTGGTACTTTACTTTTAAAGAAAAATTCAAGGTTGAACAAAGAATCAGTTTGGAATTACTTTCAGTCTTGTGTAGTTATCACAAACATGACTCATATCTCTGCCTTTGTCGCTTATGTCCTACTTTAAAAACATTTTTTAGAGATAACTATACCATAATTAAAATTAGGAACTAAATTTATTAATAGCAAAGTCATTTACCTTTCTACACAATCCACGGCTGACATTTTGGATTCTAAGGAAGACTTCCGAGGTTTATTCGCTTTCCTTTTCTTATCAATAATTTCCCTAACCTGCATTTCAATATTGGCACTCTTCTCTTCAGTTGATACATTATAATCGGGCCGTTTTGTAAAAATATTATTTGAATAAAGTACGTTGTTTACATATGTTCCATAGGGCGAGTAGTTTATTAACTCATAGTGTTTTGTGTACTGAAAATAGGGAAAAATTATAATAAAAAACAATAGTTTATCGAATTCGAATCTTACCTCGTCATAGAATACAATGGCATGTTTCGGTACAATGTTATTGCAGAACCCAAACTTTTCTAGATTGACATCATTTGATGACCCTTTACCTATATTTAAAACTCTATACCTCATTGCTACTGCCTCGGGAAAGCGTAAGGATACAGTCGGGCGGAAACCCATGAAACTTGCATCGTGCCTTACATCCGTTGGATCCACCTACAAAAAACATTTATTGTTGGTTAGCTAATATTAATATAATTTAATTTTAGTCAAGAAAATAATATTTTCTTTTAATGTCGAAATTGGTTTACAATTTTAAATTCAGAATAGTTAAAAATTTGCTTTAAAATGGGGGAACACCCAGAAAACAGGAAGGTGTTGATAAAGTCAATTTTGGTTCCACTTACAGTTAACTTCTAACCAAGCTTTTAACAAAAACATCATTGAATTTGACATATACGTTCTATTTTTTTTTTAATATTTTGCAGGTCATAATAAATAGTTTGAATGTATGTAATTGGTAACTAAACGATTATATATTTGATTTTTTATACAAAGGCAAAATGTAGATTAAAAACGAAGACACCACAAATGACTACTAACTTTTATATGTTTTAACGGTGTTTTCGAATTTTCGTTAAATTCCTTATTAAAATGTGAAAAATGTACCAAAAAAAATCCAAAGTTTGGAAGTATTTTACAAATGATTAGTCTAAGAAATGAAAATACAAACATTGTTGCCAAAATGTTTTTGAAAATGCATCCAAAATGGAGAAACATTTAATTGGGTGTCTTCTATGCCAAGGTTGACTACTTTTGCAGGCATGTCCGTCGGGCTCTTAGAATATATATAGTCAGGAAGGAGGAATCCTAAACGACCTTGGAATCGCGATGGTATCTAATTTTGACAGTGAACTAGACGAATATGACGACAAGTGTTTCCGGTGTACTAGTGACGTACTGTCATAAAGGGGCGTAGAAAAGAAAATAATAAATTCTCAGTTGCCTTTTTTTTATTAACCTTCATTATGTGAATAAATTTTACTTTAAAATTGCACGTTGGGTGGGATAAATATAGGAAAATATTTTTGGGATCATTTATAGAGGGATTTCATTTGAAAAATCAAAGCAATAATGTATTAAAAATAAAAATATTGACTTTTTACGTCTTTATTATGACAATGTCTTTATTAATTTACATTTTAGAAATTAGTAAGGTTTGAAAAATAAATATGTTTTGTAGATATGCGTTAAAAAAAATTAAATATCCTGTACTTATATTTAGGTCAAACACCACTGTGATATTTCTTTCTTAGATGTTTTTGTTGGAGTACATATAAAACTTCCTAATATCGAAGAGAATGTCTGATCATTTTATTACATATTTTTTTTTGTGTGTCATCGGCATCAACTGCTAAGGTTATTAGCCTCGTGTTCTGTTTAGGCTTTGTTACTGTTTCCCAGCGCCACTTTAGGAACAGCACTGTTAATTAGAACCCAACAGTGAATGGTCGAGTGGGGAATCCCACCAAGGCATCAGAATTAATTTTAAATAATTTAAATTAAATAAAAAAATCCCGGCCAACGGTGGGATTCGAACCTGGGACCCTTGGATCCACAGGCAGAAACTCTACCACTGAGCCACCCACCCCATTACATAATATTATTAGTAATATGTTTTACAGGACAATTTTGCATAAGCAAGTAAAACACCTTTACAAGAAAGGATCCTATAACGTAATAATGATTCTGAGTGCAAAATAGATTATTTTTAAATGTACATTCAACGCATTATTTGTATGTTTAGTCCAGTTATGGTGAGAGTCAATTTGTACTCTAAGGTATTTGATATCGTTTGTAATACTAATGAAACTAATGAACGTTACCTTTTATTGTTTCTATAGGAAGAGGCCATCTTTTTGTAACTGTATAATGGAACAACATAAGTTTTATCAAAGGTTTGTAAGTTTTTATAATTAAACCATTCGAAAATTTTTATAAGATCTGTTTCTATTAATAATTTTAATCAATTCCAGTTCTCTACATTTTGCAGAATAACTGTGTCGTCTGAAAAACTTACAATATTTCCATTTGTATTTAAACGACAAATTATTTAAAATAAAATTAAACAAGATAGAATCTAAGACAGTATCTTGAGGCATGCGATATGCTACTTATTTCCTTACTTGAGATATTATTAATTCTATTTGTGTTCGTTTTTGTAAATAACTTTGTAATAAATTATATAGGGTGCATCATATTCATACAATAAAATTCTATTATACGAAAAAAATGGCACATGATATAGTTAGTAAAGAATTTATTTACTTATATACTTCAACCGTACCACTTTTATTGTTGGAACAGCTGTTGGTAGAAGTCTTTTTCTTGGTTTTGGGGTTCGATCAAAACAATCTGCTTTAAAATGGCGTGAACACAAAAAATTAAGATATTTTGGCTCACAATTTGTTTGTTTCATGAACTCAAGCCATACCTTTGTTTTTTGAGAATCTCTAGGAAATCTGAAAATTGTCTACCTGGAATTAATTTATATAAATTGTAAATCTAGAATCTTTAAGAAATCTGAAGATGGTTTACTTGCAATCAGTTTATAAATCTAAATTGAACAATAATTTATTTATTTTAACAATCACATACATATCTTAAAATTGCATAAAAGAATTGTTTAAATAAAAGTTTGCATACCCTATAAACCATGAGACTACTACGCCTATGAGCACAGTTGATCGCAGACGCTCTTACCATGTTTGTTTACAGATTTACAACATTAAAAATTTTAAAAATCTTTAATGTGGTTGAAAATTGAGAGAACAAAATACTTGCTTATGAAATGTAGATTATTCCTTTCTACTTTTATATATCCACAAGACGAACAACTAACCAGAGTGCCTTGTTTGTGTTTTAACGCGGAAAATTTAAAATTAATAGTAATACTAAATAAATACTAAAACACTAACACTTTTTAAAAATGTCTACAAAACATACGCTTGATAAAAGTTTAAATTAACACATAAAACATCCAAATTATTAAGAAATTTTAATCACTAAAATTATAAACCAATTTTAGAAACCATTTATCATATGATGATGAGTCATGCATAGTACAACATGGCTACCACTTCCGTCAGATCGATTAGATTAACGCGGACATGGCATGCTCCTTCCTGACTATATATGTTCTAAGGTCGGGCTAGTCCATAAATTATTACTTTTCATGAAAAGTGTCGCATCACTAACACATAATATTTTTATTTTTATAAAATTGTCAATTTTTCTTTTTCATATTGTACTGTTATAAATATACAAGTTTAATTTAACAACCTCCGTAAACTCTGTTTGGTTATTGCATTTGAACAGGTTATGAACCCAGAGTACATGTGGATGTAAAGGTAACCGTAAAACAGAATTTATTTAATAAGTTAAAAAAACTAGGTTAGCGTGGTCGAGTAAGACGATAATGGAGATTAAGGCCCATACCAATAAGATAGAAGGTGCCGTGAACTGTCCCAGTGGAGGCAGCAGACTGAACTTCTTTTACGTCATAATGAAAAGTTGAGGGTTGTAACTGGAGAGATGAATTTTCCAGAAACTCCAGTACATCCCGCAGATCCAAACAACAATACAAACAAAGAATGTAATGAAAAGTATGCGGAATATCTAACTCATTATAAGGCTTTTAAGAAATCTGATGCTTTGCTCAGTTAATTTTAGTAGTGATCATAAACGATATAAACCTTGAAATTACTGCTACTTGTTCATTGAAATCTACTCAAAGTAAATTAATATATGCGCAGAGTTCCTGTCAAAGGGTGATACGCTCCTGGAACAATTCTTTAGTTCCGAAAAAAAAATTCAGAAGACATTAAAATGCACATCGCTGGTCATCAGACATACTTTAGCCAGTTGAACGATGAACTGAAGAGACTAGTAAAAACAGAATTGCCAGATTTACTCCTTTGCGCCAAATAATGTCACTCTTCCAAAAGAGCTTTTAATTCAAACGCGTGTGGAAATAAATATGTGTCTATAGAGGAGAGAAGCGTTAATAAGCTGGCTAATAACTGATTGATACTAATATAAATGCGATTACCTTCCAAAAGAAACGAAATAGAAGATCAATTTTAAACTGTTATAAATGAAATCTGCTGGTAAAAATACCATCAAAAGGTCAAGAACTGGAGTTGTAAGCACGTATTCAGCTTCTGCTATCATATGTCGTATTCGAAAGCAAAAAGGTGTCTTACTTTTCACAGAAGCTAAATATACTGCGGCCAGCGAGGCAATCAAAGATCTAATTTGGTTAAAAATGTTATTAGAAGAAATTACAGAATTTCAAAAGAAACCAGTTTTGTACATTAACAATAATAATTCGATTAAACTTGCAAGAAACCCCAAATATTATGCTAGTTCAATATCCTTCCAGTGATAGTAAAGTTGTAGATATTATGAGTAAATTTTTTTCTGTACATTCAGTTTATTAAACTAAGAGGTATGAGTGTAGATAAATTTTGGGAAGAAAAATTAAAATCATCTTATTCGCCCAGTATACAGATACTGGAAGATGTAGTGAACTGGTCCATTTTTCCTTTTTAATATTGTACTATATATAAGAATAATTAAATAGCGATCGTAAACTCTGTTTAGTTAATGCATTTCAACACTATTAAACTACATTAATAAAGTTGTGGCAGTTTTTATCTTTCTTAATCAATTTTACATGAATCCGATGGTGTGCATTGTACCTATCTTTAATTTCTGATTTAGAGTAAGAACATTACACTAAAAATAAAAATAATCAAAACCGGATTCGTATTTTGAAATGTAAAAGTAAAAAGTTAAACCTACACAATAAACAATAATTTCAAAATAAATATGTCCGAAAAAACGAATCATAATTGATCAAAATCTAAAATGGAATGAACAAATACAATCTCTTATAACCAAATTGCGAAGATTTATTATATACAAATTTTATCAAATGAGAAATTTTATGAATCACACAGCTAATATTTACAAATCACTAGTAGAGTCAATCCTTCGATATGTGATAATTATTTGAGGGGATTTATATGATACAACCTTACAGCCTCTCAGAGTTATACCAACTCGCATTGTCGAAATTATCTACAAAAACCATCACTTTACCCAACAGCTCTCCTGTACAATAATGAAATCCTAAACATAACACTACTTATAATTATGTTGTATTTTCATATATAAAAAACCACATCTAAGAACTACTGTTACAAATCCCCACAACACAAGAGCCAAGTCAAATAACAGCTTGATGACACCAACATGTCAATGTGACGATCTGTAACCACAATTTCTGCCAAAATTTTTAATAAGCTAGTGATAAATATAACCAAATTACATATATTTCGACTTAAAGCTAAACAATATGTTACTGTTAACTTAGATTTATTTAAGGAGATTTTATAAATTGTCTGATACACCCCCACCCCACATTGGAAAAAATGTTTTCTTTGTTATCGTCCCAACACGTTTTGTAAATTTATACTTTAGTTTATTTGTATGCTATAGCACACACAGGTAGACACCTAGTTGCTTATTTTTCATTCTTTAATTTATTATTAAGTGACTGTCAAATATAAAATGTATATGTAAATCTTAAATAAAAAAAAATAGCACTGCGTGATTATCAACCATTGACACAAATCTCCATTTTGTAAACATTTCAATCAGAAAATATGACAGAATATACAAGAAAAAAAAACGACAATGAATCTGTCATATTTTTCAGTTTTATTCATTACCTACCTCAGTAGTACGCACATTATAAAAGTGTTTCGACACCACAGGACACATCATGGCTCTAGCTCGAATAGTGGGTTTAGATTTTGTCTTCTTTTTCGGACTGCTAAACACCCGCGAGATCCTGTCGATGTCGGCGGGCGTCAAAAGTTCGCTGGGCAGTGGCATATGTCGCAATTTTTCCCTTATAGCGGGAGAGAAGAGGTTGTTTGCCGATGCGGGCGTGTTGAGGAGCTGTTGGATACGTTGGTAGGCTAGAAGACGGATCAGTCTATCGTCCAGCTGTTTCAGTTCAAGCTCAACTAAAAAAAAAGACCATATTTATTTTGTTATATGTTTTTTCATTGGTGCATCATAGGTCTTTGAAAGAAAGCATGAAACATTCATTCTAGTTTACAAATATTTTATAGCAATTTTGACAGGTAAAAATACAATTTTTATACCAGATTAGGAATTTACAAAGTATCTAATGTCTTTTCCCAATAATTATAATAATCAGCATATTTTTGGTTATTTAATGAGTAGTAAGTCAATAGTATGAAAATCTTGGCAGATTATAAACATTTTTAAATAATAAACATTTTTAAATAATATACATTATTATTTTCTAGTTAAGTACTTTTTTATAAATAAATCAAAATTTCTTATGAAGCCTAATATTTAATAATGACTACACTTTTATTAACAAATCTGAAATAATATTGCTAATATAACCGTATACAGATCCATATAACATTAGAAAAAAAAAACGATATCAAATTGAAATATTCAATATAAGAGAATGAAGCCTATGCGCTAGTTCAGTGATGTAATTATGGTTCCACTGACAATTAAAGTGACAGTAGATTTTTTGAGTGCGTTTTGTTCGTTTTGTTTACCTAAATTATATCGTTTTTTTCACTTTTATAAATATATTCCTAAAGTAGATAGCATGTATCAAATATACAATCGTTTAGTTACCAATTACATACCTTTAAACTATTTTTTATGACCTGTAAACAATATTTTGAAATAAAATAAAAACAGTAAAAATGTATATGTCAAATTTATTGATGTTTTTGTTAAAAGTTTGGTTAGAATTAAATGTCAGTGGAACCAAAATGACATCACACTAAACTAGCGCATTGATTCTGAACAAAAATCTGATTGAAAATAAGCGTTAAGGAGGGTCTGTTAAACTATAAATAGTATAATATAGAATGCCAAACATTCTTCATTCTAATACATAACTATACATTATTACAAAGTTGCCAAGTATTATCCCCAAAAGGCGAATATGTTTTCACAATGCGTAGCTTTTCAGTGGTTAATTACTATATTTTTGCTCTAGTTGACATGTATTATCTGACTTTGCATATGTTTTTAATTTCAGTTTAAAACTGACACATATATGAAGTTTCTGTCCCTTGGTTTATTAGGAAACGTCCTGAAGTTCCAAATATTTTATATTCGCGAGGTACTGCCTAAATGGAATCAAAGGGTTTAGGTTTGCAAACAATTTTACTGCAGGTAAGCATACAAATTTAATATATATTTTGATTTGCATTTTAACTCTGAGATAGAATTAATAGGAAAATAAAACATTTGGCTATAAAATTTAAATTTTCAGGATATATCGGTACATGTAGCAGGAAATAGGAGACATAAACTTTTCAAATATAATTTCTTCAACAACCAGTGATATCTGAATGGCAAAATATTGTAAACGGTAAAGTTTCCTATGGACTATTATAAAAATTTGACTATTATAGATCAGTATTCTTCAATGCCAATTTATACTAAGCAGCTAAGCTAGTCACTAGACAAAACAACCTAGGAAATTAATTTATAAAATTAAAAAAATATGTTTCCGATAACAAATTTTATTAACTAAATGCTATTCAAAAAGGTTTTGGAAAGATAAAAATTTCTTGTTTAAGTCAATATATGGCAAGTAACCTATAAAATTTCTTTTGATTCAATTTTTCTCAGAAATTCATGGGTATTTGGCAATTTTTTTGTTTTTTGTTTTTTTTTAAACTCCGTATATAAGTAAAATAGGTATTTTTTAGTGTACCAAAATTTTTCTTAAAATCCCGACGTCCCTAATTTTATACGGAGCCCAGTATACAAAACACTGAAGCAACTAATGTTAAAAAATAAGGTAAATATTACAAAGACGCCCTTTTCTTAAAAATACAATTTTTTTTACAAATCTTACATTTTTGGCTTTAGGCAGGAGAGTATTTTTCAAATATACCACCGGAAACCCCATAAATTAATGTTTTTTTTTTTTTTTATTTACATATTAAAGGCTAATGAGGATCATTTAGTGATCATGTAAACTTATTTATTAGAATTTAGAATTTCTCATGCTGTCAATACAAATTAGTGCAGTGTTGCCAAGTGTCCAATTAAAATCAACGAAAACGAAATATAAAAAAATACCTTATTTTTGACATAACATTCTGACAAGCAGTTCTAATTATTTATTTCCGATCACACCCGATGATTTGTTTATCCATTTGTTTCAATTGTTGTAGTACATAATTTCTAAATATTAATATTACGTCATCTATAAAATAATAAACAATGTACTTTTCGAAAACTTTGAAACATAATTACTTTGTGTTATCCAAAAGTTTTTAAAACTTTTTTGAACCAAGTGATTTTACTTTTTTGAAAAATGACACCAGCCACCCTAATTTAAAGAGTACTATCAACAAGAGGCTAGCTGAATTAGTTCAATTTGTGCTGGGTTAACTGTGCCGTCACTCGGTGGACACTTTTAAGGCATTTCTTTATAAGCTTACCATAACATACTTGGTTACAGTATTGTGGTTAATCTAGTGACGTCATACATACCGTGGTAACGTCACACATACCGTGTAGGGTCCGGTTACAATTATTAGAAGAACACAGCTACGTCTTAACCATTACTTTGAATTTTGAATACATATTATCTATAACTGACAATAAATAAAAAATAAGTAAGTTGTTAGGTATAAAACAATATTTCCTATAATACTGGTATTCCACTAAACCCCCGGTAGGCGGCGATAAGCAATTAATTACTTTTCCAAATGATGACGTAGCTGTGTTCTTCTAATTGTAATCGGACCCTAACGTAACACATAACGTGGTAACCTATTATTTAATGTTATATGTCAAATTTAATTTAAATTTGGGGATTTCTTAAAGGAATTTTAAGAAATTTTAGTATGTTTTGATTTTGTTATTTTTTATTACAGTATGTTCTAGTAAGCTTATAATGAAATGCGTCGTTAGATGTAACATATGACGTCACCAGCGTAACCAAATCTTATAAAGAAATACTCTGGTAATATAAGTATGTTCTGGTAAGCTTATAAAGAAATGTATTTTAAGTTCCCATTTAAAACGTACATCGATACACCCATTTTTTAAATTATGATTTATTTTATAAATTTTTATCCGAAACGCTTATTGTAAACCTATAAGAATTCAAAACAATAAAAAGTTCCCTGTCGCACCTACACCATAAAAGCACGCTTGTCCTTCCACGTCCTAACTACCTTAGAAGCGAGCGCTTTTGGTTTGGTGTTTCGAAATTCGCATGTGCCCTTTTTACACTTACACCATAAGAGTACGCTTCGCTCGTCCCACCCACCTGCTAAACGCTACAGTTGCAAGCGCCCTTTTTGCACCTACACCAAAAGAGCACACTACGCTCGTCCCACTCACCTCCTACTACAGAAGACAAAGTGGTATTTGCAGTAACACATTCCATGCGCATGCCGGCCCGCGAATATACAACACGACGAAACAATATTAGTATTTTACGTTACTTTTTGTACACTCTGTACATAAATTTTGACTTATACCTTAACATTTCAAATTTCTCAATATTTATAGATGATGTAATATTAATATTTAATTATTATGTACTTCAACAATTCAATCAAAATGGTTAAATAAATTGTCAGATGTGACTGGCAATAAATTATAGAAGTGCTTTTTAAAGTGTATGGAAATTTTATGTCAAAAATAAGGTATTTTTTATATTTCTTTTTCGTTGATATTAATTGGACACTTGGCAACACCGCGCATATTTGGATTGACAGAGCATGATAGATATAATGCGCTAGTTCAGTGTGATGTCCATTTTGGTTCCACTGACATTTAATTCTAGCCAAACTTTTAACAAAAATATCAATAAATTTGACATATACGTTCTGTTTTTAGTTTATTTCTAAATATTGTTTACAGGTCATAAAAATAGTTGAAAGGTATGTAAATTAGTAACTAAACGATTGTATATTTGATGCATGTTATATACTTACTTTAGGAATATATTTATACAAGTGAAAAAACGATATAATTTAGGTAAACACAACGAACAAAACGCACTCAAAACATCTACTGTCACTTTAATTGTCAGTAGAACCATAATTACTTCATCACTGAACCAGCGCATTCTAAATTCTAATTAATAAGTTTACATAAATGATCACTTAATGATCCTCATAAGCCTTTGATATATAAATTTAAAAAAAAAACGATAATTTATGGGGTTTCCAGTGGTATATTTGAAAAATACTATCCTTCCTAAAGCCTAAAATGTAAGTTTTGTAAAAAAAAATGTATTTTTAAGAAACTGACCTTCTTCCCAATATTTATCAAAAATAAGCAAAATTTATGACTTCACTAGGTACTTAAGTAACTAGTGTAGTCCCGGTACCATTACCTTCTAAATACAAATTTATTGAATGAAATACACTCAGTGTCTACAGCTTGAATAGAAATGTTTGAATCATCAATGTTTATAATTGTTTACAAATTATTCTTGATAAAAAATGTTTTCAAAACTAATTCTACACAGCATTATTTCTGTGTCTCCAAATAATAATAAATTATTATTAAACCACTCAAAAATTTAAATAAAATAAATTACTCTCTTACCTTTAAAATCGTTAAAACAGCTGAGGAATAAAATAATTCAATGTATTATTTTCAAGATAGATAATATTGTTAAACTGACAATCAGTTGTCAAATTACTGAAAATTACACTCATTAACTTCAGTCCACAGCCTGCCATGTTTTTTAAATTCACAATAAATATTTAATAAACAAGGATCACATAATAATTTTTGAAACAACGCCAAATTAAAAGGATTTAACGCAAAGCGTTATTATTTTGCAGACATCATAGTCAGTAACTGATTATTATAATAATTATTGAAGAGATACAACAAATTCCAATCATTTATTGTTTATGACCAAGTATTATTCATACCTTTTCATGGTCATGATTATTAATTAAAATATTGCACCTAATATATTTATTATAATGTAAAGGATGATTCGTCATATCAACATATTTTTTATTAGGAATATATACAAAAAAAAAAATAGATTTTTTAATAAGGAATAATATAGAAAAAAAGATTGTAAAACTTTCAGTTTAGTTCTAAAATTATTATTTTTCATTTCATGTTTTAATAGCGCAGAAAATACTTACTTTCAGTGGTTAGTCCAGATATCATATCACTGATAAAATTTTGCTCCTTTTTCATAAGTTCCTTTTCGAAAAATCCACCATTTAAATTTTCGTTTTTTACATAGCCATTCACAGCCGTCCAGTCAGGGATATTGCCAGTTATATCCTCATAATTAATTTCTTCGCTATTTTTATTTTTAATATCACAATTTGATTCACCTAAAATGGTTTCTTGGTTATTTTTATTTTTTAGAACAATAATTTATTCAAGATTAAAAACCATTTTGAACTATTTAATGACAAGGCAGTTTTAAATAATCTGATATTGATTTTTCCTTTAAACCCTTAAATGTACCTTCAAAATTGAAATCGATTAAGAAGATTCATATGGGAATATTTTGAAATCAAATGAAAGCCTAAAATTAAAATTTGTAGACAATTTATTTGTCTCTCTTTACCAAGATGTGCTTTTTATGTGCAGACTCCATAATGTCATTGGGCGCGTTCAGCCGACGCAACAGTTGAGTAAGGTGACTTGTAGGGTCTTCTCAACGTCACTTGTTGAGTTTTGGTTTAACCGTTGCTCAACATCGGCACCAGGAAAATTCTATGGTGACTTTTGTAAACGAAGTATTGTACTCAGTGTTGCAAACTAAAGGAATTTTTAATTCAGAGATTTCTAGTGGTTTTTATTGATTTATAACAACTCTAGGAGGATAAAGCTGATCATATGTGATTATAACCTCACATTTTTTAACTTTGAACATGAATTTTGTTGTTTTTTAAACTCTAAAGTTAAACCATGATGAAAAATGTCCGTTATGACCACATACTTTCATTTTCTCTTACTATACGGAGAATGGTCGCACTGCGCAGCTTTCTGAGTGCCTTTTAAAAGGAGATAGAAAACTCCGCCATTTTGATGCCTTATTACGTGTTGCCTACATCTTGGCGCAATATTTTTAATATTTTGCTTGCTGCTGCCAGTGTCAGTGAACAAGTTTTGAGGATTTATATATCATTTTGTGTTTTAGACGTGATTTACACGATTATTTTTAATTAATTGGTGATTGTATGTTAATTTTTAGTGCTTTGTTGTTCTCTTTATATTGTCTAAATACCAGGATGTATATACTACCAGTTTAACATTTAGGAAATATATGTGTTGCCTAACCCAGTAGTAAAAGCACAGTTTACTGCTAAAGAATCAGTTAGCTCACTCGGACCAGTTGAATATTCCAAAATAACATCCACTCCAGGGATAACAAATTCAGGATGCGCAGAAGACTGCTGTTTGAATATAGGCAGTTGCCATATATTGTATTGTCCGATCTGCGCAGTGTTTAAACTGGAACATTGAGATCAAAAGTGCCGACGCAGAGTGAGCGAACTGATTCTTTAGTTATTAACTGTGGTAAAGGCATCAAAATGTATGTGTATGACTGATTATGACTTAGTATATTTTTACATGATCTTAATTTGTAACCGAAAATGATTTTATTTATATCACCACTAGAGGTCACCACGTGTATGTGTATTGTCTAACCGCTGAACCAACTTATACCGTTCAGGTACTTTTAATTGTTGACTTCCACCATATCAGAAACATGTTTTCGGTTTTAATCAACTGTTGCGTCGGCTGAACGCGCCCATTATATCTATTCCAGTACATTTAGAAATAGGATTTGATCATGAATAAATTGCTGCAATGTTTACTTCTTAATATTTTCTATCTTTATTAAAGCACTGAACTTCTATACTATTTTTATTGTATAAAAAATGAAATATGACTTTATTACAATGTGTACCCAACATATTGTGACAAATAATATAGTTTATAATGAGATAGAGAGCAATACACATTTTGCAAATTATCAGGAGTTGATTGGATATACTATACACGTGATCAGATTCAATTATGTTGTAAGTTAGGATGAAACAACTCATTAGGACTATTTAAAATTTGCCGAGAATCTGATGCTTAAAGGATTCTAGGAAGAAGAAGAAATAACCTGAGATGAGGTACACCCATTGTATACAAAAACATAAGAATGAACAACATATTTTAAATTACTAGCTCACCTAATTCGTCATGTTCTGGCTCTATCTTAACACTATCTTCGTTGATTACAATTTCTTCTACTTTAACTATATTTTCATCTAATTTTTCTAAGTTTTTTCTTCTGTTTTCAACATATTCTAACCTTAGTACGTCCCTCAAACGTGGCAGCAAATTTACCGGTTTTTTATAATGATATTTTACCATGTCTGGTACTGTAACTGTGTTTTTGGGCGGTAGCGCTTTTTTGATTCTGAACGGAGGATTTTTCCTGTGTACTTTCCGGAAAAATTGCAGTTTGACAGTATCTTGGTCCACAGGTCCTGTGAATCTGTCCCATAATTTAACACGTTCGGTGGCCGAAACTGATGTTAACAATGTAGAATCCTAAATTCAGAGGAAATAAAGCCTTGTAAAAATAAAAAACAATTTTTTTATTACATAAATAATTAACAATCATATTCAGAAGTAAACATTTGACACTCTGAATCTGAATGGTAAGCGTTTTTGGATCATGCTTGCATAAAATTATTGACATATGCTGTAAAAGTAAAGAATACTGTTTTAGAAACACAATGGAAAATAAAATTTTGAGATACATGGTATTTTTGAAAGAACAAACTTTTATAGTATTTGTTAACTTGCAAAGTAAATCTGCTGTTAATATCATCAAGCAAACCTGGTACAGATAGAGTGTATTTTGAGAAAGTAAATCCTTTGTCCATAACTCAAACACTAAGTAACGGCAAAATATGTATTTATTCAATAGACAAACTCCGACCCCGAGGCATATTTAATGTTGAACATTTGAAAACGGAGTTCTTGTGAATGAAGGGGCGCGTCCAACTGAGGAATTTTTCTAGAATTATTTTTTAGCTATATTGAGTGGGAAAGTGAAATGTTTGCGATGCCAGAGATAGAATATAAACGAATGCAGGTTTTTAGTTTGGGTCGTACTGGTGCCTACGTGACATTTTTCACGTTTTAAAGGAAATATATTTATCTTGTAGTGTCTTGAGCTAGATGAATTGTTATTGGTAGGATATAAAATGTGCATTTCTTAAATGCGCGGGTTTAAACACAAATGGGTTGAAGAGGGCGTTTGGAAAATATTATGTTTAAATTTGAGAATGTGTTATGAAATTTAAACTATTACAGAAAAATAATTATGAATTATTTTGTGTATATGTTACGGGCAGTGTTGTAAATTTGGAACTAACGATATCGACCGGACACTAACGTCAGCAGAATGCCCAATCAAATAGGAGATTTACGAAAATGACCGGCCAATATCGTTAAAGACCGAAATATCATCTTTGACCGTAACATATATATAAAAATCAAAGAACGCCTCCCGAGGGTTGAGTGCCTATCGGGCGCGACTCCAGGTGGCAATATGTATGGCTGCATCAATGACTTTCCAGATTGGTAGGCAAACTGGTATCGATTAGTTAACAGGGTTAATTGCAGTGGCGGTTTGCCCGTAAGGGCACTTGGGAACGTGCTCTAGTATAATAAACAAACAAAAATAACTTACATATTTTATATTTTCCTCAATGCCTATTTTTATTTTTTCTAATATTCAGTGCAAACCGCGTTGGCACGACACTGGACGACCGGGCGTTGAGCGACGTTCCGAAAATTCCGAACTTAAGTGGAAGATGGGCACAGTAAATGTGTGCCTCTGTTGTTTTCTCTCTCATTATGATGCGAAAAACAAGGACAACGACAATATCGCTTAGCAAGAGATGAACACATGCAATGGATTATACGTCACAAGCGGGGCGCTGTCCTCATCGTGACGTGCTGTACCCATGGCACAGATTACCTAGACCAGATACGAATGTACGCAGCGGCATCTTTACCGGCTCCCTCACAAAGGCGATGCCGGTTTCGGCTTAAGGTGCGCGTTTGTTGGACCATGATAATAATTTATTTATTGTGATTACGAAAAAACGTTAGTTGGACCATTGGAATAGTTAAGAAATAAAACTACAAAGAAAAATAACTTTTTTTTATGTAAAGCAGTCAAAAAATATGATGAAAAAATCAATAATGAGTCTTATAAATAATTTAATGGTGTACATTTTCGCAAATTGTTGGCAAGGATGACCAAATTCTATTTTGCTCATCTCAAAAAGGTATGGGTTGAAAATTCCAGGCTTAGTTGACAAACTATCAAATAGAGATATAAATATTTTTCTAATTTGAAAATATAAAAGAGACATTTTTCGCTGGGAGATTTTAAATTGCCAAACACCTTTTCTTCAGAGTCGTATGCTTTAAAATGCTCCTACACGATGGAATTTTACATCGAAGTGTGTCAATACTATTTATGTTTATAATGTCTCGAAGAAATTATGAACACAGAATTAGATAAAAAAACTATTAATCAGACTAACGGGTTGATAAATTTTGAAAGACAGATTTTAGTTTCTGGTTATTTTTCTTCAGCAAAATAATGCCAAATTGCAATATATTTTTTGATCAACTGCAGAGTAGACAGATCAATGCTCTCAAGGTTAAGATAAACATATCAAATTTTGCAGCAGCTATTCAAAATATTAGAAATAATAAAGACACGCTAATTCATGAAGAATGACAATCACAACAAGACCCACAAGAACTAAACTTAAACGACAACACCCAATCAGGTCCAAGTACAGCAAGAAGAGACGGTTTGTTGAAAAGGAGGACCCCATTCCTAATTTAAGGATATGTAAGGAAATTTGTGATACAATAGTAGTACAGGTAAATGAACGTTTTAGTTTTACTACCCACATAACAATTGCAAGTTTATTTGCTACTGAAAAATTTAAAGACTACCGAGGTTGTTTTCCAAATGAGGACGTTAAAACTGTGTGTAGTTTATTTCCAAACAGCTTAAAATTCAAAAACTAACTGTCCATACTTTACACCCGAGATAACTTTGTGCAACACAATGGGGCCGTACCGTTATTACAAATGTTTTTTGAGAACAATTTGACAATTACATTTTCGGAATCTGTGGAGCTGCTAACTATCCTGTGTACAATTCCCATGACCACAGTGGAGAGTGAAAGATGTTTTTCGACACTAAAACGTATTAAAACATTTTTAAGGAACACTATGTGCCAAGATAGATTGTGCCCGTTAGCCATGTTATCCATCAAAAAAAAACACTTATTCGGTCCATTTCAAATTTTAATAATCTGGTCATCGATCACTTCGCTAGCCAAAAATCCAGAAGACTGGACTTCAACTATAAGAAATAGTATACAACTGCAGCGGTACCTAGCAGTTAGTCTTCAATTTTGTAATATTTAATTTGTTTTGTAATATATTTAATTTTCATTAAGCAGAGAACTTGTTTTCCTAAGGGAAAAACGAATCCCGGAATTCCCTTCCAGTGTGTGCCCCACTGCCGCTAGTGCCCACGAGCCGCCACTGGTTAATTGGAAAACTAATCCTGTTACTTATTACTTTTTAACTATAGTAAATAGCCAACAATGTTACTATTGCAACATGACAATCCTTAACAGGCAGATTTGCATACTCAATTCTTTTGACTTGAAGGTACCTACACAATTGAAACACGTCTTGAGTTTGAAAATGGTAAAGTTGAGTATCTAAAACAAGAGTTCTGGCTTTGTTTTGTTTCAAATCAGTTATATCATAATGTAACCCACTATTTTGAAATTATTTTTCTACAGTTTCTATAATTTAAGAAAAAAATAACTACATTTTCAATGAAGACGAAACCAAAACCAAACACAAGCTTTTAAATCCTACTTATATATAAATGCGACAGTTTGTATGGATGTTTGTTACTCAATCACGCCAGAACGGCTGAACGGATCAGGATGAAATTTGGCAGAAAGATAGATTCTAGTCTGCAATAGCACATAGCTTACTTTTTATCCCGGAAAAATGTACGGTTCCCGTGGGATAGATTTGTTTTCACAGAGCAAGGGATCAGACATAATGTTTGCATAGTGGTAGTGAAACATGAAAATTTGAAATACAGCTACTGAGCATAAATAAATAATGAAGTATTTCAGGGTTTTTGGATTTTTACTTTTTAAGGGGGGTAACGGGAGTTGAAAGTTTGTATGAAAAAATCGATTTTTTAAAGATAAAAACTTGAGAATTGGATTATAGCTACTCATCACAAATAAATAATGACGCGTTTGAAAGTTTTTGGATTTTCATATTTTATGAGGGGAAGGGGGGAAAGAGGGAAGGGGGGGGAGGGGTGAAAGATTGTATGGGGGTATCGATTTTATAAAAGTAGGAACTTGAAAATTGGAATTGTAGCTATTCATCATAAGTAGATACTGACGTATTTCAAGGAGAAATAAGGAGTATCATAAAAATAAATAATAAATAAAATAAAAATAAATAAACAAAAAAATAACAATAAAAAAATAAACAAAAATAAATAAAAATTAATAAAAATAATTATTAGTAAATTAAAATAACTACAGATTAATAAAAAAATATTAAAAAATAAATAATAAAAATTAATAAAAAATAATAAAAATTAATAAAAATGATTAAAAACTAATAAATATTAATAAAAATTGATAAAAATTAATGAAAATTATTGAAACTTAATGAAAATTAAATTAAAAAAAAATTGATAAAAATTAATAAAATTATTAATAAAAAAAATTGCCAGGTATTGCATGAAAAAATTTCTCTTGAGTAACGAAATCTGTTATTCACTTTTAATAATTGTGGTTTGAGAAATTTCAGTGAAGTGGTATCGGGTCAGCATTTTGTAAATAATGAAATACAAATTTATTGGCTAAAACTTACCAAACAATGTTCAACATGTTGTGGACACATCCACATTCCAGAGGGTGGATTAGTTAAGGGTGGATCTAAACAATCTAAATGGTAAAAACTGTCACAAAAATCACAAGCAATCAATGGTGCAACTCTGCAAGATCTTCTACATTCGCTACACTTTTTGGCTGGCAATGGAACAATACCCCCAGGACCTTTTTCATGGGCTGAGGCCTTTGTCTTTCTGCCTACCTTTGAGTACGGTATTTCTATCAAGAAGGAAATAAGTCAATAATAAAGTGATAATTAAACTAGGTGTCCACTAACCTTTATCAACTCCTGGAAACACACAGGGCACACTCATACTTCTTGGCAATTCAAATTGTTTTGGATTCATTGCATTTGCAGCTTCTATCAGTACCTCCATAGGGCTCAACTTTAGTTTTTTAGGTTCTTTGGCAACAGAAGTACTCGGTGGTGTACTATTTGATCTCTTACTACGTAGCTGTGGTGTGGCAGTAGTAACTTCTTTTTGTTTGGCAAATCTACATGACTGACACAACCATTCTCCTCTGGGTATGTCTTTTTCTTCAAGAGGTGGATCACTAAAGGAAAAAATAACCTTTAAAAGAAACCATATAATTAATGTGTATGTACTGAAACAATTGCATTTAGGATACTATCGAAATTCCTTTAAATTACTTTGAAGATGCAGTATCTAAAAATGATATTATATAGATTAACGCAATATTACTAGAGGAAAAATGGGAACATCATTTTTTTAATAATTCATGTGTAGCAGTTAACATTTTTTGATTTTGAACAATATCTCCATGTTTTGAACAGTTTGTTTGATTAATTTCAAACTAGGAAATACATGTCAAAATAACTTAAATTAATTTTTAAACCTGTCAGTTACTTGGTCTCCCATAAAAAGAATACTAAATTGTAACATATAAGTCCTTATATCAAAAACAATCTTCTATGTAGAAATTGGTTTCAAAATAGTTTTTGTACTATTAGAAAGTAGAGTAGTAGTTAGGTACATATAAAAAATTGCAGATTATCTACATTTAAGTGAGAAATTTAATGTTAAAATTTCAAAAATTGTGCATTTTTAAACAAATATTTTGACGTATTTGTACAGGATTGCCAAGTATTTTAATATATAAGAAGATGTATCTAATATTAAAATTCATATATTATCATTACCTTAACATGTAAATCTTCTAACTCCATACGTAATAACTTTACAGGAGAAGCACAAAACCGTTTCATTTAGATATTGGAAAAAAAAATAATTAGATCATTAGGGCTTTATTTAAAGGAAACTTTTAATAAAGACCTAATGATCTAATTATTTTTTTTTTCTTCCAATATCTAAATGAAACTGTTTTGCTTTTCCTGTAAAATTATTAGTATGGAGTTAGGTTAACATTATTATATATTTATTATTTATTTGAATACAAATTACAGGCCTTTTTTATTTTAATTAGATAAAATAACAAACTGTATCAAACATCACTCCCTGGCCCCTCACACAGATCATAGAATAATATCTGTTCACATCAGCTTAAAAAATAATTTATAAAATTAAAAATTAATCCTTTGTATTTCGTTTAACAGTTTTAATGAAATTTAGCCTATCAGAGAGTATTCGACTTTCCCACACTTGAGTGTTAATTGGCTGTTGGAAAACATACATAATTTTGATATGTTCAGGAAACATTGCCTTCAGTAACTTTCTATCAAGTCATTCTTTTAAATTTATTTTTTAATAATATATATAAAAAAAATTAGTTATTAAAGTAAAATGAAAGTAATTTTGGCAACACAGCTCAATTTCATGGAAAGTAGTAAAGTTATTAAGTTTGAGGTTAGATCTATTTATTTATTTTTATTTATTTATTATACGGGATAACCCCATTAAAGAAATTTATACAATTTACAATATAAAAAGGCAGGTAGAAAATAGTATACTACACACCGAGGTGGGAAGAGTTTCATTCTTGTCGTGAGATTAGTTAGAAAACCGAGACGCGAAGCGTCGAGGTTAGCTATGATCTCGAGACAGGAATGAAACTTCCTACCGAGGTTTGTATACTATTTTATTTACAACCATCATATTTCGATCAAAGTTAATAAATCTCTGTTTCGTTCTGAACATACCTAAAATATTACATTTAATGACAAATTACCAAGCGCGCGGTTTTCTCAGAATAATCAAGTAAATATATTGTTACTGTGATTACGGGGTAAACAACTGTCACCAATATAAATAAATGTCAGATAAAGCCGGATATTAAATTCGCGAATAATAAATATCAATAAGTAGTTTGTTGTATTTTAGTTCATTGTTGTTTGTCAAAAAATGTGTTATTTTTTTTAAATATAAAAAATATTCATCTAGAATAGATGAAATGAGGGCGGGAAGTGAGGGCGGGAAGTAGAGGTGTGTAAAGTGACACTTCCTAACCTTCAATGACGTTAGTAATGACATTACATATATGGTTGTAAATAAATACTATTACTATAACATTACTAAAACAAAACAAAAAACAAAGTACAAAAGTGAGTTTTTACAGTAATTAATTAAGGTGAATTTAAATATACGTTAAATATAAGTTAAGCAACATGTATCACATTTTTACAATTGGTTTTAAATTTTGCTAATCCCATATTAAAAATATCTAAATTAAGATTATTCAACATAGACAAATATCTGTCAATAGGACTGTTGATGCCAAAGCTCGTTCTATGAAACGGTATAATAAATGTTAATGGATATCTCAGTCCAAGGTAATAAGGAACATTTAGGCTAATCCTGCTCAAAAGAGGACACTATAATTCCATTTAAAATGTTGAATAAAAATACTAAGCCAAATATGTCTCTTCTTTCCCTTAAAGGAGGCAAATTTAATTGACTTTCTATAGCACTATAATCATGATCTGAAATCCTGACATTACTTTTAACTGCACATACTCTCAAAAATTTGTGTTGTACCCTTTCCAAAGTATCAGAATGAATTTGAAAAAATGGTGACCACACAATTGAGCCATACTCAAGCACAGATCTAACTAATGAGCAGTAGACCATTCTGGTGGCATCAGTGGAGAAGTACTTACAATTACTTATAACAAATCCTAACATTTTTGATCCTTTAATAGAAATTGAGTTTATATGTTCAAGAAATGCTAGTTTTTCATCAAAAATGACACCCAGATCTTTTACTGTTGATTTATATTCAAGTTGGTGATCATTAATAAAACATTTATTTTCGTTTAAGTACAATTTGTTTTTATTACACCACTCTACTAAGCGATTCAAATCCTCCTCAAGGAGTTCTTGATCACAAATGTTCTCTACTGTTCTCCAAAACTTGAGATCGTCAGCAAACTTAGCACATTGGCTGGCTGTACACAAAACAACCAACAATATCATTCACAAAAATTTTAAAAAGAAGAGGTGAGCTATGACCCCCTTGAGGTACACCAGATGTAACATTAATTGTATCTGAGTAGTAACAACCTATTTTTACCCTTTGAATACAATCAGTCAATCAGCTTTCCCACCACAAAACAAAGCCTAAGTTGAAGCCAACTGAAGGCAACTTATTTAACAAAATATTGTGGCTTTTGAAAAGTTTGTGTAGATTGAGTCGGTTTGTTTTTTTGTCTTCCATGTTTTGAAGAACATTTAATTGATAGGTTGTTAAGTTTGAAACAGTTGATCTGTTCTGGGAAAAACGTTGTTCCTGACAGATTAAGCCTTTACATTGCCAAGTCAGTTGTTTGCTAACTAGGCTATCAAATAATTTTGGTATAGCAGATTGTATACAGATACTACGGTAATTCTCGATGTTGTTCTTTTCCCCACTTTTGAAAATAGGAACAATATTGCTTACTTTCTAGATCTCAGGAAAAATAGAACATTCCAACAATTTGTTAAACAGCAAAAATAAGGGTACAACAATTTCTTTAATAAAAAGTTAGGAACACCATCTGGACCTGATGTTAACTTATTTGGAATATTTAAAATTTCATTGAAGATGTCAGATTTTGATATTACATTACTCCTTATATTGTTGCTTGGGATCTTGTCTCTAGTTACATCATCAGTATTATCACTAATAGTGTATATAGTTTGAAATAAGTCCCTAAATAGATTTGCAATATCTTGGCCACATACAGCCTCTTGATTGTCATAGAACATGGAACTGGGCAAATTGTGGTTAGAGCGTTTGTCGTTTATAAACTTCCAGAAAGATTTAGGATCTTCTATCAATTTCGCATCTAGACCCCTAATATAATTATTAAAACAAATGTCAGAGAGCCTCTTACATTCTGAACGCAACTGAGAAAATCTAACATAACTTTCATGTGACTGCTCTCTTTTATACTCAGAATGTAGGAGTTTTTTTTCCAAAGTTAACTTACGCAGATCGGAAGAAAACCACTTAGGAAAAGTAGATACCTTTTAAGAGGGATAAATAAAGCAATTCCAGCTAACAAGAGTTCATAAAACAAATTAGTATTCATATTTTTTAGGCATTCACTCCAGTCTATTAATGCCAAATAATTATTTAGTTCTATGTAGTTACAGTTTCTAAAATCAATCAAATTCATTATATACTAGATCATTAGACTTAGAATTTGTAGAAAGTGCTATAGTAAATTCATAACTTCATAACAAAACTTAAATTAACTAGAGGATCAACAGCCCTACATCTATTAAAAGCTTTAATTCTTTAACTTTAAGAAGTATTTAATTAAAATATGATTGATATATTTTTTTTTAAGTTTCTACACCGAGTGTGAGCTAAAATTGTAATTATTATTAAATCATTCAAAAAACAAAATGAATTTGATAAAATTTATTGTCGACCACAATCAAAAAATGTATTAACAAAAACACTTAAAACTCATGAACAATATTTTTTTTCAGATATTTTCAGGAAACACAAAAACACTCATTTGACAGAATCCATAAATTCAACTGTCAGATTATAATAGCTGCCAACACAATCAAAGACATGTGGATTATTTTCATATTTAATAAATTATCCACATATTGTTTAAAAAACCATTCTATTAATCTTCAAAAATATGTGAATTTTTCATTGCGTTAACTTACTGACATCCAAAATGAAAACTATAAGGACATTTATCACAACATATTAGGTCACCACCCTCCCCACAGGCATCACACATATCATGATTGTGTCCCTTTCCAGGTCTCTTATAATAAGGATGCTCAGGCTTTTTATTCTTCTCATTATCATCCTCACTTTGAGGAGGTGCTATTAATGCTTGTATTTGCTAAAAAAGAAAACCAAGTATTTAAATCCACAAATAGTTTATGTTCCTAATTATATACATAGCTGTGCTTCAGTATTAATATATTCAACACATTCACTGTGTTCCAAAAAGGTCTTGAACTCTTTGATTATTACTTTATTGTTTTATAAACAGGATTGTACATATAATTGAAAGTTTAGTATAGACAATAATAGGTTGAAATATGGTATTTTTTTCAGAATATTGCAAATTCTGACAATCCGCCATTTTCTAGCCTTATTTTTCATGCAAAAACAAAAGACAAGCACACTTACATCCATGAGGCCCCCAGAGGTGTCTAGATCATATGTAACCGTAGTCATTGTGTGTTAAAACCTTCTTGTATAATTTTATTCAAATACTTCTTCTAAAATCTGTTAAAACTTCAATTTAAAAATATTTTTTCTTGTTGGTTAATTAATGATTTTCTGTAAATATCCTTCTAAAATTAATACTAATCATTTGAAATGTATATCCTAATCACTGGTACACTAACAAGGACAATATTCTTGAGTATTATTGCTTTTGAACAATATATTTTATACTTATTATTTACCTAAAAGTACGTTTGACATTTCACATAGTTGGCGCCGTTGTTGATGGTGCCATTTTGATTTTTCGGAATGTCACGCTCACACATGCGTATCAGTTTCTTCTAGTCCATTTCTAGTGTACAGCAAAAGTCGCTCTAACCATTTTCGCTAAATTAAATGACGTCATTAAGTGTTTTATCGATCTTCAAAGTCAATTTTTAAGTTTTAGGGTTCCCTGAATCTAGCTATTTTCGCGATGATGTCGTTTGTGTGTGTCTGTATACTCGATAACTCATGAACGGGCAATTTTTAATTTAAGTTTTAATCCATCCTGCATTGAGGCGATTAGATTTTGAGCAAAGTCGGAACATCTGGGGGGGGGGTTACTTAATACGGGGTCGTTTTTCTAATGGAATGTTATTTACGCTTAGAGTAGAAAATTGCTTGTAATGTTATCTCTACACTCTACAATTTTTGTCCCATACATGATTTCCTTAAAATGGACCGTATCCGAGAAATTGTCAAAATGTGCAAAATTCGAATTTTTAAGAAAATCTTTCAAATAAGAGCCGTTTAAAATATAATTTTATTCCATTCATGATTTCTCTAAAATGCACCGTAATGGAAAAAATTTCGAGGAAAAGTGTAATTTCAGTATTTCCGGTGGTAATAAATATATAAAAAAACGTTTCAAGATGTGTGCGGAAAATATATGTATTTAGTTTATTCTCTAAACATTTAGATGAGGGGCGATACAAGTTGTACAAAATAACCGGAAAAAGCCTATTATAGCTAGACAGGAAAGTCATATATGCACAGAACACTGTCATATGTGTTGAACACATTAAATATTTTTCCTACGACCACTTAGGAAAGTGACACATATCACACTATAAAGTCCTATGGAAAGTGCCCTATATCACACGCGTATGAATAAGAATTTACTTTCCACCCGAGTGAGAATATGTTACTTTCCGCAGTAGTTGTTACAAAATGTCAAATACTTAATTTCTATTTTGATCTATGTAATGTCCATATTAATACTAAAATCGATATGATTGTTAAATTATTGAAATTGTTGTAAATTAGATCCTAGATATTTATCTTTAACAATTATTATTAAAATAATTTTAAAATAACTAAGATTATGTTTGCTTTTTATTCTGGTTAAACATATAACCGATTAGATCACTCAATTGACGAAAGGCCTGTTAGTTCAGTTGGTTAGAGCATCAAACTATCAAATTTGCCATTTGAGAGACCTGGCGAACGACCGGGTTCGAATCCTGGCGGGGCCAGAACTTTTTTGTTTTTTAATTTTCTTTTTTGTTTAAAAAATATGAAAATTGAATAAATACGATTGTTGTTGATTATTTTTTTAAATACATTTTAATTATTATAATAACCTGGTTTTACATTTTTTGATGAAAATATTTTGTGGTCGTAGGAAAAATATTGTACATCACTAGTGTGAAAAGTGATTTTCCACACTCGTGTGATAGTCGCACTCGGCTTGTGCCTCGTGCGACAATATTTCCCACTCGTGTGAAAAATGTCACTTTCCACATTCGTAATGTAATATACTATTTTGTTTAGGTAGGCGATTGTAAATTTTTAAATTGTTGAAATTATTCTAAATTACTATTTGAAAATGGAGTGGTAATAATAATCAGTGCTCTTTTTTGAAATAAAAATAAGGCATATAAGCTTTTTTATATTAAATTTGACTAATGTAACATGGTTCAACATAGGATTTGAAGGGGGCATATTAACATTAATTTAAAGTCTGTTGATAACAACATATCCAGATTTCAATCTCAGTGGGCTATCGTGTCTGAGTACATTTTCCTCCTTTGAAGTTTCCTCACCTATTAGTCAAATGGCACCTTCAATCAGCTGTAAGAAGGCAAATAATAATCACTACCTCTCATATAGCTCTGCTACTTAGGGTTAACACAATATTGTTGAAATGTGGAGAGATTATTATTGATCCATTTTACCACTATGAAATGTACATTTCATCAGAAAAAATAAAACAAATAAGTGTATAAAAATTTTATCAATATAACAATAGACATAATTTTAAGGCTTCTAAAAAGAAATTAAAGTTCATAAAAATGAGAGAGAACATAACTTTATTTTTAACCTTTTCTACTGCCCTTGTGACATAATTAAATTTATCAAAATTCACAATTTTTAAAATATTCAATGCAGATATAAAAACATAAAATTGGACTTTTAATTTTTGTAGTTAATGTTTAGGCCTGTGTTTGCTATTTTAAATAGCTATATGTCTCGATTTAAAGGAAATAATAAATAATTTCAAAATCAACAAAGAAATGCAGTCTGTTTTAATAATTTTTTATTATTTAAACCACTCTCCGTACTTCAAAGAACCTTTTGAGGTAATAAACTTGCCCCATAGTCATTGCAACCAAGATGAGAGCTTCAAAAAATGACCACATAACTACCCTAGAGTTTGTACTTTCATTGATGCTTCTGTGAATCCTGTCTCTCACTTGCATGTACTCCTGTTCTTGTTTTACACCAGATAAGGAATCTGAAATAAAACATTACAATTATTCAGGTATAGCAACTAATCTAAAATAGTTTTGAGATAATTTAAATTATAGAAGAAACTTCATGTGCCTATACTATTAAAAATTATACCTAAGTGAGTAAAGGTTTTAAACTATAAAAATGACTTACTTGTTAATTCCTTGATCATTTCTTCCAATTTATTTGCATTTTCACCCTCAGCCTGTTCAGCTTTGGGAGATTCTCCAATCGCCATGTTAAACATCACAACTTTTGGAGTCATAGTTGACATTTTATTCGAGAAACAGTAAGTATAGGTTCCCGAAGAATGAGCAGCAAAAGTGTATTTTCCTGAAGTCTCTCTTTCTCCTTGATAAATATTGTTTCCCTTTGGATCTATAATACGTACGTCTATATCTAGAAAACCACCTTCTGCTATTTCGAATGTGAGACCTAAAAGTTTGTTAAATTAGAAATCTTACAATATTGAAAATAAACAAGTTCATTACCCATTTTTGTACCAGCTTCAACTTTGTCGAAGAAACATTCTTCTGCGTGTGCATCTACGGTTATGAAGTAAGCAAAACTATGATTTATATAAAAACATATCAATGTTATAACACAGCCAAAAATATTCATTATTGTGCAGAATTAAAATTTTAGAAAATGAAAATATATATGCGGCCACGTAACCTCACCTCTACGTTTTTAAAGAAAATTTGACATGTTTGACATATGTTCGCAGTTCGCATTAGCTGACATTTGACATGTAAAAAAAAAAGATAAATCAAGAATGCATTCCTACGTTGTCAGTTAAGTTCGCTACTCTTGCCAGAACAGCTTCAGGTTGTACTCTATCCTTGTTAGACATTCGAAAATACCTTTAATCATGTTTGCCAACATAATTTTAATTTGCTGAAACAGTCAGAACAGTACAATGGAACTACTAAACTGAGACGAGTGTTTTGACTTTTTTTTGACATAGGCTGGTTCTGGTTTTGACATTTTGCTTAATGGCTAATGGTTTGAGTTAAGTGGTGACATAACGAAACGGAGTTTATAAAATAATATAGAAAAAATGAGTTTAGGACTAAACAAGTTATATTCAATAGCCCAAACAGGTAATATTTTTCTTTAGTTGCAAGAGATGTATAAACATAATAAGTAAACTATAACATTTTTAAATTTCGTGTGATCGTAATGAAATCATTTTTAGGTTCAAAATATATAAAACCTGGATTAAAAACTGTTGGTAGAAGATGCGCATCTAGCGCTCCTAAAGATGGGTTTATTTACGTTAATAAAGAAGAGCCCAGTATGGATTTTGGAGATATCACAGGTATCTAAAAATCTATTTCAAATTCTCATAAATTAATGACTATTATTTTAGATCGTGCGGCTCAAACATTGTTCCTTACCGAATTGGTTAGAGGATTTGGGGTTACTTTAGCACATATCTTTAAAGAGCCTGCAACAATTAATTACCCATTCGAAAAAGGACCATTAAGTCCTAGATTTAGAGGAGAGCATGCTTTAAGAAGGTATCCTTCTGGCGAAGAAAGATGTATTGCCTGCAAACTGTGTGAAGCAATATGTCCAGCCCAGGTAAGGAAATATATTAAATTAATTATAAAAAAATACATTCTACTGTCATTGAGTATAACAGTTTTTCTTTTAATGGTGTGCTAATTTTGTGAATCCATTCAATAAAAAAATATTTAAATCTTGATTTTATAAACTTGTATATTGTGGTAGAAGTTCTATATATGGCTTATTTTCTACTTTCTAATCAATATAAAAGTATCTGATATATCTGAATTTGTTTTAATATTTGCAACTATCTTAAAAATATATCAATTTTATTGTACTGCTTGTTATTCAAAATTTATTTGGAGTATGCTTCATTTTACCAAATCTACATAAATAAACTTAAAAGGGACCTTAAAAGGCTGCATAATATCACATTTGCTCAATAAAGTAGGTATTTATGTCCCTCCTAGAGCAACTTGTCAGAACTATATTTTCCGTGAACCTTCCATGAACAAGACTAGCTAATCAGTATTCACAGCTTGTGGATTTCTTTGTTATTTGTAATTCCTGTGATTCACAAATAAAAGATGTCTTGTGTCAACTTTTAAATGTGTTAAACATCATCTGTTGTAACTATTTTTTTTATTATTTTATTTTTGAATGTCTTTTCCACTATTCTATATATGTATTTTTATATTGTAATTATTTTTCTGAACAGGGATCTTCCCTGTTTATTAATAAATAATGTTTTCTGGACTTTTTATTTTTTAGGCAATCACTATTGAAGCAGAAGAAAGAGCTGATGGTTCAAGGCGTACCACCAGATATGATATTGACATGACCAAATGCATCTACTGTGGCTTTTGCCAGGAGGCTTGCCCTGTTGATGCTATTGTTGAAGGTCCCAATTTTGAATTTTCCACAGAAACCCATGAAGAACTTCTGTATAATAAAGAAAAATTGTTAAACAATGGTGATAAATGGGAGTCTGAAATTGCTGCTAACATTCATGCAGACCATTTGTACCGTTAATGTTGTATAATAGTATAATACATTTGTAAAAAGTTGTAGATTAAATTATTTAAAACTTATTTGATTTTGGTATTAAAATAAGTCAATTAAATTTACTAGTTCAATTGTAGATGTTTGGATAGCATTTTATATTATTTCTTTGAAACTTATAAGTAATATTTATTACTAAAGCCAATATAAGAGTAATTGCACAGCTTCTTTTGATAATTCACTTGTAAGTTAATTTTACAGCTTATAGCTACCAAGGAAAATGTGGTGTGACAAATTAGAACTAATCAAATAAAATGGAAAATATGTAGTGTTTAATTTGTCATCACAATAATAACGTATTTCTCTACTTAAAAGCCATAATAGTATATTACACACCGATGAGGGAAGAGTTTCATTCCTGTCGTGAGATTAGTTAGATCACCGAGACGCGAAGCGTCGAGGTTAGCTATGATCTCGAGACAGGAATGAAACTTTCTACCGAGGTTTGTATACTATTTTATTTACAACCATCATATTTCGATCAAAGTTAATAAATCTGTTTCGTTATGAACATACCTAAAATATTACATTTAACGACAAATTACCAAGCGCGCGGTTTTCTCAGAATAATCAAGTAAATATATTGTTACTGTGATTACGGGGTAAACAACTGTCACCAATATAAATAAATGTCAGATACAGCCGGATATTAAATTCGCGAATAATAAATATCAATAAGTAGTTTGTTGTATTATAGTTCATTGTTGTTTTTTATTGTTTGCCATTAAATAGGTATTATAAAATTTGTCAAAAAAAATGTTATTTTTTTTAAATATAAAAAATATTCATCTAGAATAGATGAAATGAGGGCGGGAAGTAGAGGTGTGCAATGTGACACTTCCCAACCTTCAATGACGTTAGTAATGACAACATTACATATGGTTGTAAATAAAGTAACTAACATCCTGCTTTTTATGGCTAGTAGAAAAGAAAATGATGCAGATTAGATTACGTATAACACACAAAAAGGGCGTACTCGCAATAAATCGAACTTAAAAATATAATAAAAGGTGGTCAAATAAAAAAAAACTGTTCCACAACAAATATACAATTTATTTGATAATAAACAGAGTACACATATGATTTTTAACACTTTCAATTAAAATTATGCTTTTTAAATGCATCATTACATAAATAATTTTTTAATATTGTCATCAATGATTTTTTCGATATGATATGCTTCTACAAAAAATCTAAGATCCATTTTTGCAGCTAGAAAAATAACGAGACTAAGAACATTTTTAGGAATTAATAAATTTTAACATAGGTCAAGTAAGTATAATCTTGTTTTTGGATAATAAAAAAAATAGTTTGGTATATATCTGTATACCAGAAATTCCACACTAATGTCAAAAAGGAATATCCTAATATATGGACTTAGAACTAAAAGCCACCATAAATTATTGTTTAGAATAAAGTAAAAATTTTACATTTGCTCAAAATATAGGTCTAGTATTCCAATATATACCTCCCACTTTTTTTTCACAAATTTCTACCAGTTGTTTTAAATATAAATATAATAAATTTTGTTCGAAATTTGAAGTAAACTTTACCAAAGATTCATGTTTTTTAGTAATGAAATGGAAATATTATTTATTCAGGGTCTCGTCAAATCAATAGTGCTAAAATTTTAACTTTTTTTAGCCTTTATAGCAAGGGGATAAAATTTTGACTATGAAAGCTAGAATATTTTCTTACTTTTTATGGTTGCTGTACTTTTTCTCCCATTATTTAAAAACTTATTGATAAGTTTATTTTTTAAATAACAAAACTACAACTATTATGGTAATTTCCTAGCGACATTTTGTGTTTTGCAGTGTTCTTTGTGACTACTGACTGGTGGAGGTAAATTCAAATTTAATTCGTCATCAATCCGACTAAGAGCTTAATTCTGAGCTTAAAGCTCAGAATTTTTACAAATCATACCGTTTTACGCCATATGATCTTCAAACTTCCTAACCTTAATACTATTTGAAGTTGTCAAATAGTGTTCAGCCACCAGATAGTACACAATAAGCTTTTTCGGTTACTAACCCTATCCGTGTTTGGAAACTAGTGGATTAATTACAGATTCCGTTTTGTGACCCTCTCTGCCAGTAGTTTAGTAATAGATCCTCTACGATTTTATGGAGTTTTTTTGCATATAGTCCAACTCGTTCGTAAATTGTCGGCACGAATTTCAATGATCGTGATTCGTCGGGTAAATCCAGTAATCTGGATTTTCAATCTATATAGTAAGTTTCCGAAAACGCCTAATGTTAAAATGTATCTCTTGATTTTTGAGATCCTGAATATAGACAGATTTTTTTTAAACAAATGTTTCATCTAAATAATATCAAATAAATCAGTCAATAGTGAGAAATTTTGTAACGATATGCAATGAAATAAAAATTATTATTTTAAATAAAATACAAAAACGTATTGATGTTTTATCACTTATTCAATAACGAGGGTAGTACAATTATTATAAAGGCTGGCTTAAGATCTATAATATTAATAAATTATACTTCTGGCAACTGTCAAAACCTCAAAAATGTGTTTTTGGAGTTATTTTTTGGTTTTTAACAAAATAGCATATTTTTCAAATAAATTTATAATTTCATATTTATAGAATTCTTGAATTCTCTTTTATATTCTCGTAATAAGATACAGTATAAAAAAAATCATTACAATTTTAAAACAAATATTTTGCTTTTTTTAATTCAATAAAAATAATAAAAGTGAATATAAAAAAATGAAGTGCTTATGTACAATTCAAAAAAAAAATATATATATATATATCAATGGACAATACATAACAATTTAAAAATGGAAGGTATGTTACTACAAAACTGGAAAAATTTGGCTAACATTGAGAATTATTACTTTATAATTTGTACAAACACACACAAAATATTCAATCTATCACACTCAAAGGGAGGACCATTTATACACTTTATTTCATAATTTGTCTAACAAACTCATATGGCAGATTGCTAGGTTATTGAAAAATAGGTGGACATTCAGGTCATGTTACCAGCAGGAAGAGAGACCAGTATTGGCAAATTATTGATCCCGTTTTATACAAGAGTTTGTCAAACAGTTTTTTGCACACCCTCCCTTTTTAATGTCGCAGAGTCGACTGATACAATCTAGATTTTTTTTACTAAATGAGTAACGGTTCATCTTAGAAAATATCACTCTGCTAATTTTTATATTTTTTTGGTCTTTTCTGCAGCTTTAGAGAGCTCTGTAAAAATATCTCCCAACGTTACAGATTATTTTTAACAATTTTGTTATGTACAAATTTGTTATATACAGGGACCTCTAAACTATAAAAATTTTTAAGCAGTGTGGCATAACTAGAAAAACTATCGGATATAGGTTCTTGTTTTAGGGTGTGTAAATGGAAAATATATTAAAGGAATGATTAAAGAATATTTTTTTTATTACTCATACTGTATTATTAACCATGCTTTTTAAACATGCTGTATAGTTTTGGAATTGTTAAAATGAAACGTATAATTCAATTATTAGTACTCAACTATTGAGGATGTTCATAAAAAATATATGTATAGACAAAAGTTTTTCTAAATTATTTTCAAAATATCTACACCTACAATGCAGATAGTTTCATGAGTTTTAAATAATTTTTGGATATATTCAAACGTTTTTGATTTATAATAAATTGAATTTAGGTACTGCAGCAGATTTATATTATGAAAGTCATAGTCATGATAATTGGCGTTTTTCTTATTGTTTAGGTTAGGCTATTATGTTCAAATGGTTATTAAAGATGAAAAAACCGCGGAGTGCTATTGAATTAGAGGGTAAAAATTGGAGATAGGGATTTTACACTTTTTAATTATATCTCGAAAACGAAGCAAAATTCAGGTATAGTTAATAGGATATTTTTTTCATCCCGAAATAGTTTATTGAAATTTTTTTATAAAACTTCATAATGTAAAAAATATTAATAAAAAAGCAAAAAATCCAACTTTTCTTATTTTACAACAAATTGATTTGTATTCAATAAAAAAGTATTTTGTTAATTTGTTCTTGCCCAATTACCTAAAACATACGATGCCACCAAACATGGTTTAGTTTAAGAACATATTTCTAAAGCAGCAGTGGACGTTGTCAACTACATTAAATCTGTAGGCTGGCTCACGAGCTAGGAGGTGCCTATCTACTTAGGAGGATGTACAATGGGCATAGTGATGCCTAAGTGCCGTGGGTTAACCGACCCTCCTCACGTTACAGAAAGAGAACGGTAATCATTTAAACCTTCTCGACTGCGATTGGAAAAAAATCAAAAATTGATTGATTGATTGCCATTTGACAGAGATTTTGATCAACAAGACAGTACACCATAGATACAAATGCAACAACTCCAGTCAAAATACAAAATGATCTTCGTGTAATCATATAATGCGAAACCCACATTGCTAATATAGTGAAGAAAGTCAACCGTCTCGTTTACCTTATCAAAAAAGCTTTTGAAGACCATTCCGAAGATATGATCCTGAAACTGTACACACAACTTACATAAGACCAAAGATGGAATTTGCACAGACCGTTTGGAGTCCGTACTTTGTTAGACATTGAACTGCTGGAAAGAGTACAAGGTAGAGTCACCAAAATACCACCAACCCTACAAAGCAAAAACAGTATTGTGATCGGCTAGCCAAACTACAACTTTAAAGGATGAAAGAAATAGAGGAGACTTGATAGAAACTTACACCTGGACCAGCGGATATTACACCTGAGAGGCCACTCGAAGAAATGAGATAGTGTAATCATTTTTCAAATATATATCTATGGGATGGTCTTCAGGAGCATACAGTCTCTCAAGCCCAGAACTTAAACCAATTTAAGGCGAGAGTGGATAAAGAACTTGAAGAATGAGGAAATAATTTAATTCGTAACAGTATATTAAGTTTTAACCGTCATGTAGTAATTTAAAATGACTAACTAAAAAAGCAGCTTAATCGACCATATGGCTTGCCTGTTCTTAACAATAATAATATTAAAGTGGCTTGCGGATGTACTTCAGGTTGCTACGGAAGCTGTGGTTGTAGGAAATTAGGAAAATAACTTGTTGAATATTTTACAAAGAATGCATGGATGTCAATTGCGAAAATATACGAGAAACAGAGATTACAGGGGCCGATGATCTTGAAGATATAGATGAAGAAATCGATATCCAATTTGATAAGATTATTGAGAGAAATAAAATATAATGAAATGCAAATAATTCGAATAATTAATGAATATTTAATGTTAAATAAAATTTTCTTACCTGAATAAACTTTACTCTCCAAAATTATTGTAAAATATAACTTTTTAAAATAATGAATTTTTATTAACAAATTATCCTAAAACGATAAAGAGATAAACGCGATAAAAAAAGGGTTTGAGAGGCTATATATCGGCCGGTTTTTATCCAAAAAAACTTTTTAACCCACCATTTTAACAAAAATTTTAAGTACTTTTTTATATGAAGCATTGTCTATACCTATCTCTGCTCAGAAAATAAAAAAAAAAAAATGGTTTTTGCTCTTTTTTAAATTCTTTTTTACAAAAAGAAAATTTAAATAATCTATTTAGATATGAAATCGCATTCTCTACAAAAACATTCTTATTAACTATATCTGAATTTTGCTTCGTTTTCGAGATATAATTAAAAAACTGTAAGGGTTACATTTTCACCACTATCTCCAATTTCCACCCTCTAATTCAATTGCACTGCAAGGTTTCTCATTTTTAATGATATTTGATGAAAGAGCACGAAGGTGATCTTTCCTTTCTATGACATAATCAATAGCCTAGATGTCTATCAAGTGAGGTGATGTCAGTAAGGAAAACTTAATCTTTCAATAAAAAGTTTTTAAAAAAATAATGTACCTACTTATTTCTGGTATTCATTAAAACCTTTTTTTAAATAAATTTGATGAATTTAAGAAATAACTTAAATTTTAAATTATTCTTTTTACCACTTTCAAATGGCCCATAAGAGATCCGACACATTGAGTATTTTTTTTTATTGAACTGACATTGTCCTGAAAATCTCCGTAAATAAAGCTTTTATAAAAATAATGAATCAATCAAACCAACTAATAAAAAATATTGTTATTGACGATGTATTAAGCTGCATTTAATACTGTTTATATTTTTCAACTGATAACGAAATAAAAATTTAAAGTATAATTATATAATATGTTAACCCATGGATCCTTCGAAAGAAAGATGGTATGCTTGATTATATTTTCTGACTGCCTACCGTGATGGAACAGATGGATACGCCTTTACCTCTAGTGGGCTGGCGCATACTGTCCTACCTCTCTCTAATCAATAGTATCGCTTATTCTATACCGTTCTTCTGAGGTCAATGTGGGAAACCTAACATACTGTATATTTTAAGATGTCTGTCAAACACAATACCACGAATGTACCAAATATTTAAGTCAATAAGTTTGACTTGGAAAATTTGGGAAATATCAACTTAATCTATTACACCTAAAATGACCCTATATTCAAAGGAATAATTAATTTTAAAATTGTTAAATGCAGTAACAGTTCCACATGAGATCCCAGTTATGACACACTACTGATTAAAAAATGTCCAATTAAAAAAATCGTTTTACTGTTCATTCACTCACAGCTTACAAACATACACACATAATTGCAATATTTTATATATAATATATTTTTTTATAGTGGCTAACAACAGGTTTTCTTTTTCCCCTGTTTGTTGGTTTTCCTTAAATTGACAGTATCATTTTGGGTCACATTCTGCCGCTCTTGCATCTCCAATTTTGAACGCAAGACTAATTTTGTTATTGCTAGGAACATTTCTTCTACATTTATGTTATCTTTTGCCGACGTTTCGAATAATTTTATGTTCATGGTATCAGCAAAACGTTGAGCATCTTCTGTGAGCACCACCTTCCTGTCTGGTGTATCATTTTTATTTCCAACTAAAATTAACATGACAAAACATTAGTACATACATCACGTAACAAAATTTGGATTTGAGTATTAAAAGAACTAATATCTATTTTTAGCCAACTTTGAGATAAAACTATCACTAAAATTCCTACTACCAGTAGTTCCTGGTGAGATAAATCCACTCGATATTATCATACTCAAACATATTAGGTTGTCAGATAGTGTATAATTTATGTTTTTAAATTAATTTTGATTAAATACTTTTTTGATTTGTTACCTATTTGGCAACTTTATTTTGAAAAAGCGAAATAAGCTAATTTTTAATCTTAAAATGTTATCATAATATTTGAATAATCATAATATATTCAGAACTAGACATATAAGTAATTGTGAAACCCATTAAACAATTCTTAAATTTGTTCCCTAGAAGATTACTTTAATTTTCAAGGACGGGGTATCCATCAGAATTCTCGACGAATTTAATTTAAATACATATTTCCCAGGAGGTGCAGGTCTCTATTGACTACAAAAAGAATAAGTGAAAATAAATTACAGAAATATTTGACCATAAATGTTGAAATAATTAACGTCATTAAATTGAGAAAATCAACTCCTTTACCAAATGAGATATCAAAATGATTTTTATGCCATATTTTGTTGCTATTTATATACTCATTGTTAGTATCTAATCAGTTTTTAGAATCAGTTCAAAAATATGCCACAACCCCTATTCTGATATAGCTCATAGACAGAGCTACGGCACTTGTCACTGTTTAGGAATCAAGCTAGCATAGCCAATGTTTCTTAAGAACCACAAGAACAAAAAATAAATTTGTATATATTGCTAAAGCCAAAAATTAGCAAAAATATACTGTAAACCTGGTTCTGATATATCTCATAGAAACAGAAATACAGCACTGGCCATTCTAGCTTAAGCATGGTCAATGTTTCTCGGTAACGACGGGAGCAACAAAACTAAAAATTCGATGAAAAAAAAAATAGGCTTATGACTTTGCCATGCACATCTTATTTTGGAGTTTTAGGTATAGGTATTTTAATACTTTATTGGTGATTTATATATCGATTTTGAGTCCCTGGACAAAGGTTAGTGCCTATCACGTGAAAAAAATCAATAACTACCCAGACAACACACCAAATCCCAGAGATATCCACAGAATATCTTTTGTGGATATCCAATATATCCACAGGATATCAGAAATATTCCGTGGATCTAATATGGATATCCAAATGTCCGTCTTTATCCAAAATATAGAAGATATCCCAATGGATATTCAGCAAAATATCTAATGAGTATCTTCCAGACAATACAAGATATCACAGAGATATCCACAGAATATATTTTGTGGATATCTAATATGGATATAGAAATCAGATATTGAGCAAAATATTTTAAAGGTATCTTTAGTAGAGGTTCATAAGTAACCAATGATTATTGAATAACGTCGAAAGAAAATAGAGATAAAAAATATTTCCAACAATCTGCCTTTGATTTTGGCCACTATAAGGGCACTAAGGAGAAAAGTAGAGATGGGTTGCTTTTTAGTAAACTGCTATTTGACAACTGTTATTTGAACTAAGCAGCTTTCAACTGCTATCAGCTATTACAAATCGCTGCTTCTTAAATAGCAGTTTACCATTTTCACTAATATTTCGATTTCAGATACGCCGATCTTTGTGACTATGTTGTGAGTGCATGGTGCGGATGCGACGATGACAATGGCAAGTTGCTGATGCGAATGTCGTATTTTATACGTGCACTACGGATGTTTATGTTTTTCTGTACAATAACAGTTATGGTTAGACCAAAAATGCTGTGCCCTCTTACAAATATTTTCAGCAAATAAATTTGTTTTAAGAAAATAACTCACAATACAAAACTTACGTCAGAGAGGACGTGATGGCATACAAAGACTAATTTTTTAATTGTTACCATTCCCGTTGTCGTCGATTTATTCTGACAATTTGGGGAACCACCCGCACCGGTTGATATTTAACTCGACAATTATAAGACAGCTTAACAGATTTGAACGCGATCACCGATCGACTAGTAAATAATGAAATACCGGTAAACACTTAAGCAGAGTAGTCGAACTACATGTTGCGATGATTTAATAAACTGCTATTAAAAAGCAGTTACTGTTATAACTGTTATTTAAAAATAGTAGTTTTGCCCATCCCTAGAGAAAAGTCATCCTCATCCTTATTAGGACTCTTCAGCAATAAATGGAAATTCTCGACTCCAGTCTCTAATAGAGTTTGATTGCGAAAAAAAAATTCGATCGAACTCATTTACGGCGGGTTGAGCATGAGTAGATACGAAAGTGGTATCGCCATCTATACTTAGGAAGCAAAATCAAAAATTACATCTAGTAGATATCCACGATGGTTTGCGTCCGCGCTTAGATTTTGATATATTTATAGTGGATGTCCATGGGATATTGAATACACCTTAAAAAATTAATTTTAAATATCTGAACGGTACTATTAGCCACAATGGCGTAATTTTTTAATAATTTGCTATATAATTACTATTATTTATGAACATTTGCATGTCTATAAATTACATTTCATGGATATAAAATAGATATCCACCATGGACTGGACATTCAGTGGATATTGGGATGTTCAGTAGATATCCAAAGGATTTGGTGTGCTGTCTGGGTAGTCTTCATATCAAATATCCGGTTCTTGAAATTTATAATTTGGCTCATTTAACTAATACGAGAGAACGACTATAATTTCAAGTCAAGAATATTTTTAAAAAATAGAGTTAAATTTAAGCTGTAGTATGTTTTTAGGAGTCGTGTTCTTTAGAATTAATACGTTATTTATGTCAAGTTTCTGCAGAAACCTCATGGATACATCTATTCTTACAGAATACAATCGTCACTATAATAAATTTATACATTATTATTATTATTTCCTTTATTTAGCTAGTTTGCTAATATCAAAATATACAAATTTAGTAAAAATATACACATACATAATTTATTCAATTAAAACTAACTAAAATTCTATAGGTTGTTACTGTTTCTGAAGAAATATTCATCAATTAAGAAATCTGTCACTTTGACTTTGAATGTAGTTACAGACGTTTGGACTTTTAAAAAATAGTGAATTTTGTGTTGCACTCTTAACAACTGTTTCAATATAAAAGTTATTTCTGTTCCGCGTTGGATAATTGTGCACATTAGAGTGATAATTAAGCTTCTCTTTTAGGTACCCGTGTTTGATTTTATAAATAAAAATTAACGCATTCCGTAATAAGAGACTTTTGATTGGCATCCACCTCAAGGTTTCAAGCATTAGATTAATGGAAGTATATTTTGAACAGGATATTATTCGCATAGCCCTACTCTACAGCTTCTGAAATCGGTTCAACTCATTTTGATTTAGTAAAAAGAGTATTGTAGAGCAATAATTAAAGAGAGGTAGAATCATAGTATTATATATAATACATTTAGTCCACTGTGATAAGCCAAATGAACTTCTAAATAGCAAATTTAACTTAAATGCAATAGTTTTGATAACAGTGTTGGCATGATCTATGAATCTCATCTGCTTGTCAATCATTACCCCTAAGTATTTGAATTTTTTTACTAACTGTATAGAATTTCCTCCAATTGTTATGTTATATTGTTTATCAACAAACTGTGTATAGTTATAGTTGCTACTTATCAGCATACATTTTGTTTTATTTGTGTTAATTTTTAACAAATTATTGCAACACCATTTATAGACATGTTGCAGTGTTTCATTAACAACTCTTACCAAGTTATCTGAATCCATACAAGAAAAATATATTAGGGCATCATCAGCAAACAGGTAAATGTCACATTGACCCTTGAAATCAACAATGTCATTGATATACACTAAAAACAACAGAGGACCCAATATACTTCCTTGCGGAACACCACTGATATAGTTAATTTCCTTTGACAAAATGTTATTTACTTTTAACTTTGATAATCCACACACCACTCCAATGCTTGCTCTACTATACCCATACTTTAAATTTTTTTATCAAACGGTTTTAATCAACAGTCTCGAATGCCTTTTCAAGATCTATAAAAACTGCCAATGTTAGATAGTTTTTATCAAATTTAGATTTCCAATCATATAAAACACACTGGATAGCTGATTCACAGTTATGTTTGCTTCTGAAGCCCGATTGTATTCTAGTAATAAGTTTATTTTGTTCTAAAAAATTAACAATTTGTTCATAAACGACCTTCTCAATGATTTTTTCGATACAACTTAACATACTAATAGGCCTTAACATATTTGTAGCTTTATTTGCGTTTTTTGTCTTTGGAACAGGCACTACCATAGCAATTTTTAGAATATTAATGTTAATGTCATCTGTGCTACTTTTATTTTTCATTGCAAAAAGAATGTCCCTTAAAGAATCCACTATACATAGTTGAAATTTTCCAAGAAAATGTCCATTGTGTCTGTCTAAAATTTGATAATCTGGTATTGTATGATCAATCATACTAGATATCTTTGCTTGTGTTTAAATAATACAAAAGTGATATATGTATATTTTTGAATCACAATACCAGACTAACTTATTATATACCATTGTCAATACTAGATTCTCGGTAAAGCCTTTTTGGGGAAAGTGCCGGAAAGATTCCTTAGAACGTTCCGTAAAACTGGGAATGTGAGGGAATGTTTCCAAAAACCGAAATAATATTGCCTCTTTATTACATGCATGTATTTAAAAACAAAAATTTAAAAACTTAACACTTAATTTGTTACTGCATTTGTAAAATAAATACTAAGAACATAAATTAAAACATAAAAAAATTAAAATAACCTAATTCAGAGTCTAACTCATTTAAATTAACATCCAGTGAGTCAGAAGAAATAGTTTCTCTCACTTACAGTTCATAGAGCGCTAAGAGAGCTAGTTTTAGATATAAATTAATTGGATATGTAGATGGCGCTGTAAATAAATTTTTTTTTTTGATGGGAGGTTCTTTCTTTTATAGAGCATCCTGTAAAAAATGCATTTTTAAGCAGATGTTGTTCTATAAACTAATTCGATAAATCTAGCTATTTTTGATACACAGTGGGTCACTCAAAACAGTTTCATCCTGTTTTTTCGACATTAATCATTGGATTTTAAGAAAATGCTAAAACAGGTCGATTTTTATTCCAAATTGAACACAATTTTACAATACAGATATCTGTCATGTGTCAACCCCCTCCCTTCCACGTCTCCAACCCCTTAATTTTAAATGAGGAATGTACCATGTATGGCACATCATTGAAAAGATAATTTTATGGGGAAGTCAGAAATTTCTAAAATTGGCTTTGGAGAAATTCACATTTGTCAAGCGTACAATTCTTCTTTTTAAGTGTCATGTTGAATTTACTGTATTTATCAAGGCCTACTTTAGAAACATTTTTTGTGGATCACTTGAGGGATCACTCTTTTACATTATACATATAGTTTATATTATTCTTATTCTACTCTACACACAGTAGTCTGTGTAGTGACTCAAACGCACTAAGTACCTTTCTTCCTAACTCACCGACCTCACCAAGACACTATCATCTTTAGATACCCTTACTTTACATGCCAACCTCTGTTGTCCAGCATAATTATTATTATTAAAGATTGTCATATATACTCTTTTACTTGTCACAATCATCTATTTTACAATTATACATTATTTTATATAATTATTATCAAACTTTATTTAAATATTTAAAATGGTTGAACATCATAACATTAACATTAAATGTTCCACAGTCTCTGAAGAGTATTATAGGTTTACTTTTAAGAAACCAAAATGTTTAATATTGATCCAAATCTAAAAATGGTTGTACCAAATTTCTTATCATCAAGTTTTAAACAACTTTTAAAAATGTCCTTCCGTCCGTTTGATGTCAGGCTTTTTTTCTCAGGATAAGTCAAAAACAAAAAATGATATCAACTTAAAATTTTCAGTAAACATCAAGCTTTATAAGGGAACAAAGCCTACTGACTTAGAAAAAATATTATTAAAAATGGGGGGAAAAGAGGGGGGGGTTGAAATATTAAAAAAAAATTGTAGTCAAAAATGAAAAATGGTGTCAACTTGAAATTTTTAACAAAAATAAAACTTTATAAAGGGACGAAGCCTATGAATAAAAATGGAGCTTAAGGTAGGGTTGAAATAAAAGAAAATCAAAAGCCAAAAGTGATATAAACATGAAAAATTTCTTAAAAATTAAACTCTATTGATTCTGAAAAATATTTGAATAAAAATGGGAGATTAAGGGGTGTCTGTTAAACTGTGAAGAGTATATAAATATAAAGCCAAGCATTATACATCTTCATTCTAGTTTATTTTTTTCAAAATGGCTACATATATTCTTGTTTTCTCCGACAGCAATTTATTTTGTTGTCTCTATGCATATCTATTCAAAACGAATTTGTTAAAATCAATGACACAAATTATGTCACAATAATGCAGAAAATGGTCAAAAATATTATTTGATTTAGAGCACAATCAGTAATTTTTTGTCCAAAATAGCACTTTTATGTTATTTAACATGGCATATCAAAGAAAATTACTTATAAATTTCAAATAGACTGATTTTGGAACATTTGCAATACTTCTATATCCTGAGTGAACCACATTGTAGGTAAATGTTAGGTAATCTTACTATATATTTTTTTATTTGTATGAAATCGTGGATAAAATACTGTTAAACAGAACCTTTGAGATGAAATAAAATGAGGTTATTTTAAATGATTGGTTTTTATCTAAAATAATAAATGTATCAACTTCCAATAGTATTAGGACCTAAGTTAGACCTTTATCTTTAATTTGGCTTTAATTCTTCTCTAATTTAGAAAATCACTCAAATTAACTTTTGGACTACACCTCGGACTACACATATGGTTTTTTACACAGGAATACCCCATTCCTAAGGATAAATATTACTATAAAAATGAAACAAATTAGTATAATTTTGATTTTACAATTCTTAACATCACTGAAATCATAATAAATAAAAAAAATAAAGGCTATACTAAGACAACTGAAAATATTTCAATTTTTAAAGCTGGGTAATGTGATTTAGTACTAATACTAATTGAAGTTTTCCTGCAAAGATATCAGCGTTTTTAAATGACCTTACTTACCTAATACTTTATTCACTAGATCACAGTTCTGTTCAATTTCATGTAACCACCTTTTGACGTTCGCAAAACTCTCCCCATTAGTAACATCATACACAACTATAACTCCGTGCGTACCCCGATAATATGTACTAGTTATGGTACGGAATCGTTCCTGACCTGCAGTATCCCAAATTTGTAATTTAACCTTTTGACCATTAACATTCACAGTTTTAATTTTAAAATCTACACCTATGGTAGTAATGTAGCTTCCAGTAAACGTATTGTCCGAGAATCGTAGAAGTAAGGAACTTTTACCTACACCTAAAAAATAAAAATAATACAATTTGAGCGTTAATTTAACCCCACCCACAGTTTAACTCACCACTGTCTCCTATTATAAGCAATTTAAACAAGTGGTCGTAATCTCTGGCCATCTTCATTTAATTACTAGCTTCCTAATGATTTTAAATTGTTATATTCCAACATTAATAATAATATTCAGTGAATAATTCAATTATTTGTTTAAAAACAGTCCTTTATAACTTCCTTCTTTTTGTCAAATTCTACTGATTTGATTGATATATTTGACTTTGACATTTGTTGACATTACAGAAGATAAAAATTGACAGATATGCCACTACACTAGTGAAACTTGGTGTAACGTGAAAAGATGCCTTACAAGGGCCTTTCGATTTTCGGTGCTTGAAGCTGAGTTCGAAGATACACAAAAATGTTTTTCATTTACTCTACTCTCTACTCCTTTATTTGATTTGACATTTAATTAAGTTGGCAATTCTGAATTAGGAAGTTTGAAGTGGACAGCTGCTTTGGCGGTTACTTAAAAGAGGTTATAATGATATTTTAGTGCTTTGTTTTTAGTTTATTTACAATGTATGTAGACGATATAAAAAACGATTTTTATGAATATTTATCAGGAAAGGTATGTTCTTTATTTTAAACAGAATATATTGAAATATTTTGCTTTAAAAAATAGTTTTTAAGCTTACTGAAATTTGAACTGCAGCACCTATATAAACCTATTGTTAACGTTAATTTTTTTCTTTCAGAGAATATTTCTTATGGTTCACTATGATATAGACAGTATATGTGCCTGTAAAATACTCCAATCTCTACTTAGATATAAACATATTTTATATTCTTTGGCTGTGGTGAGAGGCATAGAAGATCTTAAAACTGCATATGCAGAAAACTGTAGTGATGTGAAATATTTTATTTTAATAAATTGTGGGGGTACTATAGATATCGTTGAGGAATTAGAAGCTGAAGAAGATATAACATTTTTTATTTTGGACAGTCACAGGCCTACTGATTTGTGTAATATTTACAGTAATGGACAAGTTAGGTTATTATCTACACCTGAAGAAGACATTGGGGTTCCCGATTTTCACGACGTTTTCAGGGAAGAAGTAAGTAAATTAAATATTAAATTAATAAGATTTACTAAATTAGTACTGTTGAAAGACCTCCCAAGTGTTTTCAATAATGTATGAAGGAAGTACTAGATGCCTTAATATGTGTATAATATATTCAGTCAATGTATCTCTTCAAAATAAATAGATTCCTATAATATTTACCTTTCAAAATCAATATTTACTACATAGGTAGTATTTAACACATAAATACGAAAATTTTAGATTATAATGTTTTATAATTATTGATATGATTATTTTTTAGTTGGAATGTCTTACCTTATGTTACATTAATTTCTTTTCTATATACTTAATCAATATGTGCCTTTATTTGTAAATCAGGGACTATGATATACTATTTATTTTTAGTTTTAAGATTTTGTTTATATAATCTTAACCTTGTATAAAGAACATCTTTTAAAACAGTATTGTTTATTATAATTGCAGTATATGATTTTTGCCCTTGATTTTAGTGAAATATTTTTATCAATACATCACCATAAATATATATTGTAGCTACAACAAAACTGTAGAGTTTATAGAATGAAAACTAAAAATGTAACTTTAAATTTCTGTTTTTAAGTTTAATGCATATATTTAGTGAATTCTGTACTAAGAAATGGTAACTAAGTTTATATTATTACTGTTTTAGTCTGAAGATGAGGATGAAGAAGAAGAAGATGATAGTGATGGAGAAACAAGGGCAGCAAAAAGAAGACGGTTAGGAGAGGAAGACCTAATAAAAAGAAGAGAAAAAAGACTGTGGGAAGAATCTAGAGATAAACTGATGTTTGAATATTCCCAATTTACTTATTATGCCAGGGCTGTGAGTATTTCATGAACTTATTTAGTTGTCAAATTATACCAGAACCAATTTTATCAATTAAAATATATTTATATTACTTACTTTCAGTTCCTTTTTCAACCATTCAATTCATTTTTTAAAAAGTCAAAATTTGTTTTCCATTTTAAAATGAAAGTTTTATAAACAAATAACATTGTTTCAGAGTGCTATAAGAATATTTGAATTAGCGTGGAAACTCAACAAAGATGACAAAGATCTACTTTGGCTGGCCATAGTAGCTTTAACTGAACAAATAGTTCTAGGAAAAATAGAAAACACCCAGTACACATTGGAAATAAGTCCTTTGCAAGCACATGCAACTCGTTTACATAATAAAACTAATGATACAGACGTTATGACATCACTGAAAATTAAATTTGACAATGATTTGAAGCTCACACTATATCGCCACTGGTCAGTTGAATCCAGTTTGAAATATTCCATGTTTACCTCGGTCAAAATGAAACTGTGGTCACTAAAGGGTGATAAAAAATTACATGAGTTGTTAGCTGATATGGGGTAGGTGTCAATCGAGGTGTCAGTGCTTTAAAGCAAAATTTAAAGTTAAATAAAAATCTTGGTTTTATTGAATGTTTTAGATTTCCTTTAGTTCAAAGTCGACAGTCATTTAAAAGTATGGATATGCAGCTTAGGAAAGAATTTCATCCAACTTTAGAAAAACTGTCAACAAAATATGGTCTGCAAGATATAGCATATGCTTCATTTATACTTCAGTATGGCTACAGAAATGTATATTGCGCTTCAGACATTGTTTATGCACTTTTGGCAATACTTGAGTCATCAGTAAGTAACAAAAATAACATTAAATTAATACTGGCATTGTGTAGCAAAATTCATATGATTCTTGTAAGCAAAAAGGGTGTAATTTAAAATTATTCTAGATTAATATTTTTTAGCCAATAAATTTAATAGTTTCATAAGATTTTAACAAATAAGAATGATTATAATATTGATTTAATCTGTAGATATTCGTAAAAAAACCTTTAAATCTATTTCAGCCTAGAGATAAGAAACCTGAAGAATTATTTAACTTGGCGTTGGATTGCCTTTCTAGGACAAAAAGAGAGGTTTTGAATAGTGCAATTGAAAGAGCTAAGGATATAGCAAAAGCTCTTTTTAAAACAGTACAAAGTGCATTAGACATGAAGCAGATAATCACTGCTGGTCCCTTTGTTTATTTCATCATACAAGAGGTAAATTTTATAGAAATAATTGCTTATTATTAACTTTATTTTAATCTTACTATAAAAATTTTGTAAAAAAAACTAATTTTTAATTGGTGAGAGAATCAGTTTAAAGTTTCTGATCGGTTAAATATCTGAAAAATATGAGAATAAATTATCAGGAATCCCCAAAAAATTCCAATATTACTCCTAAGAAATAGGGAGTCAAGCGACTGTAGAACAGGAGTAGGTGGGTTTGAAATTCCCTCAGAATTTTACAATTTTTCATTAAATTTGTTTTCTCCTTGGGGTTCAGAAATAATTTTCATTATTTGTAGGGGTGATATTGGGATTGGTTTGGGGATTTCCAAGGAATGTATTCTAATTTTTAATTGATTATAAAGAATTATTTAGAGATACCGTTATTAGTAAATTTATTTAAAATTACTAATCATACAATTTTTGTATTTGTTTAGTTTAGCAATACCTAGGGGGTTGAATTTGAATTTCTCCAATGTTTGCTATAATAATTATTATAATGACGTTCCATGGATTTGTTATTCTGCTAATTGTAAACTATTTTTTGAGATGATAACTAATGATTTACTCCTGTTTTTCATATTTGAGAAACATAAAAATGTTTTAATAAATATTTATCAAACTACTACCAAAAAAGAAATATTCAATGAATAATTTTTTATAGGGATGTCTCAACTGGTACATGTTTTCCCACACTCACATCCTCCTACTTTTAGCCCATTTTCTCTTAAGAGCATATGTGGCAATGTCTAGAAACCGTAAAGCCTCAACTCTACCTCTTATAGTTTCTGCTCCAAAAAATATGGATGATGGAACATGTATACTTCTTGGAATTCCCCCGTTATGTGAAAATTCGCCGAAAAAGTAATTGACAAAAATGTATATATTTTAAAAAAGTGTTATAAATTATTCTTTTGGTTTTTAGTTTTTTTGGAAAGGCGTTTGAGCAAGCTGCTCAGAGGATCAACTGTGATGCAACTGGTGATTATTTTGACACATCATGTAAGTTTTACTTAAACAAGAAAATGTTCCATTTATCATTCATGGCAACTTTATATTATAAAATTCGGTCCATACAATCAAAATAAAAATGACTTTGTTTGTTTCAGATTTTGAAATTCACTCGAAAGACAGGACAAGATTTTTTGACGCCCTTACTGCACTGTTGAGTTGATATTATTTTATTTCAATTTTTAAAATAAGTACAAAGTGTAGATTTTATATTAAAATCGCTGTAAATATTATTTATTTTAATTGTATATATTTTTTTATACTATCAATTGTAAATTGTGTTCCTGTAATTAAGAAAAATAGAATTGCCAGTCAGCTTTAGTGTTTTATTTTTATTGTTCCTCAAAGGAATAAATCTAAAAAAATGCTCAACCCACCAAAATCTTCTGCCAATAGTCATTCTAAAGATGTTATAAAAATATTAAACTTAATTTTTGAAAAAACCAAATTTGTGTTTTCTGCTTGTAAGGACCTTTTAACTTATTTCACCTTACCTAGGCCTATTAGTCACTCCTTGTACCGTCACTCTCCCTAAACCTACTCAGCGTTGCCACATTTAGTAGTTTCTACTTTTTTTGAAGATTTTCATCTAATTTTGGCTTAGAATATATATAGTCAGGAAGGAGGAATCCTAAACGACCTTGGAATCGCGATGGTATCTAATTTTGACTGAACTAGACGAATATGGCGACAGGTGTTTCCGGTCTACCAGTGACGTACTGTCATAAAGGAGCGTAGAAAAGAAAATAATAAATTCTCATTTGCATATTATCTAAATTTACCGATTTCTTTCATTTTAACGAATTTATATTTTAATTCTATTCTGCGGTCCTTTTTATCAGCAAACTTATACTCATACGTGTACTTTTTAATAACTACTTTTTTTAATAAGGATAATTTTCTGAGCGTAGTAGAATTTTATATAAAAAAGTTTCCTGGTTTTTTCGGTCAAATAAATGAAAAAAAAAACTATTTGACCGAAAAACCCAAGGAACTTTTTATTTATTTATAAACTACATCCACGTGTGTCTTTCATGTACAATGGAATTGCGCCCTGCCGAATTAACACAAACTAAATAATCTACAAAATCGAATCACATACGCGACAGACTAAACAAAGCTCGCCGATCTGGCAAAAATGCAGCTGAAACACTACGTGTCTTGACGTTACTTTTTAGAGAGCCGCGGGGAGGTGAAATGATGAACGCGGGCGGCCCAATGAACGAGTGGGGTAGAATGCTTGTCAATAGGCTTGAGATGCGACTCTATGGGCGAAGACAGGTTTGTTATTGTCTGATCCACCACAATAACAATGTGAAACAGAAAATGGTTATTATAAATACTCCCGAGTGAGATGAGAAATAAAAATGGCTGCGCCCATAGAGTCGCATCTTGTTCTATTGATACAATATGCACATTGGCTTTCTACGCCACTCCAGTTCATTGGGGCGGCCCAAGCGATGCATAGACCGAAGTGACCCAGCTATGAGATAAATATGACCTGGCGAGCTTCTGTTAAGTCTTCCGCTGGTTCGCTGTGGGCTTACTCTCAGCTATGAAATGATACGTTCTAGCGCTGTAGCTACTATTTAATAATTAAAATTAATGAGATAATCCATAAAATTGATTTTTTTGTATATCTTAGAATGTATATAGTAATTTCTGTGAAATGTAGACGAGATACATGCATTTTTGGCAGTTTTCTGTAGCTTTACAGCACTTCTGCACCAGACGCCACTGTCATCTGGTGTTCTAACCAGAGGTAGCTAGGGATCGTTAACTTGCCCAAAACATCCATGGACTTGGGACCGACGGCTTTATATCTCATCCGGGGGGCCATCTCCGTACGCTATACCATTACCGTGGTTTTATCTAAACTGTATCAGAGACAACACTGTATATACCATGTACTTATTGATATAAGGCTTGCCAGCTGTGGTATGAATGCAACTATGCGAGCAGTTAGAGCTTTTATAGGTACGCCGACTCGCTTTGTATAATACTCATCCATAACCAAACTTATATGGAATCACTCTGTATTTCTAAATAAACTTTTATTGAGGAAAAAATTTGGTATCCAACTTTAAGATAAGAATTTTTATTCGAAAAAAACATGTTAATAAAGAAAAAACGACTGCTACGTTTTATCATCTTGTGAATTTTCTATTCAGTAGTAAAATCACGCCTCTCCGGTAATTTTATTTCGGTCCAAAAACAAACAAAAAATGCCTTCTGTTGGACTAACACAGATGTGTAGAGGGGAAGATTCATTGCTCTCATTGAACATTGAATGCCCCAAAGAGATATGTAGCAGAATTAGTAAGCGTTACCCAGGGTGTATCGAAAACATATGCAAGGTACTTGGAACCAGGAACTATCAAGAACAAAGTCACAACTGAACAATAGGACCGCTTTGTGTGCCATATTGCTAGAAGGAATCCTAGTGTTTCTCATCCAGAGCTGCAAAGACTTCTAGAAGCTACAGGTGTGAACTTTTCAGTTGAAACCATAAGAAAAGGGTTGTATAGTAGGAGAGAGTTACGGGTACCACAATTATCTAGGCACAATAAAATTGACCGGCTAAATTGGTGCCTTCACCACCAAAACTGGACAATTAAGAATTGGCAAAATGTTCTTTTTTTCGAATGAGACCAGAATTGGCCTAAGATCGGCTGATCATCGAATTCGGATTTTCAGCGCTCCAGGAAGACGAGGGAGACTCCAGGCTGCCCGATCTGTCCCAAGATATCAATTAAGGACGAACTATAATGTTCTGGGGAGGTATGCTGGGAGCAAAAATGTCCACTGTCATCACTTCAACAAACTTTAACCGGTCAAAGGTATGTTGATTTAGTGCTAGAATCGTTCGTTAGGTTTTGGAGAGTTGCAATATTGGGGATAATTTTATCTTCATGCACGATAATGCACCTCCCACACCAGCAGAGTGGCTAGAGAATGTCTTGAAACGGAAGGTGTCACTGGCCTGCATGTTCACCAGACCTAAATCCTATCTAACACTTGTGGGACCAGCTCAAATAAAGAAGGGGTAGAGCTCGTTGAAACAATGCAGGAAATGTTGTACAGCTTATTGATGCCCCATTAGCAGAATGGGATAACATACTCCCCAAGACAATGTTGACAATTTAATAAGAAGCATGCCGAGATGAATAGAAGCTTGCTAGATGTAGCAACACGACTGATTAAAATTACCTATTTTGTTTTTGCTTTTTGTTCATTAAAAATTTAAATCTCATTTCATAAGCCAAAAAATACCGTTATTGTGGTTATTTTGTCAACTAATAATTTTTTTTATTGTTATGTGGGTTATTTTCCATTAAAGGTCTTTGGTATAAGGATTGAGTTTTATCCATAAACAAAAAGTGTTCATACATTACAAAACTTATGAAAAATAATAGATGATTCCGTAAATAAAGTTTGGTTGTGATACAAACTTCGGGTGGTCTTGCGCTTGACTGTAGATATCGATACACAATAGTGAACCTGCTAAGCCGGGCCGCTGCCCTTACATAATATAGCGTTATACTTTTTAAGTATCAGAATTAGTTCTATTATTAGTTTCTCTTTGCTAATTTAAAGATATTTAATAATATCCTTGTTTTAAATATGATTATATAAACATAAATAAATGTTATGTTTAATAATAAATAGATAAATGATCATATACCGAGGTATACTTGTTCCATTATTATGTGTATTTTTCTCTTTCTTTCTTTCTTTATGTATCTAATTTTTTATATTTTGCTTCCAAGCATGAAAAACGGGCTCTATCAAGCTAGCGGGCACTCTGTGGCGGCACCATACAAGATCTGGTGGGTTTTTTGTAGCTTTTTTGTAGCTTTTTTGTTACGCTATTTGCGAATTTGTAGCTTTGCCCAGGTCCGAAAAAACAGCGGATCCGCTAGCTTCAATTTCCATAAATTCCATAGTAGCGGCACAGATTCAGACCCAGCTGGTTTTTCGTAACTTTTTTGTAGCTTTTTTGTTACGCTAGTCTCCCTTTTGTAGCTTGTACTGAACCTGAGAAAAGCGCGGATCCGCTAGTTTAGCGGATATTTGTGGCGGCACCAGCTCGGACCAGGTTCATTTTTTGTAACTTTTTTGTAGCTTTTTTGTTACGCCTGTCTCCATTTCGTTGCGAGGCCTGAACGTGAGTAATAATCGTTTCTCCATGAGCGCGAGAGAAAAGTGCGTTAATTTAAAATCAAGTTTCGGCCTCTACAAATAATATGTGCAACTCGATAGTGTGACTATCTGTTGATAGATGGCACCAGTATTGCATTTCACGAATTATGGCCATCTTCCATTTAATATATTTTTGAGAAATTTAGATATAATCTCAAAATCGGACATTTGTTTTTAAATGTTTTTTAGTGTTGTTTATGTATTTATACTTTTGTTGAATCAAGAATATTCTTCCATCTTTTTTGAATGATTTCCTTAACCAATCGTTTTGCAGTATTTATGGACCAGTGTTTAATTCTGTCGGATCACAACTATACAGTGTGTTCCATCTCAGACGAGCCACCCCGTATATTTCTTATCCCATAGTAATTGGAAAAATTTCTCGAAACACGTCGGATGATTTTCTTTGGGGGACATCGATCTTTTGACGTATATTTAAGGCTTGAACCAGCAACCCAGACAACACACCAAATCCCAGAGATATCCACAGAATATCTTTTGTGGATATCCAATATATCCACAGGATATCAGAAATATTCCGTGGATCTAATATTGATATCCAAATATGTCCGTCTATATCCAGAATATAGAAGATATCATATGGATATCCAGCAAAATATCTAATGAGTATCTTTCAGACAATACAAAAAATCCCAAAAAATTAATTTTAAATATCTGAACGGTACTATTAGCCACAATGGCGTAATTTTTTTAATAATTTGCTATATAATTACTATTATTTATGGACATTTGCATGTCTATAAATTACAGCTCATGGATATAAAATAGATATCCACCATGGAACCCCTATGAGGGGGCGCTTCAACCCCTCAAAATGGAATGGGGAAGAAGGGTTGAGTGATACATCATTTGTAAGGTCTTGAAAGCCTCTTTACAACGGTGTATGAAAAAAATCACATTCTTAAAAAAAATTAATTGTTTTATCACGTGAAATGATCGAAGAAACGTGATAAACACCTTCTAAGAACAAAAAATGAAGGCAAGATAAGAAAATGTTTTGATTTTTTTTTTATTTATTAGTTCGAGAGAATTTATTATTGCATGGAAATCAATGGAACACAAATTGAACATTTCATTTAAAAACGCAGTTTTGATTTTTTTGATTGTAAGCATGATAAAACAATTGATTTTTTTAAGAATGTGATTTTTTTCATACACCGTTGTAAAGAGGCTTCCAGGACCTTATAAAAGTATCACCCAACCCCTCTTCCCTATTTAATTTTGAGGGGTTGAAGCGCCCCCTTATAGGGGGTTGCTCGTTCAAGAAAATCATCAGACGTGTTTCGGGAAATTTTTCCAATTACTACCCAGACAACACACCAAATCCCAGAGATATCCGCAGAATATCTTTTGTGGATATCCAATATATCCACAGGATATCAGAAATATTCGGTGGATCTAATATGGATATCCAAATGTCCGTTTATATCCAGGATATAGAAGATATCCTAATGGATATTCAGCAAAATATCTAATGGGTATCTTCCAGAAAATACAAGAAATCACAGAGATATCCACAGAACATATTTTGTGGATATTCAATATATCCAATATGGATATCCAACCAAATGTCCATCTATATCCCAGGATATAGAAGATATTCGGATATTCAGCAAAATATTTTATGGGTATCTTTAGTAGAGGTACATAAGTAACCAATGATTATTGAATAACGTCGAAAGAAAATAGCAGAGATAAAAAATATTTTCAACACTCAAAATATTTTCAACACTCTGCCTTTGATTTTGCCCACTAAGGAGAAAGTCATCCTTATTAGGACTCTTCAGCAATAAACGAAAATTCTCGACTCCAGTCTCTAATGGAGTCTGGAGGACAAAAATTTCGATCGAACTCAATTACGGCGGGTCGAGCATGAGTAGATGCGATAGTGGTATCGCCATCTATACTTAGTAAGCAGAATCAAATAACATCTAGTGGATATCCACGATGGTTTGCGTTCGCGCCTAGACTGATATATTTAGTGGATGTTCATGGGATATTGAATACACCTTAAAAAAATTAATTTTAAATATCTGAACGGTACTATTAGCCACAATGGCGAGCACAATGGCGTAATTTTTTAATAATTTGCTATATAATTACTATTATTTATGGACATTTGCATGTCTATAAATTACATTTCATGGATATAAAATAGATATCTACCATGGACTGGACATTCAGTGGATATTGGGATGTTCAGTAGATATCCAAAGGATTTGGTGTGCTGTCTGGGTATGGGATAAGAACTATACGAGGTGGCTCGTCTGAGATGGAACACCCTGTATATAGTGAGAATAGGTAATTGCTTGGTAGCTATTACCACCGGTGTGAAGTTAGCAGTAAGTTTTTAGCAGTAACAAGTATTAGAAATTAAAAATTTAAAAAAACAGACTTCAAAAACGTTCCAAATTTATATGGGACCACCCCGAGGTACCCCCTTACTAACAAAAAAAATCATATAAATCGGACAAGGTGGTAAAAGCATTATCGCTAAACATACATAAAAAATGAAGAGTTTGAGGATTTTCTCATGGACCCAATTATTAGATTTTGACCAAATATATATGGGACCACCCCTGAAGTACCCCCTTTCTAACAAAAAAATAATCATTGAAATCGGACACCGTGTTAAAGAATTATCGCTGAACATACATAAAAAAAATATCCCAACGAATTGAGAACCTCCTACTTTTTTGAAGTCGGTTAAAAATAACCGAAAACACCCAATCGGGAAAATAGTGGCGTCCGGCATGCAACTATTTTAATAATCTTGCCAATATGTATTTTACATTAATATCGGACAAATAATTAATATACATACCGTTGAAAATGTCCGATTTTAAGATTATATCTAAATTTCTCAAAAATATATTGGATGGAAGATGGCCATAATTCGTGAAATGCAATACTGGTGCCATCTATCAACACATAGTCACACTATCGAGTTGCACATATTACTTGTAGAGGCCGAAACTTGATTTTAAATTAACGCACTTTTCTCTCACCTCATGGAGAAACGATTATTACTCACGTTCAGGCCTCGCAACGAAATCGAGACAGGCGTAACAAAAAAGCTACAAAAAAGTTACAAAAAATGAGCCGGGTCCGGGCTGGTGCCGCTACAAATATCCGCTAAGCTAGCGGATCCGCGCTTTTCTCAGGTTCAGTACAAGCTACAAAAGGGAGACTAGCGTAACAAAAAAGCTACAAAAAAGTTACGAAAAACCAGCTGGGTCTGAATCTGTGCCGCTACTATGGAATTTATGGAAATTCAAGCTAGCGGATCCGCTGTTTTTTCGGACCTGGGCAAAGCTACAAATTTGCAAATAGCGTAACAAAAAAGCTACAAAAAAGCTACAAAAAACCCACCAGGTCTTGTATGGTGCCGCCACAGAGTGCCCGCTAGCTTGATATAGCTTGAAAAACGAGAACTTTGAATAATATTTATAATGTCCTTTTTTAAAATTAAAAGTCTATCTACATAAAAAAAATAAAAAATTTCATATTATAATTCGTTGGAGAGAAATAGTAGAGATTTTTGATTTCAGGAATTTTTTAAAATAGTATTATTTCAACAAAAGATTCAGATTTGTTCGAGAAAATATGGCAACGCTGCCTGTCACTTTTTACCACATGTGCTTGATAATTTGAGGTTAGATTAGCGTCAAAATAAGACGAACTGGAATGTTTATTTATTTTTTTCATATTCTAAACTTTTAAAATATGTCACGACCAGAATATTTAGCACCACCTGAAATAGTAAGTAATCACTTAATTATAAACTGTTGTACCTAATAAAAATTAATACTTTTATAGTTTTATAACGAAGATGAAGCGAGGAAGTATACGCAAAAGTAAGTAATTAGATACAACTCAATCGACTTTATACTTATTTAACTATACTTGCATACATTTTTAGCTCACGTATTATCGATATTCAAGTTCAAATGTGCGAGAGAGCGATAGAATTGTTAGTTCTTCCAGAAGATAGTCCGTGTTACCTTTTAGATATTGGCTGTGGGTCAGGCCTTAGTGGAAGTGTCTTGGAGGATCAGGGACACTATTGGGTAGGCCTAGATATAGCCACAGCTATGTTGGGTATGAATTTGAAAAATATTTTTCCTCAAATTTTAAGTAATATTTCAGAATATTAATATAAAAACGATGTATCCTGAACAAATTTAATTTACTCATTTTATTATGAATAAATGTTTGTCGACTGTAGCAAATATGATATTTCTTATACACATTTTGAGTTTTTCAGCTGATTTCAATATCTTAAAACCTACTTTTTATTTTATAAAATAGAAAGTACATAAAATCTTTTTGCAAATGGCCTAAGTCTGCAGAACGACCTAAGTCTAAATAAATTTCTATAGTAACTAAATACCTACCAAAATTACATTGTAATATCTTAATACTTTTTGACAGACTTAAAAAAATATTAGGTTCTAAATTCATCAGAATATTTTTTTTAATGTAATATTAGTGATAATTCTTTACCAGGTCCCATTTCTATTATTCTTTTTTGATAGAAAGGGCGTACCTCAGGGGTGTTCCTATATAAATTTGGTTAAGATCTGATAATGGGACCCATGAGAAAATAATCGGTTCTTTAAAATTACTTTAATAACTTTTTGATTTAAATAGGGTACTCTCTGGACTATAAATATATAACCTATTTTCTAAAATAAAAATTAGATTTACTGTTATTGCAATCAGTTTTAGCAACCTATTTTATTTGATCAAATAAGGTTGTAAGTTTTAATTTGAGCAAACATTTACATTCACTGCACATACAAATTTTTGTTTTAGTCATAGATGTAAATAAATTTGATGGTCACTTCTGCTATAAGTTGACAAAAAATTGGAGATCAAATAAAATATTTTGTAAACAGAAGCCTTATTTAACTAAAAATAAATTAATAACTTAATGAAAATTAATTGAACAGTTTTTGTTTTACATTTTATGACAGATATAGCAGGAGAAAGAGAAGTAGAAGGAGATTTAATGTTAGCTGATATGGGACAGGGATGTCCTTTTAGAGCAGGTGCGTTTTATTATTACATAACATATCTTTAGAAGTAATTTTCTAATAGATCCTAGAGAAATGGGTATTATATTTCCTTGCATTTTTATCACATAAAAACAATGTAAACATACTTGTTATTTTAATAGGTGCTTTTGATGGTGCAGTGAGTATATCTGCTCTTCAATGGTTGTGTAATGCAGACAAATCTTTTCACAAACCTGTACAAAGATTGTATAAATTTTTTAGTACACTGTATGCATGTCTGGTGAGTAAATTTTAAATAGCAAATTACGAAACGTCTTTAAGGATTTTTTCTTCATAATCTATCCAAATTAGACATAACAATTTTATAATTTATTAGAGTCGATCAGCAAGAGCAGTTTTCCAATTTTACCCTGAAAATAGTGAACAGATGGAGCTGGTAACCACGCAGGCCATGAAGGCAGGTTTTTATGGAGGTGTAGTAGTAGATTATCCAAATAGTACTAAAGCGAAAAAGTTCTTTTTGGTATTGATGACAGGAGGTAGCGTTCCCTTACCGAAAGGTCTCGGAACTGGAGAAGATTCACAAGGTAATTACTTTTTTAAAAAGAAATTCTTAGAAATTGCGACGGCCTTGTGCATGCAACCTTTTAACCATGTGAATCACACTTTATTGCTATTTAAATTAAAAAAGCTCTGCCTTTCTGACTTTGCTTGAAATGATGGCTATTTAAAAGATACAGTTCAAATCGTGAGAATAGCTGATAGTTTGTCCATTCAATATGGCGCACCCTCAGGGGTTCCACAAGTTTCTCATTTGGTGCCATTATTGTTCTTACTATATATCAATGATATTGAAGATATTTTCTACTTTTTGTTGATTACCTAAAATATATATATGCCCATTAATAATGTCAATGATTGTTATCTTTTACAAAGCGATATTAATGCACTGCATGATTGATCTGAGAAGAACTGTATGTCACTAAATATCTACAAATGTTACATAATTACTTTTGGTAGACGACATGACAAGATTGTATTTGATTACTCAGTGTTATATTGGATACTTAAATGTGTTAATGAGATAAAAAATTTAGTGCTGCTCTTCTTAAATCAACATCTATCATTTGTTCTTCAGACCACTCATGCAACAAATAAACTTTAGGAACTCGAACATCCTCTCATTGAATTCTATTAAAAGTTTATTCAGCTTATGTTATGTCAGTATCGGAATATGTTTTGCCAGTTTGATCTCCATTTTATTATGTACTTTAGGTCATTAGAATCTGTTCAACACAAACTGTGGATTCAGATTATATTTAGTATTTGGCAACTATGATTATAATATTTTATTAAACCTAATGGGTCTGTTAATGTTTAGAAATTCAAAGGGGCACACAATAGATTTATTATTTAAGGATCTATTCATTGTTCCGAACTTTTAGAATCAATTCAATTTAGAATACCTGTAAGGTAACAAGAAGAATAGGAAGAAGTGCAAATTCATTAAATTTGGTTATTCTGGGTACGTCTTTCAATAGCTTTAGAGAAGCTGCAAGAAATAGACTAACTTGATATTTTGAATATGTTCATTCATTCCTAATGATTTGTATTCATATTTGATATTTTATTATAATAAAAAAATTACTTAATACCTATCGTTTGTGTTTGTTTGTTTTTAAAATGAAATTTGCAAATGAATTATATCTTAAATTATTTTTGTATATTTTTTATTGTATGCTCCAGAGCTGGGTAATTATATGTACTTTAAAAATAATTGCAATTACAAAGTACTTTTTCAAAAAAGGAATTATTTACAAGTACAAGTTGTAAAAATAGGAATTATATTGATTTAATTACAATTACATGAAAAAAGGAATTAGCAATTACTTTTATAATTACTTTGCCGATAAAACCACAAATTATGATAGAATTGACGAACCATGAACCAACCAGACCGATACAAACAAAATTTTTAAATAGGTAATTCTAAGTATCAAACTAACAGCCGTTTGCAATGACTTTCTTAAGGATTCCTTAAAGTTAAATATATCTTAAGGGCGGGTTGTATAAATCTTACTTAAAGTTAAACTCTGTTTGAGGAGACACATGACAAATTTAGTATGGCATATAGTTACAGTCTAAACACTTTATAGCACTTAGGGCTTGTTTCCCCAAACATTAGACTGCACATATAGCATCGGAAATTGATATGTATCACCTAAAACTGAGCTTAATTTTAAGTAAGCTTTATATAACCAGCCCTAAGTGTATTGTTTTCTGTACCATTTAAGGTCTTCTTAACTTAAGGGAAAAGACAAAATCGATAAGTAGTATAAAAATGGAACAGGTAAGTAAATATTAAAATGTTAACTTTTGGAACAAAAATACAAAAGTTCGTGTACCTACGCGTAGGTACTTTTATAATTTACCTAATCATACCATAAAAATCGGGAATCATTAGTCTGGGGGCGTTTAATCAAAAGGATAAAATAGATAACACTAAACATTTTATTTACATTCAGTGGTAATCAACTCTCGTCAAAAATTATGTGATACCTTTTTATTTTTGTCGTTTAAGCTTGAGATACTTCATAAAAGTTTAAAACTAATTTTTCAAATATCATACCCTTGAAACATATTTTTTAACAACAGTAGACCACAGGATGTAAGAAAAATATTTGGTGTAAAATTATTAATATTTTTTTCTCTTCATCAAGCAGGCAAAAAGTAATGATGTCTAGTTTGCAAGATCTAGTTATAATTATTCACAAAATCTTTACATTGTTACTTTTCATAACAAGTTTTTGAACATTTCTGTCGAACAGCGCATGCCTTCTGGGAGCGTTGACAATTGTGGCAAAGGAGAATAATCTGTCAACGGGCTCAGAAAAAGGAGATGTATTATATTTTAAAAATACTTTTCTCATCAAGCATCGTAATATTTTTTCTTAACTCATCGAGACATTGTAAGGGAGCGTTCAAGTATTACGTAACGCAATTTTTGGATATTTTTAACCTCCCCTCCCCCCATGTAACGCGCCGTAACGTTTTTCTGTACCCCTCCCCCCCTGGTAAAACGTTACGTAACCACCAAGTGACTATTTTCACCTAAAAATCACAATTATGTCACTCCATTTGAAATTTTGAGAAAAAAAAAAAACGTTTTAAAAAATGCGCGAGAAAATCTCTCTACCCGACTTTCCTAAAGGGTTAAAAAATAATAATGTTACGTAACGTAGTTCAAACCCCCCTCCCGCCCCTGTAACGCATCGTAACGTTTTACAAAACCCCCCCTCCCACCAAATTCGTTACGTAATACTTGAATGCTCCCTAACACTTCATTGAAATCAAAAAAGTATTTTTTATAATATCTTTGGTTGTAGTACTTATAAAACTAGCTTTCAAATGAAGTGTCACACTTTACCATAGGAGATAATTTTTTATCCCGCTAGAGAGCGTTAAAATTAAAAGAAACGCAATGAACAGTCATATTGCTAAATTCCCCATAAAATTACCGTTCCGACGATGTGTCATACTTGGTACTTTCCCCATTTAAATTGTATTGGTTAGATTGACATAGGAAAGAGGAATGATATATGACAGTAAAGGATATTATAGAAAGGTGTCCTCCGTGAAATAAAAATCGACCTGTTTTTGCGTTTCTTTAAAAAAAAAATTACTTCAAGATATTCTGAGATACGGCCGGTCGCCACCCTTAATGAATCACTCTGTACATAATATTAAAATAATATTGAATAATCTAAAATGTATCGTTCTGAATCTCGTTCGTACAAACAAAAATGAGACACATTTTACTCAAATTTGGTTATAGATTCATATTATCAAATAATTTCTTATAACATAAAATATATTTATATTCCGTTACAAGTGCTATTAATTTAATTAAAATATTGCATTTGCTACGTTAAAGTCAAATACTTGTAACGCTAAAGTAACTTAGAATACGTTTATTAAAATAGTTAATCCATCATTTCAATGTAGAAAACTAAAAAATAACTAGAAATAAGTAGTTTTTAGTATTTACCGCATAAAAACTGCTATTTGCACCACTTCATACTATATTTACTTAGTTTATAATGCTTATGCAACAAATTATGTTTATAACAATATAAATACAAAATACGTCTTAAGAATAAGGATATCTGCATCTACTTTTACGCCTTACTGTTATAATTTTGGATTGAACAATTTCACTGCTTCACGGCACAACGCTTTCCTCAAATGCATTCAAACAAATGATATGGATGCAAGTCCGAGCTCTAGTGACCGGTTCGAATAGGTTATTTGTTTTTATATCACGTGCATCTCATAAACATGCATTTAAAAGTAATTGTAATTAAAACATGTAATTGCACTTATAAATGTAATTGTAATTGGAAAAGTAATTAATTGTACTTAGGACAAGTAATTATATTTAGACAATTTAAATAATATAAATTAATATAATTACAAAGTACAATTCCTCTACAGATTTTGCTGCAATTGCAAGTCCAAATTACTTTAAAAAAAGTACTTAAATACAATTACAAATTACATGAAAAAAAGTAATTGTAATTATTACTTTTTAACTATATAGGAATTACCCAGCTCTGGTATGTTCAATCAATAAACCATGTTATATACATAATTATGTAATAAAAAAACTTATTTCATGCAAAATTTAAACAAAATACAAGTTTTGACATCAAAGACGCTTGAAATAATACCTTTACATCCATTATAATTTTTTAGCATAAAAATTATTTATAATAATTCAGGTACCTATTTCTTAAATTATTAATAAAATATTGTTTTAACATACACTTTGTTATAATATCTTAAAATGATATTATTTTATACTTTGTCAAACATTTTTCAACTGAATTTTGAGTCGCACTGTATAAATAATATTTCTGCCACAATTTGTTTTTTTTTACAAAGACATCTATCTAGTTAGGCATTTTGAAGAATTATAGTTTGACCTTCTGTTTATAGAGGGCAGCAGTATAGTTTTCAATAATTTATATCATTTATGAATATTTCCGATATTAGAACTAAAAGCTTAACAAAACAGGAAATATTATTATTAATTTTTTTTATATATTGTTACTTGCAATATAATACTGAACGAATTTTTTATAATTGTGAAATAATGGGCAATAAATGGGTTTTTAGTACTGCATTTTGGAAAACTTTTGTATAAGTCAGGTTGGCCGAGCGGTCTAAGGCGCCAGATTTAAGCTCTGGTTCCCGAGAGGGAGCGTGGGTTCGAACCCCACACCTGACAGTAATTTTTTTTTATTTTTGAAAAACTTATTTATTTATATTTTGATTTTTAAAATTATTTAGTATGTTGTATTATTGAAATATAAAAGTTTCTTCAATATTTTAGGCGTTTCTTACACATCGAAAAGAGAAAGACTGAAGCAACAAAGGGGAAAACCTTTAAAAAGTAGCAAACGTTGGATTTTAGAGAAAAAAGAACGAAGGAAAAGACAAGGCAAAGATGTTCGGCCGAATTCTAAATATACAGGGAGGAAAAGAAGCGGCAAATTCTAATTTTCTAAATTTGTTTTTCATAAAAATTGTTTATTGGCTAAATAAAAAAAATATTAGACCTAAAAACAATGCAAAAGATATGTTCATTTTTGATTGTTTCTTTTTATAAGAGATTTTTTAAGAAAAGTTGGACAATAAAATAACCCTTTATGTGTTCCTAACTTTTTAATTCTTAGTTTTACTAAACATTTGTAGCATTTCAGCTAAAATATAACTCTGGTACATATGTTTATTTTGGACTGGAAAATATAGGATACCTACAAGAAGAAAGAAAATCAAATATAGAAATCTACAAATCTCATTTAATGGGCGGGGATTTCTCGAAAGAAAACCTATAATACTCTACAGGCTACTGTATGTGTATGAAGAGTATAATAATAAAAAAGTTTTCCACTTGTAGACAACTTTTTCGACATACTGTATATTATTATACTCTGTAGGGACACTGTATAACTGAAGAAATAAATAATTGCATATTGATATTCTACTTAAAAACTATTAATTTTCTTGATTAAAAGGTATTTTCAGTAGTAGAGTTGTACCTAGATATTTACAAAATAGAAATTTAAAAATGGCTATTAAAATTTGAAAAACGAAAGCATATTTTTAATATTCATATTATACAACTCATAAATACTACAGGTTTCAGCAAACGTTTCAAAATATTTAAAATGGATTTACTACTAAACTTATTTTTTAAATGAATTTGTAATATCTAGTAATCTCTGATCGGTTTGTAGTATTTATAAAAATACGTATGTCTTTTTTTAATGCGTATATTAAATAAAAAAAATGACAAATGGGCTTTAAAATTAGCTAAGTAAAATTTCAAAAAGCATATATATTAATATTACACAATCACAGGTTTAAAATGGATTTACTACTAAATTTATTTTTTAATTGAATTTTTATTCTCTCCGATCGGTTTATAGTATTTTTAAAAAATATGAATAGGTTGTTTTTTAAAATAGGTACATTAACTAAAAAATAATTTATGAAAAAAAAAAATGACAAAAATGGGCCTGTCCGGGATTTGAACCCGGGACCTCTCGCACCCGAAGCGAGAATCATACCCCTAGACCAACAGGCCGTCTATCTAAATTTTCAAATTAATGTTACAAATGATGAAGCATAAATTTCGCTCTGAAAAAAATTCTCAAAATCTATTTGAAACTCCAAATTCACATTTATAAATCTAAATCATTACAAACAAATTTATATTCTTAAACAAACACGTCGATGTCCTTGTACCGTAATTGAGGTTAGTTTTATGGCAAATCATTCTTCACATTTTCTCACTTTTGTAGTACAAAATGGATGTGGATATAGAACTAGAAAATGATATAGATTTGTACAGACAGACTCCTGTTAGATATTTAGGTAAACTCATTTTTTATTTCACTTAATTAAATTATTAATAAGATAAGCTTGTAGGTTACGCGAATGAAGTAGGTGAAGCTTTTAGATCAATAATTGGCAGGAAATGGGTAAATTTTACTTATGGTGTAGCCACGCTGTACGTTTTAACAGACACTAGCGATAAAAGCATTAAAACTTACAAGGTATGAAATAATTATACCAATAAACAGTTGTTATTCTTGTTTATTAATTTAAAAATAAATAACATAAATCATTGGAAATTATTATGCAACAATGGTTGCAGCTAATCGATAATCGGTTGTATATTTGGTTGCCTATATCACAGCAATTTTCTTTAATTTAATTTTTTTTTCAGACTAAACTGAATGAGGAAAATCATTTAAAAAAGGTGATTTACACGACTACTGATACTTTAATTTGGCAATTATTAGCCTCTGTAGCAATTCCTGGTTTTACAATAAATAGAGTTTGTGCACTTACCAATTACCTGCTCAAAAAAAGTGAAAAATTACCAACAAATAATAGAAAATGGATTGTTACGGGTATAGGATTGTTTACTATTCCATTTATTATAAAACCAATAGATAATTTTGTAGATTTAGCAATGGATGAAACTCTTAGGAAGTTTCAGCCATAGTAGTATATTTAGAACAATATTATGTAGGTACCTACTCACATGGTATCGAAAAATAGAAACTTCCTAGCAATAAATTTAGTACCAGTACCTACAGATATAGACATATTCAAAAGGGGACAAAAGCAATAGGTATAATATGTATATATTAACTTAAATTTTGAAGAAATTAAATTTAAAAAACAAATTTTAATTGTGCCTTTGTAACTTTCTCCAGAGCCTCCTATATCTGGTGGGTATTGAAAAAAAAGTATAGTGCCAAATTTGTTGATCTGCATTTATTAAAACACAATTTATTTTTATCTTGTTATCTACTTATACATATTTTTTTATATGCTAAAATAAACATTTCTTATTTTTGTTTTGGTTTTCTTCAATTCTTCATATATATATATATATACCTATAATAGTGTAGGTAATTATAGTTCATAGTTATTAGATATAAATACTTATTAGATCTAGCAATAAAGGTTTAATCTTAAAAATGTGTGGAAAATAAAAAAGATGAAAGCCACATTTTCAAAAGTGCAACATAACGTGCATTTTAATAATATACAGATGAGCTAATACATACAGATATTGTTCGGATTTTAAAATAAAATCTATAGAAAAATGCTAAGACATCGATTTATGATTCGATTTTTCTTCTTTTCTTTTGTCACCGCAGCTTCAACCTCTAACCCAGAGGTTTCCAAACTCTTTTGTTTCATAGACCACTTTCAAAATTTTGCTGGATCCGGTGGAGCTACATCACTACCAATTTCTAAATCTCAAAAAAAAAAGATTAGATCTATCTATGGAAACTTACGTTGTGGCTGAGTTTTAACGACGAATTAACAGTTTTCGAAAAAAAAAGGTTAGAATTGATTGCTTCATATGGTTAATTATTTGATAATAAAAGTCGACTAAACAAATTTTCACTAGTAATACCACTAGAGGTCAAATTATTTCCTGATATTAATTTGACCTCGCGTGGTATTCGGTAAGAAAATTCCACGCCGAATTATGGTTGAAAATTAAATATTTTTAAAATTTATTTTTCGTTTCTCAACAATGCAAATTATTTTCTCCAAGTCACCAGTGAAACATAAAAGGTGTTGTCGCCTTGATTGTTGAGTTGTCATGGTAACTAAGTGGGACCATAACCTCGAATATAATTTCAGTTTTGAAGTTGTCAAGCGGCCCGACGTAAAAAAATGTTTCGCTGCAATTATTTAGGCCTTCAAATTGCTTATTTCTACTCATTGTAGTTGCATGGGAATACCATTTGAAAATAGAAAATAGTATATTCTTTAATTTTACGTAAGTTTTGAATAACTACAAGTGGTAGAAAATTGTTTTTCTGCGTTTTTATTAACATGCGTTATGAGCGCTTTAAAATGGTATGAAATTCATAACCAGCGTCAGCAAGCATCAATCGTAGGAGGCTGTGATCATTGTATTTTGACAGTTCAAAACATTAAATAACTCGCGTTTTGTTGCGATAAAGAATATTGCACAGCAAGTAAAACCAACAAAATTACCTATTTGTTTAAAAATGAATCGATTTGAAAATCATACGCTATGCAAAATATGCGTGAAATTGTCTGATGTAATGATCAATCATTGCACCATGACTTACTCGGATTAATAGAGGATTGTGGCTCCAACTTGGAAAACGAAAATTTGTTCCGAATTGTCCACGAATATTTGCACCTAAACTACGCAAAATTCAAAGTGCTGAATGGGAAAAAGGTGAATAAATTAGTGTCTAAATATTATATATATTTTATTAGACATAGACACATAATTCAAAGCATCCAAAGTCCTGCATCCGAAGAATATAGAAAACACCTTAGCATTGTAACTAAAATGTATCAAAACTGAACCTATTATGTGAACAAATAAAAACCAGTCTGTCAAAAATGGTCTGTTATTGTAAAAGTCAAAAAATTTCCAGTATAATTCGCTGTTGGGTACCCCACGAGAAAAAAATTTCCACTAAAATACCTCCGTTGCCATGGTGATCTGTCAAAAACACGTATTTTGATTGGTTCAAAATTACAGGTGTGGAATTTTCAATAAAATTTTAATTGATTGTGCTGTGAGTGGATGTCAAAAAAGCAAAGTTGACCAAACGAAAAAGTGACTCCATCCAACTTTACTTTTTTGAAATCTACAGTGACTCACAGCACAAGAACCAATCAATTCTCACAAATTTTATTTAGAAAACGTCCCATTCGGAGTGGTAAAAAGAAATATAGTATATTTCCTTGTGTTGTAGGTATATTTATTTAAATTTAAATTATTACACTATTAATTATTGTTGTTATAACCGTCGTAATATAATTAAAATTAAACACTTATAACGTAATGTAATTTCTACAATGGTAATTACAAAAAAATATAATTTTAATGAGAGGGATGTACTTGATGGATTGACAGCAAATTGTCAATATTTGGCTAGAGTTTTGTAAGGAATAACCGTAAATCTCCCCTTTCTGTGACATTTAATCTGCTCCTTTTTTTTGTTAATAAGTTTGTAACGGCACTAAAACTTTTTTCGACGAGATATGACTAAAGTCTATTCAAATTGCATTTACGCCGCGTCAAAACAATCCCTTTCAACGGCAACCAGCTCACGTGAGATTTTCTTGCGCTCCTATTGGCTAATTGGTCGTTTTTAGACAACGCGCAAATATTTTTGTCAGAGTCGAATTCAGTTCAATTTGGTTTTCGTTGCGATTACACTGCTCTTGCGGATAATTAGAAACGACTTTTTGGTAGTATTTATGGTTGTGATTAGTTTGGACATTTCTTTACTTTATTTGACATTTGATTGACTATATTTTGTCAGTGCTGCGTGAATTTTACGAATTTAAAAACATTTTGTTAGTTTTTTAATTATTCGTCTACCGATACTATGTCCTCCACAGACACGGCGGGTGAAGTCCCGAAAAATGTTTTTAGTCCTCCTAAAAAGCGACCGAAAAAGGGACATTTGGACATGCGTACTAAAGAAATAGTTCCTAATGTTTATAAACATGAACTTTTAGAGAACCCTGATATGTTGGTACATGATATTGAAAGAAGAGTTGCTGATAAAACAGGGATGTGCGCTAAAACCGTTTTTAATGTTGTGAAGGAGTATAAGCGGAATCATACATTTTCTGAACCAAAAAGAAAGCTACGTTATAAACGAATTTGCGACTCTGGATGATTTTGATAAAAATGTAATAAGGCGCAAAGTACATCAATTCTTTTTTAGAAATGAACTTCCAACAATTGATAAGGTATTAAAAGAAGTCAACGGTGATCCAGATTTGCTTACTTTTAAGCGAACTACATTTTATAAGCTTTTAAAAACCCTTAATTTTAAATTTAAAACCCGAGGAAGAAACAGTTTGCTTTTAGACAAAGATGAAATTGTGTTGTGGCGTAGGGAATATTTGCAAAAAATAAAACGGTACAGAGAAGAAGGACGAAAAATATATTATCTTGATGAGACTTGGATTAATGCAGGCCACACCAAATCAAAAGTATGGGTCGATATGTCGGTTTCATCATCCAGACAAGCCTTTTTGGATGGACTTTCAACTGGTTTAAAAAACCCATCAGGTATGTGTGTATAATTATGTTAATAATTCCAAACAAATGAGCTATTGTTTTTTTAGGAAAGGGAAAAAGGCTCATTATATACCATATCGGAAGTGAAGAAGGCTTTGTCCCTGATGCACTTTGGGCATTTGAGTCAAAAAAATCCGGTGACTACCATGAAGAAATGTGTGGAGACCCTGTATGCATTGATTTTACACTTACTTTTAGTTTAAAAAATAAAAAATTAAAATTATCCTTTTATTTTACATTTTTGCAAGACGGAAAAGTAAAATACGGCTCTGCTCAATTTAAGCGTCCACCTGCTTATGTTTACAACAGGCGTAAATGCAATTTGAATAGACTTTAGGGAAATACTATCAGAAACTTTTGCACAATTCCTCACAGTCCAGGATATTTTTCGGGTATTTCTGCCTGCAGCCAAAATTTTTGATACCCTCTTTTTAAATGTCACTTTCAGCTCCTCATTAGTGCTAAGCTCGAGTAGCTCCTCTTGTAATATCACATTCTCCACTTCCGTTTCATCAAATCGATTTATGGTGGTATTTCCATCGACAGAATATCTTCAAATCTGAATTTAAAATCATCATGCAGGGCAATCAAATGTTGAACGTATGTCTGAATATCTTCATCAAGGCATTCTACCTGCGACAAGTTTGATAACTGTGAAAATTCGCGCCGACCAATATTTTCCTTCATATATTTCAATTTACCAAGAAAAGCTGAAATTACACTCTTTGTTTTTATTAAATTGAGGCTGTCCCCTTGTAATTGTAAGTTGTCATTAAATTTTTTGAACAAATCTGTCAAATACGCGATGTCTGCTTTAAAATTGATCAAGTTTTTTTTTTAAATCAGGATCTTTACTTTCTAAAAATTCTAAAAGTAAATAAAATAAAATCGTTGGAAGTCTTCATCATTTTCATAGCAAATAAATGCGTATTCAATGCATTGCTTCTTATTTTGTTAACTGCATTAATGACAAATTGAAGCGATTGGTGCAATCTATCACTCAAATTTTTTGCTACTAGATGTTGTCGGTGGATAACACAGTGAATCTCAATTACCTCTCACAGAAAAAAAGGTGTACTATATTCAAGATAAATGGTCTTATTTCAATGCTTTGTTGTGTTTATATATCCGCAAGTAAAACTCGTCTCGATTTGAAATTCTAGTAATACTTGTTCAACAATAGCTAATAAGCTTAGATAAAAGAAACAACTAATAAGCCTTGCTTCAAGGTTAGAATCAACGTGCCCTAACCAAAATACCTCTAATTAAATGAATAGTATCTATTGCTCAATTGCAGTATTATGTGTACATCTTAAATGAAATAGTCTTACACTTGTTTTAAATATACTTTATTTATATTCAATATTACCTTGTTCTTAAATCCAATACAACTAAATTTGTTACAATAATAATATGATCTTTGACATAAATATATTGGTTTTCGTTGAATTATAGGATAGTTTCATTGAAGAAATTAATAATCTTGAAATAAGATCAGGCTGTTCTTGCTTTTTAATAGGGTTCTCCACCGAAAAACATTTTTCAAAATTGTTTTTAGTTAATATACCAAATTCCTCTGTCCTCTGAGGTGTCCCACCTATAATTAACAAAAAAAAAATAATTTTATAACTTTAAAACCTAATAAAAGTATGTCCTACTAAGATAAGAGGTCGTATCTACAAAATGAATATTTTTAGTAAATGTGGGTA